GTCCTGAAGGCGAGGCCTACTGTATGGAAAGGCATTTCAAACCATGATCGGTTAGATGGAGTTTGAATCTGAGAAAAACCTTGATTTCGACATTTGTGGGTTTTCTCTTTCCATCCCTTAAACCCGCATAATTTGGTTCGAGTTCTGTACACTGCGGAGCTAAAAATAACTTAGTTTAAAGTCAGCCAAGTAAGACAAACATGTACAGAAAACAAACCCAATGAGTCCTTATCAGTACAAGTATAACAAATCGGTGGAACTGTTGAATCTCTGAATTCATGCTTAGATGTAGCAACAGTGAGCGTTTATACCTCTGGTGTTTGTTTAACATATACTGCGTCCTGAACGATTTACTACGTGAAACTACGTCAGTATGTGTCCTCATACATTATCCGTACGTCACCTACGTTCAGTATGTCTAGATCTCGTTCGATGGGGTGTCTCGACGGGTTCTATAATTCAAAGCACATGCACAGTCCCTTTAGCTTACAAAGCACTAGGGTATTTACCCGCACTCAAACACAACCCCGATGCCAGAATTGTCCACGAGTAACACTTATGATGATACCTACCTGTATATAATGTCCATTTGTGAATAATACCTACCTGTAAATAATGTCCACTTATGACAAATACCTGCATTTAAACAGACAACCTGTGAATGATGCCCACTTGTAAATAATGACCACCTACATAACAAAATACCTGTATGTAAATAATGTTCTGGATGTACATATTGTGAAAAATACCCTTCGGTCAATATATATGTATATCTATACATATGAATAGTATGTCTACCTGTAAATAATGCACACCAATCAATGAATGTCCTCTTGCGAATAACATGAAAATCATGCCTACCTGTCAATAAAATCAAACTGCTAAAAACCACAAACAATACATTTTGCCCACCTGGCAAAAAGACCAAATTATGAATCGTACCTGAGTACATATTGTGGACAATACCAACCTGTAAATAAAATCAACCTGCACAAAACACAAACAATACGTTATGCCCACCTGACAAAAATACCAAATTATAAATAATACATAAGTACATATTGTGGACAATGCCTACCTGTACATTATGGCCCCCTGTGATAAGTACTAACCTGATGATAATGTCGATCAATTGATAATATTTACATGCGAATTATATCCACCTGTATATATAACCGCTGAAAATATTTATTCTCACCTGCCAATAATGCCTAATTTTCATTTTGTGCTTGAATTGGTATTGATGTTTCACACTTCTGGTTGTACTCTGCGAGGATATTTCATTAGTATGCCCCTGAGACATCTTGATGAGGCAGAGCCTAAAGTTACACAGGTCATACACATCGATCAAGTTGACGCCTACATGCATTGATGTGGAGTGAGTGAGTGAGTTTGATTTTACGCCGCTCTTAGCAATATTCCAGCAATATCACGGCGGGGGACACCAGAAATGGGCTTCACACATTTTGCCCATGTGGGGAATCGAACCCGGGTCTTCGGCGTGACGAGCGAACGCTTTAACCACTAGGCTACCCCACCGCCCCGCATTGATGTGGAGATAACGGATCACAATCAAGATTATCTTGAGCTCGAGCAAAGGAAGGACGGTACAGTAAAGTAACTCTTCACTGCGCTCGACCATGTTTTCCCTCACATCAGTGCGTAGTTCCGAAGAGGAAAATAACGGCACATATATCTGATACATTCGGAACACACCGGGCAATGAAAAGTATTATGTCATGATTAACTATTCCCTTCCCGTCTCCCGTCCAACATATTCCCTTCCCACTCTATATACACAGACCCGTGAAGATCCGGGTAAGAATTGGTCTTCAGCAACCAATGCTTGTCCCTCGTGAAGATCCGGGTAAGAATTGGTCTTCAGCAACCAATGCTTGTCCCTCGTGAATATCCGGGTAAGAATTGGTCTTCAGCAATCCATGCTTGTCCTTCGTGAAGATCCGGGTAAGAATTGGTCTTCAGCAACCAATGCTTGTCCCTCGTGAAGATCCGAGTAAGAATTGGTCTTCAGCAATCCATGCTTGTCCTTCGTGAAGATCCGGGTAAGAATTGGTCTTCAACAATCCATGCTTGTCCCTCGTGAAGATCCGGGTAAGAATTGGTCTTTAGCAACAAATGCTTGTCGTGAAAGGCGACCAACAGGATCGGGTGGTCAGGCTCGCTGACTTGATTGACACTGCGTAGGTCGATGCTCATAATGTTGATCACTGGATTGTCTGGTCCAGACTCGATTATTTACAGACCGCCATCATATAGCTGGAATATTGCTGAGTGCGGCGTTAAACAACAATCTAACCAACCATCCAACAGGCCGCATAGACAGACACACTAACACACAATCAAACACTCATACACACATCAAACACTTTTCCACCACATATCTACTTATATTATTATAGTAATTACATATATTATGCAAGAGTCTAGGCTTCTATGACATGTTATATCAAATAACTCCAGCATGTTTACCATGCTGTCACACGTGTCAATTGATCGTGACAATCGTATATATTTACATTGTATATGTATGCTGAAACACAGGTACCCACGAATATTGTGTTACCATTTCTTTAACATCTGTTTATGTTTGCTTATAACTCTGGAAAACAATGAGTAAATAAACATCCGCATACAAACCTATTCACATGCACAGACAGATATTTTGTCACCTAGCTAAGTTTTCAATGCTGCCGTTTGGTGTGTGTGTGTGTGTGTGTGTGTGAGAGTGTGTGCGTGTGTGAGTGTGTGTGTGAGTGAGTGAGTGAGTGAGTGAGTGAGTGAGACATTAACACTGGATAATACAGTGTATCTGTGCAGTGGACGGTTTGACCAGTTGTCCGCAACGGCTATGATGGGTTGCGTCCCCTAAGGGTACAAGGTGCCAGTAAGTGTGATTTAGAATTCTGATCAGTGATAGCATACTTCATTATTGGGAAGGATGTACATGACATCACAAGGTATTTTCTCTCAGGAAAACCTGATTTGCTGTATTGTTACTGAACTAAAAGTGAAAACAGGGTCAAACAAAACTAACGTAGTCTCAATGTCCTTGCCCTTTCAATGCTTAGAAGATTCACCTAAAACGTCTTTGACCCAGGTCATAATGGCCATTCTTATCATGAAATACTTGATATTCCTTATTGTATATTTCATAATATTGAATTGTTTATTGATATATGGTCAATATATCCAGTAATCTATCAACAAATCGTTTCGTTTGATTTTGTTTCTCTTTATTCGCAAATCAAGCATTCATTCATTTGTTGATATATGCGTTTTGGTGTAGGTAGTGTCAGCAGTCAGAGTCTATTCAACCCAATGTGTGGTAACAAACACAGTGAACTGAGGGTATTAAACACACAGGTATGTCTAATAATACCTATCTTGACCTATCTAAGCAAGCTTCAAGCAAATACCAAACGTCTCATTGAAAGCATTTTTCCAGGTGAAATTTTAATGAATTTTTAAAACCATGAAAGTTTGAAACCTAAACACCTTTAGTCAATGACATTTCCGCGACGTGTGGACTCAAGCACAACCAGACATACAACCTGAACAAATTGTCCACAACAAAACAAAATGGAGAATGCATTATTTGAATTTTATCAACAGTTCATTAAATCAACAGTTTATCTTTAATATGTACTTGTACAGCAAGTAAAGGCATTGATCGCTCATGAATACATAAACATGTGTGGGAGCCAGCAGAGTGTAAGGACTGGTGTTAAAAACGTTCGGTCGAAGAGTGAGTGAGTGAGTTTTAGTTTTAGCCCGCTTTTAGTAATATTACAGCATAACGCGCCGAGGAACACCAGAATTGGGCTTCACATATTGTATCCATGTGGGGAATCGAACCCGGGTCTTCGGCGTGACGAGCGAACGCCTTAACCACTAGGCTACCCCACCGCCCCTAAGGGAATAGAACAAAGACATGGAGTCAATAAAATGTGTCTTTATTGGGTATCCACATATGGTATAGCATCTGAAGGTTTCGACTATAAAACTGTTCCGTTTTTTACAAGACGCACACACACACACACACACGCACACACACGCACACGCACACGCAATCACATACATGCACTAACACACACACCAGTGCATCTTTGTCGCGACGTTTAATATCACTTTCCCGGCCTCACTTTACTGCAGTGGTTAACATTTAAAAGTTTAGCTATTTTGCCTTTCCACCCACAGCAGGACACACAGTAATTGCAATACTCTTCAAGTCGTCCTGAAACATTCTTCACTCTGCTGCTGGAGACCACGACTTTGCTGTGACTGTTACGAAGTAGCTAGAGTAAATATATTCATTGAGGAAGACTTCCTTGTCTGGGGCAAATGTTGTGGTAGTTGTTCGGAGCCAATCTTGTATCAACAATGGATCATGCCTTGAATATCTTCCTCTATTTAACTGTGACAATGCAATGAAAACAGTGTATAGTCTTGGGTGTATGGCACTGACTGTGTTACTTCGGGATTTCCCCCATCAATAAAGAGCACGGAATGACATAAGTGAGACACATATACACTTTAAAAATAATACGCACACATACACACATTAGGGTCGAAAAGTGACCAGTCTAATGTCAAGTATCTTATTGTGTATCACTGAAGCCGATGTTGTTGATTGCTGTTCATGCCACAGTTTTGGGATAAAAGCATTCCAAACAATCATTTGAGACCATTCTGAATGTCATCTATGAACACAAAAGAGACTCCCCTGGATTTACCACTGACAAAATCAAAAATGATAATAACAGACATAATGTCACTATCACCGAGCCCTTCAAATGATTTCACGGATATGCTTTGATAATTATGTAAAAGCAACAATTGATCCTTTGTCACAGATATTCCCCTTTCGCCTCATTTTCTGTTAACATGTCTTCAGATTAAATATTCACAACCTATCATGGATAGCTTATCATGTGTGACTGACTGCAGAAGATGATGTGAACTACTTCAGACTTCTACTCAACGTCATTCATAATATGAACACATTGTTCAAACTGATATTATTTACTTTTTCTAGGCCGTATTGAAGACTCTACGAAAGTTTTTTTTACCAGGAGCAGGCTTAGACAAGTCCGTACTGAAGGGATCCGTCACAGCTATATTTACAGCTACATCAACTTCCTCGTCTCCCGAGCGCAATCTTACGGCAGTCAATACAAATAAGCTGCAGCTTACTTCAGTCATGCAAGACCTCGCTCAAGAATAGAGCACTGTATCGCATTTGAAGAAAGAATACATTCTTCAAAATGTCTGGAAATCATTTTCCGGCAATTTGTGGAATATTTGTTATACTGACATGTGTTTCTTCAAGTTTTATTAACTTTGAACCGGGATTTGAGTACCAGTACAAGTATGATTCCAACGCAAATGTGAAAAATCTTGGAGATTTTCAAGTATTAGCCAAGGTGAGTTCCTGAGTCCTATTTCATTTCCATAATTCTTATTTTGTATATGCCGACACAAAATGTACTTCCAATAAATTAATAGGTCAAAATATGGGAATGGGAAATCACGCCCTGATGTTTCGCGTTAAAGGGGTTAGCGACCGCTAGAGAACTAGCAAAATATCCGAATATTGAGGGAGTTAATCCAGAATATTTCAGTTATTTGTGGGTCTTCAACTTATTGTCGAACAAAAATCAGAAGTAGTGCAAGTTTAACGTGTGCTGAAAAATTGGGAATGACAATCGTGGCAAATCTAGAATTAGTAGGATTCTGGTACGCCTTTTGGAAACAGCTGTGAACGGATTCGTGGCCTCTTAAACCACTTGAGCTCAAGTGCCCATATGCATGAATACGACATGAGAAGACATATATGGAGTCCTCAATAGGTGCTACGTAATCACAACATAAAGGCATATAAGTAAAAGCAAAACCTTAGTATCATCAACTACGATCGTGATTAATCGAACAAACATGTGGCACATTGTGTTTACACGTGTCAAGATGGAAACAGGCTACAGAATTGTAATTTATATAAAAATGTTTAATGCAAGTTAATATCGCGATTATAACTATATAGACGCGTAAACGCCAGCAAATACCTAGCGGTATCTTAGCAAAAGTATGTATGCATATACGGTGAAAACATCCTTAGGGAATATCATTTCATTTGTATTAAGGACGCTGGGGTAGCCTAGTTGTTAAAGCGTTCGCTCGTCACGCCGAGGGGCGGTGGGGTAGCCTAATGGTTAAAGCGTTGGCTCGTCACGCCGAAAACCCGGGTTCGAATCCCCGTATGGGCACAATCCGTGAAGCCCATTTCTGGTGTCCCCCCGCCGTGATGTTGCTGGAATATTGCCAAAAGCGGCGTAAAACCAAACTCAGTCAGTCAGTCGTCACGCCGAAGACCCGGTTTCGATTCTCCACATGGGTGCTATGTGTAAGCACTTTTCTGTTGTCCCCCCGCCGTGACATTGCTGGAATACAGCTAAAATCGGCGTTAAACCACGCACACTCACTCTTCCTTCATTTGAATTATGTCATCCAGATAGGATGATGTTTAAAGAAGGTTATACCCAGATCAATTTGCTTGAAGTGACATTCATACCAGTTAAACATATCTTTGAAATCTGCGTCTAACACAGTAAAAGCTAATTACGTAACCGGAAGAACTCCCTTTAATGGTTAATCCTTTGGGAACAACGATCCTGGGCGACACGCTCCTTTGCTGACAACTTACAGACATGCTGACCGAGTGTCATGATTTTTATGAAGATAATTAGGGACGTGAATGCTTCAAATTCCTTGTTTACCTTCAGTCTACTGTCTGACCTTTGCATTTTTGTAGAACACGGGAAGCTCAAGCCTGTGCACTTGACAAAAATGCATATTATCTTTTTACATATGTCGACAGTGTTTTCTTGGAAACTCAGGCAGAGCTGTGTAACCGGATTTCCAAGTAGTCCCGATTTGTCTGCCATTCACCGGCAACAACTGCGACACGGAGACACGCCTTTTGAAACACGCATGATAATGAATAAGTAAAGAATCGTTTTTATGTGTAAAACACGAAGGACAGTGGCTTATCTAACCAAGTCTTTGAACGAAGATATTCTTAGTTAATGTTGTATGTTTGGTTTGACAAGTTATCCGTTTAGCCCTGTGATGATTTCGGTTCCTGTTAAGGCCACAAACTGGAGACTTGTAAGACTCTTTTTCTGAAGCAGTGGCTACACTCTGGTTACACTTTGATTGTTATTAAAAAAATTTAAAAACATAACAGTTTGGCTTGTGATTTGTCAACGTTGTGAATTCGGTGTTTAGTAGACCCCAGTATCAAATAGCCAGGGCGGACACATAAGAGGATCAGGTGCTGATTTGGGGCTAATTTCGTGACGAGAGATCACTTGTATCGACCTGTATCGACTACATCTTTGTTATCAGTTACTGCTTCGCTTGGCCGAGAGTCGTGTTCAGAAGGTCGTAGTGACACGACTGGAATGCGCGCTCACTGGGATATATTACGACATTCACTCTATAACTCCTTTCTCCAGGGTAGAACTGGGTGGGTGGAGGGGATGGTGTGGTGCTGGTAGTTTAATGCATGTTCGCTGTCTCCATATAGCGAATGTTTTCGTAACAACACTTACAATTACTCGAACGAGAGTGAGGATGGAGTGGTAGGAAAGGTTGAGTTGTGGATGGCAATACGGTCACATCCCGTTGTCTTGAATTCCTATTCGCTTCAGCGATGGGTGTGTGGGGTTGGGGGTTGGGGAGGTGACTGATTGGTGGCTATTAATACATCAAAACCAAATATTCTCGAACTTGAATGTATCGAATTCCCGGTTGTGTCGAGGAATACCAACTCACTTACTCAAGAGAGCGAGATAGGTGGTGAATTCGTCACACGTCGCTCCCTTTTGGTTCCTAGGTATGTCATTTCAAATAGGATCTCTCGTCCTAGTTACTAAGCAAATATTGTATCTCAGCGTGATAGGTTCTCAATAAATTACGTACATGCCTTGACACCCACAAGTGTATTAGGCTGGTTGACAAATCTATAGTGTGTATCGTTTGAAACTACATACATTTGCTTGGCTGAGTGAGTGATGAGTCATTATTATGAAGCCCACTGAATACATGTCAAAGGTGAGATCTTTCAAGTAAGTGAGTGAGTGAGTTTTAGTTTTACGCAGCTTCTAGCAATATTCCAGCAATATCACGGCGGTAGACACCAGAAATGGGCTTCACACATTGTACCTATGTGGATTATCGAACCCGGGTCTTCGACGTGACGATCGAACGCTTTAACCACTAGGCTACCCCAGCGCTACTATTTAAAGTAAGACAAGGCCCAGTGGAATATGTTTCAGTGGACAGTCAGGACACAATATCTCACACCTATTCCCAAATCTGCATCTGCACATACACAAAACACCTGCACCATCCCAATGGCTTTTTCACCTTCTTCAGCTGTTAATCGTGGCATATTTCTTGTACTTGTGTATCATATCATGCATTTAGTATCTCTTTATACCCTATAGAATCAGTCTACACATGAATATCGCTACGGTTGGGGCGATTGATATTGCTGTGTGTAAACAGAAAATGGAAAAATGTTATTTTGCAAGCAAAAATATTAACAAAGATTATTTTAGATGTTCCTAAACACTTTTTCACAATATCAAAGAGACGTTTTACTTCTTTTCACTAATGCAAATCAGCAGAAAATGTTTTAAGAGACTGAAATTATAGGAATGATTCTTTTACAATTTCACACACTCTACAACAGTTGTTTCTTGTTTTAATAGTTGAAAAATGGTTAAATGGTTTATCTTTGTCTTAAAGCAGAATTTGTATTTCAACCTTTCTTTTTGACATCTAAATCACTGTTATTGGTTTATTTCGGCAGGGTCGAAAATAGGACAATTTAACTTTCTGGAACAGATGCATTTCACCTAAATATGAATGTACTTGAGAATGTTTTTTCGTGATTTGCATAAAGCTGTTTTGTTAAGCTTTCTTGTAAACTAATACCTTCTAACATGTCTTTGATAGTTTTTAATACAAGCAATTCATAAAAGTAGGAGGGTATAGTTTCTTTTGGCGTTTAGTGTATATGTACACCTTCCTCTACACCTACATCGACAATGCTGCACCTTCATCTACGCCTTCTCATCTATCTACATCTACACCAAGCTCCACACCTACACCTTGATAACCTACACCTGCATCTACACACATATGTGCACATACACCTTCAGCTATACCTACCACCTACCAGGTCCGGGTTAGCATGAACCTTCAGTAGCCTATGCTTGTCGTAAGAGGTGACTAACGGGATCGGTTGGTCAGGCTCGCTGGCTTGTTTGACACATGCCATCGGTTCCCAATTGTGCAGATCGATGCTCATGCTGTTGCTCACTGGGTTGTCTGGTCCAGACTCGATTATTTACAGACCGCCGCCATATAGCTGGAATATTGCTGAGTGCGGTGTAAAACCGAACTAACTCACTCACTCACTCATCTATACCTTCATCTACGAAGCTGCACCTTCATCTGTGTCTAATCCTTATTCTACATCTACACATAAATGTACATCACATCAACATCCACATAATTATACATCAACAACTATATCAATATAACATTTGTACCAACATCTACCCATACACCTTCTATGCCTACATCAGGCAGCTGCGTCTTCTTCTATGCATGTTTACAGACCGCCACCATATAGCTGGAATATTGCTGAGTGTGGTGTAAAACTAGACTCACTCACTCAATCATCTACTCCTACACCGTAATCTACATCTACACATAAATCTACATCACATCCACATCCACGTCTACATCTACATCTACACCTAGACCAATAAAAAACATCTGCACCAACATCTACACCTACATCTACACCTACACCTAAATCTACATCTACATATATGGCCACACTATCACTTGTAACTATATGTATAGCAACTCCTAAAGACATGTAATCCCGTTACAATTAAGATGTTATCCAAAAGGTCGGGAACCCAAACAACAAAGCAAATTAAGTCCATTTGTAAAATTAGATTTAGGACAGTAGTATCGCGGTCACACTGTGGAGTGTAACAAGCTCGTTTGTGATGCTACCGAATACAAACGCTGAAATTAATCTCCCAATTTATTCAGAGTGTCATGTAAAGCGTAATAAACATGCAATTGTCTTCCGTCTACAGCACAAGTCCGATCAAGGATTATGCTTGGACAAACATGCTGTTGTCATTCGAGTTGTCCCGTAGCCTATAATTTCCCATTAAGCAAGGTGATTACTCATGGGCTATCGTTTGCATGATCATGATAATATCAATTGTCGACCTTAACAATCATAAAACTATCACCTCTGTTTTTGTCACAGGACGTAATGTAGGTCTTAGATGTGAACTGTTTTTGTCACTGGACGTAATACAGGTCTTAGATGTGAACTTCTTTTGTCACAGGACATAATGTAGGTCTTAGATGTGAACTGTTTTCGTCACTGGACGTAATACAGGTCTTAGATGTGAACTTCTTTTGTCACAGGACATAATGTAGGTCTTAGATGTGAACTGTTTTTGTCACTGGACGTAATACAGGTCTTAGATGTGAACTTCTTTTGTCACAGGACATAATGTAGGTCTTAGATGTGAACTGTTTTTGTCACTGGACGTAATACAGGTCTTAGATGTGAACTTCTTTTGTCACAGGACATAATGTAGGTCTTAGATGTGAACTGTTTTTGTCACTGGACGTAATACAGGTCTTAGATGTGAACTTCTTTTGTCACAGGACGTATTGTAGGTCTTAGATGTGAACTGTTTTTGTCACTGGACGTGTGATAGAATCTTGTGACTATGTCAAACATATGCTAAATGGAAAGGGCGATCAGGCTCTGGACTTGGTTGACGCTGTGTCATCGCAACCTGACGGCGTGGGCCGTTGCCGTTGCTCTGGCGCAAAACAGCAAACTTCGACGGGCTACGTATTTGGCTCTTTATCTTCCTCTACACAACCATTTTACGCTTATGTAATGCTTGTCCTCGTTGTTTGTGGGCACGCATTAATAGTCTTATTTGTCACGTTCACACCATGTTACATAACAATTCAAATTATGGGGGGAGTGTTTCTGAAGGGTAATGCCACTTCTGAGGACTTCATACCATCTCAAATAGGTTTTGCAATAGGCTTTAGAAACAGAATAAAAGGTATGGTAAATGTTCTTAGTGGTCGAAAACTTGATAAACTTTTAATGCCAATATTGTCTTGATTGTTTAATACCTATCATACTGTTTATAGTCGCATACATATTTTTATATATGCCAACAAGCCACTGTTATTGTAAAACAAAATGTATATGTCCTCGTTGTTATTCATGTTAAACATATAATACAACAACAAAAGAGTCATCGAAGTGGTATTCGCCCGTTCATAATTCACAATAACAAAGAGAAATCCTACATGAATACGTGCAAACACCCAGTTGCGGGTACAGCAACGTGCAGTGAACCTGGACAAAGTACTGTGACTATGTGTCCCAGTCCACCCAGCTGTGAATGGGTTCCTCGTTAGGATGAGAAAGCCGCAATAACTCGCTGCGCCTAGTGGCTGCTAGAGTTGCATACTCCCCAGGGAGTTGAGATTGATAACACGATGTGCCGTTGAGATTGACATCCAATGATCGAGCGAAAAAAATACCAGCGCCTTGAGCAAGCACTAGTTGCCTGGATATGTGCGCTATATAAATATCGTATAATAATAATAATAATAATAATAATAATAATAATAATAATAATAATAATAATAATCTCCGGTAAGAGAAGAGTCTGTTGTGCTATATCATGAGCATGTGGTTATGAGGTTATGATGCAGCATCAAATACTGGTAAATATTGGTGGTCTCGAAAAGCTGGGTATATTCTGCAGTACCCGTCACAAACACATGCAAAGGCAAGTTAATTGTTCACCGGAAAAAGACATGGGAACATATGGTACATGCAAAAATAAATGAGTTGCATTGGACATCATTTTTGTCACTGATGCATCCCATCTGGAATGTCCTCCACATGTCTGCTATAAATAGTCAATGACATCATCTTGTGTCCATGTTAAAAACAGTACCCCTGTTATTCATCATGTACGTCTCTGATTCAGATCGGCTACATCAACGTCGGTGACAGCGGCAACGGACAAGAGATCTACGTGAAGGTGTATGCTCTTCAGCTGAAGACCAAACACTCACAAGGTAGCTACTACTTCAATTCTTTTATAATACAACTACTCCCACAACTCGTACTACCACGACTACGGCTACGACTACTACTACTACTATTTTATTGATACAACTAAAAGTTCATATCACCATCACCATTCTTCGCCACGTTTAGTCGTAAAATTACCCATGCGGCGTTAATTTAGCTATTTCAACTAATACAGCTCCAACTATTCCTACTACAACTACCACCTCCGCCACCACCAGATCGGTTAAACGCTGGGAAGACAAATACAATTAAAACCAGATAATCTTGCGGAAGTCAGGGACAGTTCTATGTAATTATCAGTGAACCAGGAAGACACGCTTTTCTTTACCTTAGGCTAAAATTACACCTGAATGAGACAAGGGTAGATAAACCTGTTTCGTAGCCTTAAAGTATTTCTACAGAGCACAAAACGTACAATACGATACTGTTTGTACAGAACACAGCGGGCTCCTTCACGTGTTGACTTTCAATGCTTAATTCTAACCAGTCCCCAAACCTGCAACTTGTTTACCACTATATCCAACATTACCATCTCCTCCACTGCAACACCCCACCTCACCCTCCCTAACCCCACCCCACCCCACCTCACCCCATCCAACCCAACGCAAGGTGCTCACAAGAAGCGCGGTGAAAGAAAATCTATAAACGCGCAGGGTAATTTCAAATGACATTAAAGTCGATTTATGGTTTGTCGAAAAACAATCAAGAAGCTATGTCCTATAGATAGATTTATGTGATTTATGAGAAAATATTGGCGAAATCACACATATACTGGGGACATCAAGCACGGAATGATCTGAAATTCGTCATTACACGAACACAAGATTGACTATAAGTAAACAAACACACAAAATACTTTTTGTCAAAGAATTCCTCCTTGATGCTTTATCTTTACAAGTATTATTTGTTTTGAAACAGGGAGGATGCTGACAGCCACAAACGTTTCACAAAAGGGATTTTTAGAGGTTATAAATGTCAATTTTGTTGGACACAAAACACATGCAAACTTGCCAGAGGGACTATTAGGCTTGTCCCGGAATGAGACGAGTTGGCACGGATGTGATTGTCATCTATGCATGACGAAGGGTAACACTTCCTGCAGGTCCAATGTTGTGTAGATTGTCCATGTAGTCATTACGAACATATCTGTGAGTACTGTCGCTGAATAAAATAAGGATCTTTCCTAAATGGATACCCATAAAACCCATGAATACAGCCTCAGTACTTCAGTGAAACACGTTAAAACATTCTGTACACGAACGTCAGTTGAAATACGAATCCTTTCAAGTGGAATAAAGTAGACTTATAGTATGTTGTTATAAATCACATTGGTGAACCACATGTTTCGTCCCCTCCAGCTGTGAAGTGTCTTAAATCATATTCACGGACTGGGTAAACCTTGTCTACATTGGGGACATCCCGCTCTGTATCTGTATTTTCTATAATCCTCCATTTACCATCAATACAGCCTCATTACATTTTTTATACTCTATAATCCTCCATTACCAGTCAATACAGCCTCAATACTTCACGGGCTAGTGTACACTATAATCTTCCATCATCCATGAATACAGCCTCAGTACTTCACCGGTTTGTATACTCTCAAATCCTTCATTATACATGAATACAGCCTCAATACTTCACAGGCTAGTGTACTCTATAATCTTCCATCATCCATGGATACAGCCTCAGTACTTCACAGGCTTGTTTACTCTAAAATCCTTCATTATACATGAACACAGTCTCAATACTTCACGGGCTTATATACTCTAAAATCCTCCATTATATATGAACACAGCCTCAATACTTCACGGGCTTCTATACTCTATAATCTCCCATCATCCATGAATACAGCCTCAGTACTTCACAGGCTTGTATACTCTAAAATCCTCCATTATATATGAACACAGCCTCAATACTTCACGGGCTTCTATACTCTATAATCTTCCATTATCCATGAATACAGCCTCAGTACTTCACAGGCTTGTTTACTCTAAAATTCTTCGTTATACATGAATACAGCCTCAATACTTCACGGGCTAGTGTACACTATAATCTTCCATCATCCATGGATACAGCCTCAGTACTTCACAGGCTTGTTTACTCTAAAATCCTTCATTATGCATGAATACAGCCTCAATACTTCACGGGCTAGCGTACTCTATAATCTTCCATTATCCATGAATACAGCCTCAGTACTTCACAGGCTTGTTTACTCTAAAATTCTTCATTATACATGAATACAGCCTCAATACCTCACGGGCTAGTGTACACTTTAATCTTCCATTATCCATGAATACAGCCTCAGTACTTCACGGGCTTGTTTACTCTCAAATCCTTCATTATCCATGAATACAGCCTCAATACTTCACGGGCTAGTGTACTCTATAATCTTCCATTATCAATGAATACAGCCTCAGTACTTCACAGGCTTGTTTACTCCAAAATCCTTCATTATCCATGAATACAGCCTCAATACTTCACAGGCTTGTTTACTTTAAAATCCTTCATTATCCATGAATACAGCCTCAATACTGCACGGACTAGTGTACACTATAATCTTCTATTATCCATGAATACAGCTTCAATACTTCACGGGCTTGCATACTCCAAAATCCTTCATTATCCATGAATACAGGCTCAGTACTTCACAGGCTTGTTTACTTTAAAATCCTTCATTTTCCATGAATACAGCCTCAATACTTCACGGGCTTGTTTACTCTACATCCTCCATTATACATGAATACAGCCTCAGTACTTCACAGGCTTGTTTACTCTAAAATCCTTCATTATCCATGAAAACAGCCTCATTACTTACGGGCTTGTTTACTCTAAAATCCTCCATTATACATGAATACAGCCTCAATACTTCACGGGCTAGTGTACACTATAATCTTCCATCATCCACGAATACTGCCTCAGTACTTCACAGACTTGTATGCTCTAAAATCCTTCATTATATATGAATACAGCCTCAATACTTCACGGGCTAGTGTACACTATAATCTTTCATTATCCATGAATACAGCCTCAGTACTTCATGGGCTTCTTTACGCTAAAATCCTTCATTATCCATGAAAAAAGCCTCATTACTTCACGGGCTTGTGTACTCTAAAATCCTTCATTATCCATGAATACAGCCTCAATACTTCACGGGCTTCTATACTCTATAATCTTCCATTATCCATGAATACAGCCTCAGTACTTCACGGGCTTGCATACTCCAAAATCCTTCATTATCCATGAATACAGGCTCAGTACTTCACAGGCTTGTTTACTTTAAAATCCTTCATTTTCCATGAATACAGCCTCAATACTTCACGGGCTTGTTTACTCTAAAATCCTCCATTATACATGAATACTGCCTCAGTACTTCACAGACTTGTATGCTCTAAAATCCTTCATTATATATGAATACAGCCTCAATACTTCACGGGCTAGTGTACACTATAATCTTTCATTATCCATGAATACAGCCTCAGTACTTCATGGGCTTCTTTACGCTAAAATCCTTCATTATCCATGAAAACAGCCTCATTACTTCACGGGCTTGTGTACTCTAAAATCCTTCATTATCCATGAATACAGCCTCAGTACTTCACGGGCTAGTGTACTCTTTAATCTTCCATTATCCATGAATACAGTCTCAGAACGTTAGGGGATTGTATACTCTACACATTCCCCCAGGACCACAGAATACATCGTCAATGCTGTAAGGACCTGTATAAACTATCGCCCATAGATATATTCATTTTATCAATACTTCACGGGTCTTACACACTTCATTCCTCGATCACCCATTAATACCCGATCACTATTTCATGGGCGTGTATATGATACAATACAATAATTGTCATTGAATCAACTGATAAGAAATTAATCGTGGATTTTGCAATTGATCACGGTTTCACTATGGTATACAGCAGTTAATTCCCTTTTTTAATTTAGGAAACATTTAAGACATGCATTGTGTCTCGTGTCTGGATATTGCTTTGCACGGGTGATTTTTTACGTGTTAGTTTTCGCAAAACATTCAAAGTCACGCTCCAGTGAATCTGCGGAATGTTAAAAGTCACAAACTGACTGCGCGATGGTTCTTGCATAACGCCCAAAGACAGCTGAATGATCAAGTTCTCTTCCTGTTTGTGTCACGACTGCCGCACAGACACGCCTGTCATTATATTTCTGCACAGTTTCTTAGCAAAATACTTTTCACTTTTGACATAGAAGAAAATATCTTATGGCAAATTTAATTCTAGTTTTATGACAGGTCAAAACATTTCTTTTTCTTAAGAGCAGTATATGTAATATACGTAAAAGCTATTTTTGCAACGTGCATAGGCCATTTTTTACAGGGACATATGATAAGACTATAGACTATGGAAGAGGAGGTGAATATTGCATAGGCGAGGAGTTCTTGGAATTATATATGTGTATGTCTCGAAGTTATATTGCCTTGCTTGTCATGTTAGTGTGCCTGTTTTGATATTTTGATACCATACTTTTTATAAAGTTGATTATCTTGTTATTTTTCAGATACCATTGGCCATCATTTGGACTTCTCGAAATGGTAATTGTCAAATCAAAGAGCGCGTATACGTTTAAATTTCTGATCGCCCGTATTCATCCAAGGAGAGGGATTGAATAGACATCAGATATACACTGCCTGAGTGAGTGAGTGAGTGAGTGAGTGAGTGAGGTTTTACGCCACTTTATAGCAATATTCCAGCAATATCATTGCACGGACACAAGAAATGGGCTTCACACACTGCATCCACGAGGGGAATCGAACCCGAGTCTTCGGCGTGACGAACAGACGCTTTAACCATTAGGCTACCTCACAGCGATCTGGACAAGAGAGAGATTGCCCATGTTTGATCGTGGCGACCAATGAAAGAAACAAAAAATGGATATGTTCCTGGTTTGGACATAACATAAATGTTTTCAACCTAGTAACGTTCTCGCTCCGAAAAGCTGCACATTTGCTGATACGGCGTTAATCAATGTTCTCTCACCTAGTAACGTTTTGACAAGGTCGGGTATTGTTTACACTGCTTAAAAACTGACTGTGTAGAAGGCTATGGTATGACAAGAGTGTGTTTATATCATGAGTATGTATTTGTTTCAGCAGTATTACATCTGTACCACAAAAACATTTTAGTTTGGACCGGATAATGTAGTGATTGATGCAATGATATACGATGACAGAGCATGTGTTTATAAATCACTATCAAGTATTGATAACAGGTCAAATGTGAACAATCCAAAGCATGTTTTACCATCGCTCCGTAGTCTTCAAGGTGTCTTGCTTGACCAGTTATTATCAAATCTACACATGGACACTCATTATGTATCTCACAGGTTCTCGTTTGTGATCACGTCCCGTGGCGAGATTCTCCACGTCTACCACCCTCCCGACGACGACGACGAAGCTGTTGCCATGAAGAAAGGAGCTGCCGCCATGTTCGCGTCTCGTCTACACCACGCTACTGAGGTAATGAGGAATTACTAGTTAACCAGGCGTCTAAGTCTATATAAAACTGTAAAAAAAACACCGACTTAAAGACATATCGGCGTTACGGACTATGCCTCCGCCTTTCTAGTTCACCCCTGCTGCTATACAGTGCGAGATCATGGTTGGTTCAGTGGTTAAAAAACGCCGTCTTTCTGTCAAACATTTGCCAGATTCGGCGTCCTGGAACCGTATGGTCGCGGGTTCGAATCCCATTTTTGTTCCAATTATAGTGGGACAAAGTACAGCTTTTCGTTGTTTGTCTTATGTCATTCCTAATCATTTGATAACACATCTGATAATTTTGCTCATTTTAGAGTCACGCATGCCCGTGGACCAATGGCTTGTAGCAAGAAATTGTAGTTTTACATATTTGAACTGTCCCATATAGTGTGAGAACATAAACTTGAATGTTATACCAGTGTGTTTCTGTTACGCAATTCAACGTTTCACCTGACCAGCCAAACACTAATCGACCCTCACGACACCCCTGGGGAGCTATTCTTACTCGGGTGCCATTGGATACAGACAAAAGCACATGTGAAGTATAAGCGCTTGTATCGGTATGCGATCTGCAGCCTCCTGTATTTACACTACCCTTCAGCGCTCGTCAGTGATCTACTTCCTGGTCCATCACCTGAACAGGTAGAGCTGGAAACAGCGTGTGTCCTGTTCCAATAATTACAAGTAAAGGCCACCAGTCATGTAAGAATTGCGTATGCATGAGATATGGGCGTACCCCGCTGTGGTAAACGGCACACAATTGACGACGTACACAGAAGCCCTGTGTGCGTATTATTTTTAAAAAACATAGACGCGCTGCTTACAGTTGTGCATGATGTGAAGTTTATGCCTTTATATGTTTAAACTTGTCTCCCGCCTCTGACGGTCCATGTCGTGCATACTTTAGTGCTGTATAATACAATACACGCATGTGTGTTTCCTGTTGTATAGTCAGCGGCGCACTAAGCAATATCCACGATACAGGGTGGTGGTCTTTATATGATCAGATATTGGCTCGAGACACGAGTTATTGATATGGCAGTATTTGATACAACACGAAATAAATCATTTATACCACTTGATCCACTTTCGATTTGATGTGATTTAATTGTTGTTTAATGCCGCACTCAGCGGTATTCTAGCTATATGGCGGCGGTTGATGATAACATATTTTATTCATTCAAGAAAAGGATCGGGCACAAGTTTTCCAACTTAGAAAGACCCCCTACCAATAATTACACAATTCATCTTACAACATTGTACACAAGTGACAGACATAGGTTAAAATATGTACAACAGAAGTTAACTGAGAAAACGTTTTGTTTGAGATATATGGATATGTACATATTTGAAAACATTCTGATTTTTAGTAATTGAGAGTCCTGCATTGCCATGTAAGATAAGATTAATATCAATTATCAATGGCGGCGGTCTGTAAATAACCGAGTCCAGACAATCCAGTGATATCGATCATCACCAAGATACAGGCGTTCGTGAAACTTACAACCATGTCGCTTCATATATGTTTGGATCTTTCTATCAACCCATTAACAAATACATATATACTGCATTTCACTGATTTATAGCATTGCAAAAGGTCGGTGCTGAGGACTGATGCTAGAAAACACACACACCACAGGGTCGGATACAGGGAGGTGCAAAGTTCATTTTCACCTGTTTATGCGAGCGTTTCAGTGGTCATTCAATAAACTTTCAGGACACCCTGCACACCCCGTCTGGATCCGCCTATGCACCGCTTGGAAAACACAATAATGAACCTATCTACATATAGGTTTTGAATCAAAGTTGTCTTAGGTGCAGGGTTACGTCCCTTACACATTTCAGGATCCTCTTAACATAAACTTGAATCCCAGGTTAACTACGATTACGAATCCTGGTCTGTCAGCACCATAAACCTGCTCCAGAAATTCACCGAGACCTCCACGTCTTCAAAATTGACAGTTTCCTTCTACATTCAAGTCACAATAGTTGTGCTCAATACTAAACGAATGTTTAATCATTCAAACTGAAGCTCAGTGCATGTTTCTAAACAGACCATTGTTGTGTCTTCCGGAGAAGCAAGGAACATTTCCGAGAGTTACCTTTGTGTTGAATATGTCAACCTTACAAGAAACAGGAAGGTGTATTATCTTTCCCTTAATGTAAAATACTTTAATTTCATTGGTCAATGAAGCTTTAACAAGTTTCCGTGTCACCCCTCCCAGGAGGGTGACAACAGGAAAAAATATTACCCGCTGCCACGGTAACCGCCAAGCTCTCCGCCGAGAAGCTGAAGGGCTAACAATCGTATGACGTCATAATATGACGCATGCCGTGCCCGAGTTCGAAAACCGTTCGATCAGCTGTTTTTGTGTTCACTTTATACAGATTTAGTTTACCGACTTTCACTGCTTTATTTAAGGCATTTCATACGTGGAGTGGTTTGCACACTCGACTTCAACATAATTAACCATTTTTCTAGCTGTCTTTAGCTTGTCAGAATATGTTTCACTGATTTTTAAAATCCAGTGGAGAGGCAGACGCCATTTTGTTTACATGTCATATAGTCGGTCGCGATCTTAAACATAAAATAAAATAATGTTTTGTACATTTAACATGGCGGTAAGATAAATACGTTGTATGCTTCTCCCTCGGGTAATACAGTCTGATGTACGCCTTTTTGTAGCAGTGTCATCCCTCACCTACCAGCTCGGGTGACACTTCTACAAAGAGGCGTACATCAGACCGTATTACCCTCTAGAGAAGCATACAACTTATAATGTCAGACACAGCTACAAGTGTATTATCTTTTCCCGACGGTGTAGTGTGCAGTCTATGCTATGGTTGCCGATTGACTACACTGGGTTGTTTACAGGCAGTAGATATCGTACTGATTATTATTGATTAAGGACCAACACTCATTCCTTCTCACCTGGATACAAATGTCTTTGGTTGTCTTTTCAGGATCATGTCCATGCAACTGACGACGGCTGGGGTTATCACGTGAGAGAAACTGGACATGAGGGTAAGGATCGGGGGCAGGGTCTGGGACCGGGCAGGCATTGGGTGTCAGGGTTAGTATTGACGACTTAGATTGATTGCTGGCCTGGGAGGGCTGGTTGGCTGTTGTAAGGTCGAAATGGGTTTTACCCATGTGATAGATTGGATGCCGTGGTTGTGCTTATGATCCGGGATGTGTTAATAAGAAAGAGTTGGATGCCGCAGGACGGATGTTGATTGAGGACTGGTCCGAGTCCGTGGATGTGTTGGAGGATGTGGATGGGATGGTTTTTGTGGGTGGGTTGGTTGCCGAAGATGGGCTGCTTGTCAAGGACGGGTTGCACGCAATAGTATATAACTGTTTGGCAGGAATGCAGTCTGATATATTGGTTGTCTTGAAATACGAGTCCTTTCTTAAATTGTTTACATTTTTTAAATGTATTGCAATCCTACTCCAGGTCCTCACAACGCCACCTACTCTGTGCGGCCAACTCACACAGGTCACGTGTTCACCAAGACGAGATATCCGGGTCACCACCCCGTCACGCACGCAACATCAGATTATACCAAGGTAGACCACGCACTTTCTGCTGCTGTCGATGAAGCATATCAGGAAATACTGCTCGAAATTTTAGTTAACTTTGCAAAAATCTCTTCCCTCCAATAATACATTGAAATGGCATATCATAGTGTACAATGGACATATTGCTATATCATATAATGCGTGAGAAAGATACAAAACGGAGAAAATTCGGGATCAGTTTCAAACAGATCAAGATAACGTCCCCGAAAAGAAGGGCCAGAACAGGTGTTTAGCAACCCATGCGTGTCGTACGAGGCGACTAACGGGTTCGGGTGGTCAGGCTCGCTGACGTCTTTCATGCATGTCGTCGTATTCCAACTGCGCGGGTTGATGACCATAAAGTCAATCACTTGATTATCTGGTCCAGACTGGAATATATACGGACTGCGTCATAAAGCTAGAATATTGCTGAGTGCGGCGTTACACAACAAACAGTGACTTGCATCTACAAGTACGTGATAAACCCCAACAAAACCACAATGAAATATTTTAACAGAAACCTTAAACAGTCTAACCAAGGGTTTCCATGTCTGCGTAGGGCGTGATTTGCAGTGCGTAAACAACACTTTCTACTAAAATAGTAATAGCTTTTTCCATGCACGCGTGATATGTGGTGCGTGATGCTTAGTGCGTGATCTTGCTTACGCTCAAAACGCGTCCGAATACGCATCACGTAGCTATACGGAGGCCGGAAGTAAGGATTCCCAAGGGGTCTTGCCAATGTCACGTGGTTTTCATTGCCCACACAAGTGGCAAAATTCCAAGGAATTCGGTACCCGAGATACTTCTTGAACAAGTAAAGCTATTTTATTACTATTTTATTGCTACAATTTTTAATTTTTTATCCATAATGTTTTTTTCTTCGGTTTGTGTTTTTTCACATACCAGTACAATAACCCTGCAATAACCACATCCTCTGTTATGTCTATTATTTTTCTAGCGTTCTTTGAGAAGCAAAGTGGAATTGTAGACTGCAGTTAGTACGATCTCCAGGAAAAGAAAGATTTGACGCATCACATACCCTTTACACGCGTACACATGGAATTGGACAATAGGCACTACGTATCACGCAATTTCGCAGACAATACGTAAACATGGACACCTTGTTTTAACCTTTGTCGTCTACTCAGAGAGGACCGAAGGTGTTAGACGCTGTGGCGGACTTTGTACTGTACGCGAACATTTGACATTTTAAGAGCGCCTCAACCAATGTTCTTTTTCTTACAATGAACACTTGTCAGATTAAAACTACTGCCCCATCATATAATGTTTTCATGCTAAAACATAGCAAGACGAATAACTCAAAGTATTTTGATTACCATAGGTATGCATATATACTTGACTATATGACGATATGGTGGGCGTGGTTTCAGACGCTGTATTACGACACTGCCCTTGGAACAATGCACACCATTCAAGTGGAGGAGAAGTTCCGGGTTATGCATAAGACTGCAGAAGGGTGAGGATGTTGAATATTTCGCTTGAAAACACATGTTACTGTTGATGTAACCATCTTTATTATATCACACTCAATTGCCTGGCACGGCTGACCAAGACAGTCAGCAGAGGCCCCGGTATTCGATGTGCAGAGTTGCGTCCATTTGATGTTTGTGGGGTCGGATCACGGGTCGTCACGGTGATGTTTCTGGATTTGTCAACGCCGTGACCACGCTCGTTTTTAAATTTCTGATCATCATTCTTAATGAAATGACCACCATCATACTCAAACATGTAAATTTACTGGACTATGTGTAACGTTGCTCTCAAAGTATTTTACCCTCATTTCAGATTAATTTGAGATATTGACACAGCTCGTTGACCCTAATGTGATTAGAGTTAGTGAGTTTTAGTTTTACGCCGATGTTAGCAATGTTCCAGCACTATTACGGCTGTGGGCACCAGAAATGGGCTTCACACATTGTATCCATGTGGGGAATCGAACCCGGGTCTTCGAATATATTAACCGCCAGGCTACCCCACATAATGTGATCATAATGATATCTCCGGGTAAGTGATCACCATGCCCCTCTTAATGAGAATACAAATGAGTGGCACCACAGACAAAAGGTGAGGTGAGGTAAAATTGGGCTTAACGTCGTGCTGGAGAATATTTCGCTCATATGACGACGTGCATGCGTGTGTGTGTGTATGTGCGGCTGCTTGTACTAGCCCAGACTGAAGCTGGTTTTATAGTGCTAGCCCACTGAGATACCATGCCGCAGTGAAGCATGAATACCCCACTCAGACACATTATACTGACTCCGAGCCGACCTTGTTGTACCCATTAATGCCGAGCGCCAGGCAGGGACCAACAAGTACCATATTTTAACGTCTTTTGGTATGACGTGGTCGGGTATTGAACCCGCGACCTTCCGCTCTCCGTGCAGACGCTCTAACCACTACACCACGGAGGCGGTCACAGGCAAAAGGATTGAACTGGCTAGATATGCAACATACACACCTAGAACTGTCTATATCTATGTTACTTTTCTGCCACTCACTAGATATGACCCGTATGAAAACAGTCGTCCAGTCAAGGCGGTCAACAACTTCACAGAAATGGGTGAGCGGTTATATGCAGTTATGACAGACCCTTACGGTTATCAACGGTGGTAAATATTTTACAGATGCTTCTGCGAATTTGTACATTATTTGCTGGATGATGTTATCTTCAAAAGAGCTTATGTGGATCTGACTTAAGACAGATATACATTTATACCAAGACTAACAAGTCCCCAATCAAATTCAATTTACTAGAACGATTTATGTTTATTATTAAATGAGCACGTTCAATGAATCCATACGTGGATCCTGATAAAATCATACACATGATTAACCGGATTCAACCCCAAAATATGGAAATTAATTGACTTACTATACGCACGCACGCACGCACGCACGCACGCACACACGCACGCACGCACGCACGCACGCACGCACGCACGCACACACACACACACACACACACGTTTTCCAAAATGCTGTACGCCCACTTTTTTCTATAAAACTGTAACCTCGCTAGGACTTGAATACACAATGTCTTGGATCTACCGCGTTTGGAACTGTTTACTTACATGAAACCTGTGTCAGTGCTGTGAAGAAGAGTACATGAAAACTGTAATATATGACAGTCTACATGATTGCTGTCTCCAGAATTACCCGAGATGTCAGCGCAAGGTTCAGGAAAGCTGGTGTTCCTCAGAAAACACAAGGTTGACAGTATTCCCAGCAGACCAAAGACAAACATCAACAGGGCGTCCATACATATCAAAGAGGTAACCGTTTCTATATCTTTTACATTCAAAATACAGAGTGAATCCCCATCTGTCGCGTTAACTCGATTTCTGTTGTGAAAATTTGTATTCATACGTTAGCGATGGCACTCCTGTTCAGATGCGTCAGAAACAGTAGATCTTTTCAGTCACCTTCATATCGATCGGATACAACAAACACTTGTTGCAACATTTTCAAACCTTCCTCCTTGAAAACCTTCTTCAAATTGTATTATTAATATCGATGGGCTTGTTGATGTGATCTTGTTTAAGAAAACTAAAAATGAATCAGAAAGCATTTAAAAAGAGAAAGATAATATACAGAGAATCTGCTCAGTAAAGTCTAAAGACACCTAAGTTTGCATCATACATGGAATGCTAAAAGCTAGGAATCGTTAATATTTTGTAGCACACAATTTAAACAATGTAAATCCCCTTGCATATTAACGAACCATAGCTTTTCGTCCAATTAATCTCACGCTAACGCTTATGTCAGTCGGTGACAGAAAGGAAACCAATAAAATAATAAAATGCAGAAAATGTGCAAAACGTATGTGCACATTTGATAGGAAAATGTCTTAAATAATGAATTGAGAATAAACGTAGACGTACGGGACCTCAGAACCCTCATCTAGTACATCGTTTGTCCCAGGTGAAGCGCAAGAAGACAGCAGTCAATGTGAAGGAGTACCTGCAGTATGTGAAGGGGAACCTCACATGCATGCGAAACGAGCCAGATAAAGGTACTACTATGTGTAGATATGGTCTAGGGTCTTAATGTCCCGTAAATAAATACAAGTTTCTAAATCACATATTAGGTCCATTTGTAAACACAAGTCTCAAAAACCACACATTTGATTCGGTTGTAAATAGTGGATTCTAAAGACTGTAGGTTATCAATATGTAAATACCACCTTTGAAAATCAAATAGTTTACCGGAGTGTGAATACAAGCTTCTTAAGCACACAGTAAGGAGAGAATCTGGAATATTAAAATGTTTACTGTCTTTTTTTCAGGTTCGAAGAAGTTGGACAAATGCTTCACTGAACTTGTTGCCGTTCTCCGGGACTTACCTGACAAACAGTTGGCTATCCTTGCCAGACAGTACCTGACCGACAGGCCGAGGTGAATAAACCCTTGAAGTACTTACTAGACACAAATTGAAACAGTTGAAGGCACTTGTCTTATATAAATCAATATTTTATGCAATAAATGTTTTTGCATAAGAATATGTATTTATACATCTGCACATTATACAGAAGTAGTAAACTATGTTTGTATTTCATGACTTCATGACAATGGAGGAAATAAAGTATATATATATGATGAAGGAGTAAGGATATGCCCCGAAACGTTCTGTTCCTCATAATAAAGAAGTTGACATTCATGAAAGACTCTCTTCCTCATTTGTATAACTTCTAAATGCCTACCAAAGATCATCTTAAGCTGAATGGTATTAACTGCCAGGTATCTGATTGTTCCTCGTGTGTATAATGAATATCTTATAGCATACCAGTTGCTCACTTTAGCTCAGATCATCGTTATCCTAGTTTACCTAGTTTTATCTAGTTTACCTGTTTGTACTTAACGTGACGCATAAACATGTCCACTGGTAGATGCATTTTAAATCATCATGGTTCCAACGACACCTGCAATCCTCCATTACATCTATTTACAGACTGACTAAGACCTTCAAGGACCAGAACCACATGTTTGATGCTATCGCTGGTCTGACCACAGACCTGTCTCAGCAGCTCCTGCTGGACCTTGTCCTTAACAGATCCAGACCCGACTCCTCCCTGGTGATGAGACTCATGCTCCACATCGTCTCCTTTGATGAACCACCAATAGACGTAAGTGTAGACACTTGTTGTATAACAGTTACAAGCTTATGTTGTACATCGTCTCTCTTGATGGACCACCGATAGACGTAAGTGTAGACATGTGTGGTATAACAGTTACAAGCTTATGTTGTACATCGTCTCTCTTGATGGACCACATATAGATGTAAATATAGATATGTGTGGTATAACAGTTACAAGCTTATGTTGTACATCGTCTCTCTTGATGGACCACCAAAAGATGTAAATATAGATATGTGTGGTATAACAGCTACAAGCTTATGTTGTACATCGTCTCTCTTGATGGACCACCGATATAAGTAAATATAGATATGTGTGGTATAACAGTTACAAACTTATGTTGTACATCGTCTCCATTGATGGGCCACCGATAGATGTAAGTGTAGATATGTGGTATATCAGTTACAAGCTCACGTTCCACATCGTCTCCATTGATGGACCACCGATAGATGTAAGTGTAAATATGTGGTATATCAGTTACAAGCTCACGTTCCACATCGTCTCCATTGATGGGCCACCGATAGATGTAAGTGTAAATGTGTGGTATGGCAGTGGTATAATAGTTACAAGCTCACATTCCACATCGTCTCCATTGATGGACCACCGATAGATGTAAGTGTGGATATGTATGGTATAACAGTTACAACCTCATGTTCCACATCGTCTCCATTGATAGACCACTGATAGATATAAGTGTAGATATGTGTGGTATACCAGTTACAAGCTCATGTTCCACATCGTCTCCATTGATAGACCACTGATAGATATAAGTGTAGATATGTGTGGTATACCAGTTACAAGCTCATGTTCCACATCGTCTCCATTGATAGACCACTGATAGATGTAAATGTAGATATGTGTGGTATAACAGTTACAACCTCATGTTCCACATCGTCTCCATTGATAGACCACTGATAGATATAAGTGTAGATATGTGTGGTATACCAGTTACAAGCTCATGTTCCACATCGTCTCCATTGACAGACCACTGATAGATGTAAATGTAGATATGTGTGGTATAACAGTTACAACCTCATGTTCCACATCGTCTCCATTGATAGACCACTGATAGATATAAGTGTAGATATGTGTGGTATAACAGTTACAAGCTCATGTTCCACATCGTCTCCATTGATAGACCACTGATAGATATAAGTGTAGATATGTGTGGTATACCAGTTACAAGCTCATGTTCCACATCGTCTCCATTGATAGACCACTGATAGATGTAAATGTAGATATGTGTGGTATAACAGTTACAAGCTCATGTTCCACATCGTCTCCATTGATAGACCACTGATAGATATAAGTGTAGATATGTGTGGTATACCAGTTACAAGCTCATGTTCCACATCGTCTCCATTGATAGACCACTGATAGATGTAAATGTAGATATGTGTGGTATAACAGTTACAACCTCATGTTCCACATCGTCTCCATTGATAGACCACTGATAGATATAAGTGTAGAGATGTGTGGTATACCAGTTACAAGCTCATGTTCCACATCGTCTCCATTGATAGACCACTGATAGATGTAAATGTAGATATGTGTGGTATAACAATTACAAGCTCATGTTCCACATCGTCTCCATTGATAGACCACTGATAGATATAAGTGTAGATATGTGTGGTATACCAGTTACAAGCTCATGTTCCACATCGTCTCCATTGATAGACCACTGATAGATGTAAATGTAGATATGTGTGGTATAACAATTACAAGCTCATGTTCCACATCGTCTCCATTGATAGACCACTGATAGATATAAGTGTAGATATGTGTGGTATACCAGTTACAAGCTCATGTTCCACATCGTCTCCATTGATAGACCACTGATAGATGTAAATGTAGATATGTTTGGTATAACAGTTACAACCTCATGTTCCACATCGTCTCCATTGATAGACCACTGATAGATATAAGTGTAGATATGTGTGGTATACCAGTTACAAGCTCATGTTCCACATCGTCTCCATTGATAGACCACTGATAGATGTAAATGTAGATATGTGTGGTATAACAGTTACAACCTCATGTTCCACATCGTCTCCATTGATAGACCACTGATAGATGTTAATGTAGATATGTGTGGTATAGCAGTTACAACCTCATGTTCCACATCGTCTCCATTGATGGACCGCCGATAGATGTAAATGTAGATATGTGTGGTATAACAGTTACAAGCTCATGTTCCACATCGTCTCCATTGATAGACCGCCGATAGATGTAAGTGTAGACATGTGTGGTATAACAGTTACAAGCTCCACAACACTGGTTATTTGCTGCAAGAATACTGATTCAACCACGACTAGCAGCAGTGGTAATTCCCGAGGTGTAAGCGACGGGAGGAGGCCCAGGGAGTACTGCAATGGTTCGGATTGAATGTAGATCCCGGATTATTTGTATGTTTTGCTTTTTGCACAGGGTATCATCACAAAACTGAAGAGCCTGTGTTTTGAGCGCGAGAAGGCCCCTGTGACTCTACAAGAACACAAAACATATCACAGGATTGTGCTGGCGTTGGGAGCGGTTGCTAGGCGACTATTGGACGCTGGGAGGAAGGAGGAGGCGGTTGATATTGTCATGAAGTTTGAGGGATGGCTTGGATTACATGGTGAGAATAACTATTTGACTTAGAAAACATCAACAACCACAAACATAATTTAGTATTTTCACCAAACTTTGTTAATTCGGTTAATGCTCACTGAATTTTCACTTCACACATCTGGCGTTCACAGGTTTGTCTGTGACTGCTATATTCTTACAGATCGAATGACATTCACATTCCCTAACTTACTTTCATCCCGATCTTGAGCCTGTTGTGGATTAATTATCTGCTCACCTTTTCCAGATCCCTGGCTTTACCGCACGAAACGATCTACTATGACAGAAATTGAAGTCCTTAATGACGACCGCTGGAGAGTTATTTTACTGGGATCTCTGGGTAATGCTGGTCTCGACCAATCATTTGAGATGATTGTGTCACATGTCAACACAACCAACTCTCAGTGGGTGAAGCGGGCTGGGATACACGCCATGAGGAAGTACCATCATGAAGGGGTATGCACACAATTAACTTTATAACTAACCAAAAAGGAAATTCAGTACAGCTTCGTTCATTCAGATAGGCAACAGCTGAACAAATATGAAGTACTACACTCTTAAATGTAAACAAAAACATTGTAAAACTGTAATTGTTACCAAATGGTATTTGGTAGAGGCACCAAGGAATGCTTCACATCAGTAGAAAATATTCGAGTAGAGGTACCAGGGAACGATGTATTAATGACACATCCCTTGATCCAGGCAGCACATCTGATGTTGAAGACAGCCCTGTACGATGACGACGAGAAGGTGCGATATGAAGCCCTCCTACAATACCAGGCTCACCCAAAAGCAGCAAAAATAGCCCCCATGTACAGAGAAGAAGGGTGAATATTGAATACTTTCAACAATTCATTCATAAGCTATTTTAATGGTATATTTTGTGGCTTCCAAAAATATTACTTCTTCCAACCCCCCAATTTACTACCGAAAGGTAAGACAATTCAGATTTTTTTTTTACTTTTGTACATCATAGATGAATTGTCCATAGCCCATTACTTCAGTGAGACTCTGGGGTTGATGTATGGTTAAAACGGTGTCTCACCTCCTCATCAGTCCAGTACGAATTGACGATGAATCACAATAGGGTGGCTGGATGCATAACGTCCGAAGAGTTTTGTTATTATTCAGTCACTGATTTCTGTATACCCCTGGCTTCCCCATTAAGCGGGTAGTTGTCAAAGGTGTCACCTAGAAGAGGCATCTTACTGTAAAGAGAAGCATCCCCAAGCAGCATGAGAATGCAATTATCATGAATTCTGGGGCTTGGTCTGTTACCAGCACCATATCTGTGTCCAGCGGTTAAGCCTTCGACATTGCATTTTGTTTCCGATTGAGCTGAGATGACCTGATTGTACCCTTCAGACAAACTGTGAAATCGATGCTAAACCTAATCATCTGATATATTACAGTCACATGAATGGATCCATTTTTCACGTGGATCCTCGCTATGTTGGCAAACGGGACATTGAAGTACACCATCGACGTAAAAGGGACATCGGTAAGATCGAGTTCAGACTGGCCTCACCGTACGTAGACTGGAAGAAGATGATTGGAACCACAACAGTTGGAGCTTCCTTTGGACTCCTCATGAACAACGCTTTAGACTTCAAGATAGGTATGCTCGTGTCAGTGACATACAGTTGCACACCATTGTGTCGAAGGTGAAGCGACCTCTGTAAATACTTACAGTTATCCGAATAAATAAAAGAAAAAAAGATTTAACGTCGAGATAACTATAAGTTCGACACATCAAACTTCGACACGGTGTTTTATGTATACCGACATTCCATATCCACAGTGTTTAAGATATCATAGATTATCATAATATACTCTTATTTCAGATTCCATTGTAAATGTCATTGTTTATTTTAACTGTAATGTCAGACTAGCATTCAAAAATATTTGACGAATACCCTAACTTGAAAATAATGATGCAGCAATCCAAGCCATTAACAAAACAACCCAACACACTCAATAATAATATCTGCGTTTAACAGAATTATTGGAGTTATTTGACATGCAACTTTGATGTTATCTGTCCGTCGACACAAGGACGATTTTGATATTTCATGTTCCTCTCAACCCCTCGATCCGTGAAAATCTGGGGTGAAACTGGCCTTCAACAATCTATGCTTAGGTAAGAGGCCTGCAATACGTCCAATTTTACTCCAGCGTCACCGACAGGTACGTCTTGCCTGGTGCAGACAGCATCTAGAAGACAACAATGTGATAGTGTTTTGTTCACTGACGAGCAGAGATTTCATCTGGACAGCGCGGATGGCAGGGCAAGGGTGTACAGACATTCACGCTTCGGCAAGGTAATGCCCGTCCACATGTTGTGACAGATTTCCTGAGTGAGCAGAACATCCATGGCCAGCTCCGGACCTGTCCCCTATCGAGCACGCTTACGATGAAATGGAGCGACGTTTACGTCAAGAACAGATTGCCCATTGACGTTAGGTGAACTGGAACAAGCGTTGGTTTAGTCATGGAACAACATTCCCGAGGCTTTCTTCAGTCGCTTAGTGTCGTCTGTGCTTCCTCGTTGACAAGCCTTTGGACATCACATCTCATCAAGGGCATGTCACGATGCCTAGTTTAAAATCATACAGATTTCGATATTATCCTGGCAACAGTTAAACAGTGATTAAGGAAAACACCACAAATCATGTTATATCTTTTTTTCATTAAACATGGCATAACATCATCTAATGCACAGTTACTGTATTCCAATAGTATATATTGTCACTGCATGTTACAGCACCTTTGAGCGGACACATGAGAGTGAACGTCTACGATGAAGCCTATGCCCGCATCCACCTTGGTTTCATGGGCAAGAATCTGGAATTCTTTCTGGCGAGGATCTGCTTCAAGGGAGGAGCTTCTTACAACCTGAACATGCTGCAGGTAACCTAACAAAGCAGCCCGTTGAACCACTTCTGTTGTGCCCAGTCTGCTCAGCTAAACCGTTGTAGCAAATGACTCTTGTCTATGACAGTTGTGTGTCTACCCTTTGTGAACGTGTGACGCGACTTTGCGCTAAGACCTACCTGTAATGTTTCCAAAGTCTTACGTTCTGTTGGACAGGGAATATATGTCTACACTCGGCTGTGTTAACGTTAGGAAGCCTGATGCCTTCCAGTGTAACAGGAAGACAATTCATATTCAAATGCCAACAAGATGAATAATACCACATCAGATTTATCAGCATTTCCAAATGAGAATGTGTCAAGCAGCCATCATAAGAATATTATAAAGTAACATTTTACATTTAATTACGTACAATGCAAATTGATTAAATTTTCGGTTGGCACCGTTTGTTCCTGTTCCAGGAGTATGGCGTGGACAACCTCCAGAAACTGGTTGAACTCTACGACGCTGTCAAGGGTGATGCTGCTGGTGGTATAGGGAGAGGTCTGGATCTCTTCAAGAGAATCATCGATGGGTAGTTCTCGCTTACTGACATGATAGAAGATTTCAAAAAGGCGCTGGAGGAGCTTCCAGATAAGGTGTGTTCATTGAGCAATTTATACTACAATCAAGAGTTTTCCTTTGTGATGTAGAGGTCAGATAAACTCGGCATCATGAGCAGATCACCTATTTGGAAATATTTTTGACCAGCCCTATACAATGTCCACATGTCCATAAACTTTAACATGAAATAGGTCTCGTTCATGTTCTGATGTATGTAAATGGGCGGTGGTGTAGCCTTGTGGTTAAAGACCTGTGTTTGGTTGTACACTGTGTGCAGCCCATTACTGGCGTTATGTCGAAGGGTTATGACCTGTTTAATTATATCTTTTTATTTCCTTACTTGTGTAACATTTCGTAAAGACCAACGACAAGGAAGTCCACACACGAACCAATAACACGCGGATATTTAATGAAATCGAACTCATGTGGGGAATCGAACCCGGCGTGACGAGCGAACGCTTTACCCACTAGGCTACCACACTACCCTCCTTTAGGACAATAAGCACATCATCGTATGATACAGGTTGTGAGTGTTGGAAAGAAGGCATCAGATGCTATGGCAGTCCTTGGTCAGCTGGACGAGAAACAGTTGCCTCCCTTTGCTAAACCTGCCAGGGACCTTGTGTTGAAAATCACAAACCTTTACAAGGAAGTCAAGTCATCGGTCCTCAGCTTTTACAATGTAGGTATTACCATAATAATTTTGTCTTCTTCAATATCTTGTGCTTCTCATAATAATTTTTTTTGAGTTCCTTTCTGTCAATATTGATGTAGTGTCATAATGTAACTGAGACCACCGTTTCAATCTTTTCTGTGAGTTGGGTAGGCTGGCTATAAGTCGGCAGCTACTATTGGAGCATCTTTACATGGATAAAATCTATATTCAAATTGCACCTCAAACTACCTGGTCTGTTGAGCTAAGTAACCGGAAGGGGTTTCAATGTAGGAAGGTACGATTTGGTTTTTGAATTCCCTGGTGTTTTAGTAAGTGAAATAGTAATCTTCCATTTAATGCTATTATTTATTCATAAACAAGAAGAACGTTTACTAAAGAGAAATGAATATTATTGTGCTGTCCATTTCAGCAACTGATGGAGACAGTGACGATTATAATACCCAGGGCAGGGAAGATGATCTATAAGGCTATTAAGGCTATCATTGATAGCTTCAGGGCGTTCAACAAAGACCCCAAACAGGCCATTTCTACTGTCGCTGGCAACGTTATCACGTGAGTAACTCTCACGGAACACCTGGTACCACTGATTATCTTCGTCAAAGGGTAGCTTTAAATATCGTTTCATGATTCAAATAATCTTTAAGTCTATTAATTTGGACTAATGTTTGTTGTTTTTCAGCATAGGCCTAGAAGTAAAGAATCTGGTTCACGTCATTTACAAGACCAAAACTGCAATATATACAACCCTCGGTAAGTCTTTCTATTATAAACGTCAACTACGCTTGACTTACATTTACCACAGTAATATGCCGATGGAAGGGAAGCTTAACCTTTGTCCAGATGTCTATTAACTGGAAAGAGTCATTTTTTTTAACTACTCAGTAACGTTTGACATGTGATATTCCTTTTTGTTGTTGTTGTTGAGTTGTTTTTCGCCGCCCTAAGCAATAGTCCAGCAAGATCACGGCCAGGGACATCAAAAATGGGCTAAGCACATTGTACCCATGTAGGAAATCAAACCCGGGTCTTCAGGATATTCCTTGTTAATTGTGTGTAGCAGTATTACTGTGATGACTATGCTGGCTTCGAGGTTTCACCATATCTGGAAACATTTATTTCCTCTCGTTGGGCCTTCCAGTGGCATACGGATAACTATTGGTGTTATAGATTACATTCTCACTATTTTTGTCTCATGTGTCAACAGAAAATCCTCCTGACTGGATGGACCTAGGTTCGAAGGTGCTTGAGATAGTGGAGGCAGGGGCTAAAGCAAAGACGGCGCTGCTGGAAGGTGGGGAGAAATGGATCAAGGCGGTTGTAAAGGGGAGGAAAGACCCTGTAGCGGAGTTTTCCAAGGGGAAGAGTAACATGGTGAGTAATTCAATACGGAGTATGTCTTGAAGGCACTTGAGCTGGAATTTACCTCATGAATGACCACATCGGATTTATTGTACTGTGGACTGGACCCATCTGTTCACACATTCAAGCAATGACGCATCTGTCTCTTGAGACTCCAGTGAAAGATAGGTCCCCATTATAACATACTGGTGGCCAGATCTGAATAAAGAAGACGCTGTTTTCAAACTCTAGGACATGCTAATTGAATATCATAGTGCCACGATGGCCCGGGTCGTTTCTCATGTTTTTGGTACGGGTACGTCTTCCCCATTGAACAATAGCTAGAATAAAACGTCACTCACCAGTTGCTAATAGACCAGGATGGCTAAACACCAAATATCTGTGTATATATTTTGCGGAAAACTGCCCATATCTGAATAAAATAATTCAAATGTTAGAATTAAAGCACGGCTGTATGAAGGAAACTGAAAAAAATGTTTTTTTATCACTCAGCTTTGTGTTGTTTGATATATGTGGAATGTTCCTATTTAATCCAGCGAAGGTGAATATTTCAGTAGCCTTTGCATCCAGGAGTAGAACATGGGCTTTATATCCGAATGCCTTGAATAGGAGAAGTTAACTTTTACGATTACACAGTTTGTTCTCTGTTTATACAAATTGTAACATACTGATCAAATTTTATAGACTGCGATAAGACAGGAAGTGGTGACAATGCTGAAGGACATTGTTGATGATGTTCTGACTCCTCTTGAACCTCTAAAAAAACTGGGAAGAAAGTTCGTGGACACTTTCAAGAAGGTGTTTGATATCGCCAAATCCGTGAAGCGAGCTTACGACGCTCTGAAGGAAGGGTAAAGTTTGTTTGTTGTTTAACGCTGCACTGAACAATATGCTAACTATTAACCATTGATAATATGTAATATCGTTAATCTTAACAACGTTCTACTACTAATCATCTAGCGTTATGTTTTAGTTTTTTTATTTAACGAAGGGTCGTGGTAAACATTGAAATAAACCAACATGGGGTTGAACCAACATGGCGGGTAGCACTTGTATGTTTAGAGGGCGTGTTCTTGATTACAAGTTTTTATATTTCGTTTTTTCCATCTGGAATCCTCATTCAAAGTGACTTCATATATGGGGAAAGTGATTTGAGAGAACACAGACATTGGGAGTAGTTTGTACATCTCCTCATACAACCTGAAGAATGTATGGTGTTCATATTGGCTTCAGATACCGAGCGGCCCGCTCTCTTATCGACCGTATTTTCGGACCCAAATGTCACAAGGACTTTCCCCGAACCCTCCGACTCGCTGGGGGTGGATGCAATGGACAGGGCAGCTACCCCTCTGAACTGAAGAATCGAGATGAATACGAGCATGAAGGAATAGATGTGACAATATCTCCTGGCAAAGAGGTGCCTAACGTCCACATGTGTAGTCGTGTTAAGATATAACGTGTGCAGTGTTCGGTACACATGTGTCACTGTGTAATACAGTCACAGTGTAATGCGTGCTCCCCTTGAAAACCTGTTCATATTGTGGTCCAGAGTTTCGTCTGTTATTACACATGTAAAATCTTTTTAGTAATTCTCACTGTTCTCGTTAAAGTACTAAATGGCTGAGGCCAGAATCATTTCAAACTTTCCTCCTAAATTGAGCTTCAAAGCGGTGTCTAACCAGCTCCTCGCACTCGCTGGCTTGTTCGTAGTGTGTACATGTGCCCTTCCTCTCCGTCCCCGGGGTCAAAAGTTGCCCAGGGGCCTTAGCGTCGCCGTCCTTCGTCGTACCAGAAAACGCTGATCGTGGCTTGAAACCAAAATGAGTCCAAGCGGTATATGACAATCTATTCAGGTATGTGTAATGTTTTAACACAAAACACGGTAGTCAGGGCGTTATTATTTTTAATTAAAATATTTTTTACAATGGCGTGCACCCCTCACTCGTGGTATATCCGTATGCAAAGCAACAGACCTTAATTCTGCAGATTGTGGCTCCGTTTGATGGAAACATCATGCTGTCCGACAAATCTCATGAGATCATCATCATCCCGAATGCAGGATCTCTTAAGGACACGGAGGTCATCATAACGAACATCAACCCCGACAGCTCCTTAGTGGACAATCCAGTAAGTTGTATACTGATCGTGTAGACATTATTATGCTCCTAAGACGAAAGACATATCCATGAACACCATGTGGAATTACAGTGAACGTTGGCATGTTGTAGCATGCAGGTTAATTCATAGACACCAAGCCAATGGGCATTTTCACAACACGTTCTGTCTATCGTAAGAGACAACGAAATTAATTAGGGGACTCCATGAATTATTTTCTGCGTGCCATACTGTGAAGCGTCCTTAAGAAGTACGACCTTTCTGCCATCAATCACTTTTAGTAAATTCCCACCCTATCTTATGTGAAGTTTCTATATAAAAGTAATGTTCAAATCGTCTTCTCAAGATTATGCATTCTCTTATTGAAGAAATCGAAAGTGGCATATACTCTATGATGGATGTTGAGTGTTTATGCATCAGTATATGATTCAGATGAATAATCCGCAACATTTGTTGTTGTACATCATCTTTCACATATTGAGGGGCGTCAAGAACACTTTGTTGTGTGAACTTTTTTGAGAGGCATTTAGAAGTTGGAGCAGTAAGGAAGGAAGACAATATGCTTTACAAACACTTTGAACTTGCAATGTGCCACCCAATCCTTATTCTGTTCATCTCTGGTTTGATAATTGTCTTAGAACCTACACCGAAACGACGCTCTCGTTGTAATAAAGAAGTTGTTCATCCATCTGTTGCTATCCTTCCTTTTCGAAAGCTATGATTAGATAGGTATTTTTGTTCCATTGTTCCAGGTGAGTGCTGGACAGAAGATAGGCGTGGCGGCCAACTCTCCGTGTGGGGGTAACGAACACATTCATTTCTCCCTGAGACGGACGGGCGGCTATGTGGATCCTACACACTACCTGGAAGCCAGGGTACCGAAGATTCCTGAGTGGGTGCAAGAGTGTGACGACTACAGGGTGGTGTTTAAGGTAGATAATGTTTCGCTTTCTGTGTTGGCATAGGGATAGACAGATAAGCATGGACGTGTATCTGCCGAGAATATATTTAGTTATTTATCTGAAATGTACATTGTGATCATGAAGTTCCAAATACAAGACGTATGAAGTAGAATCAGTGCGATTTGCATCACACACGTACTTGTATGGACACATACCGTGACGAATCTGGTCAACATATTTGTTTTGACAAATTATTTGTCATGTTGCGACGCACACGTTTACCAAAGACACTAAGGCACGACACTTGATTTCCAATTTCTTGTTCAGGATGATGCTATAGCCGAAGACTGCATCATCTGTCTGGACGGTAAAGACAAGAATGATACCAGTCCAGAGAGAAAAGGAGAGGATGTTGGAAAGCCAGAGGACCTTGATTCCTCAAAAGATCCTTCCTCTGTTGCCGACGCAGAAAATAGTAGGTTGTTTCTGTTCTGAGCTTTTAACTACCACCCGTTTTTCGATTATATGGGATAAATAGTTACCTGTGTATTGTTTGGGGGAATATCGATGATTGATTCTCCGAGTTTTTGTGAAAAAGGTGTAAAACTATTATAATGAACCAGTACTTGTTTGAATGAGTAAGGGATTTTATCGATGAAACATTCAAGTTTAATCATAGTCTGAGATGCATTATACAAATGCAAGATATATAATGTCATCACAAACAATATCGATATATTGGTTGTGTAAGATGAAACTCTCTCTCCATGGCGATATCGCAGCAATGGCTTTGTTGACACGCAGACAAAATCATTGATAAAACATGGTTTCATGATTCATTTTTCAGTCACACTTATTTAAGGACAGACCACCACGGCTACGTAACTTGTATAGGAGAAGACTCTCGGTTGTGTTTCCTTGCAACATACTAGTCCAGCAGCGTTTTACCTGTACATATATCGTTTCAGAAAAGCCCGATTCTATGTTCCAAAGGATGCAGTCTCGAAAACCACAGATAAAAGAAAAGGCGAAGAAAACAAAAGATGGTGGTGAGCAGATTATGATAATCGAGGTGGAAAATATTTTAGTTTCTCACAATGCAGACAAAAAACGTGCAACCTGACTTGAAAATGTCTATACACAGTGTACAGTAACGTATCGACAGATGCTACTGACACCTTACTTGTATCCCACAGATACACATATTATGTATTTGCCTTTGTGTATGCTGTAAAATGGCTTAAGTGCAATGAAATGCATGTAAACTGTAATGGCAATGATAGGAATTGGCTGATGAACTTCATGATAAGTATTTTTAAGCCAGCCAGCAAGAAGATGCATTGACTCACTGCTATATACCACCTACATTCTAACTTTACCTTACCAAATTTCATTTTTAGCTCTGGCAACCCTTTTTGAGAAAGCTGGTGCCTTTTTGAAGAAATTCTCCATCCGTAACCTGAAAATGGGGACTATCTTGGATCTTCTTGAGATTCTCGGCCTTGACGAGAGTCAAGGGAAGGTGGCAGAGGTCATAAGAACAATCAAGGTACAATTTTGTATTGTTGGGCTTATGGGAAACATTGTAAAATGAATATTCTTCACAGTCGTTCTCACAAGCAAGATGGTCAAACCTAGCGCCAGTGGTACACAGCTTGTGTTTTAAACGATTATAAATAACATTGTTATAAACAAATATGTTTGACAAATTTGCTTTGTACATTACTGTGTACCTATCTTGCAGTTGTATACTTTCGTTGCTGCCATTTGTTTTGGTTGCACGAAGTATTGTGTCATATCACAGCGTCGAACTACTGAACTATGACTGTTTGATCTTGACCATGACCTATATCAATTTCATGAAACAGTTATGAATGATTTCTTAATATTCTGTTATAGTCCACTATAATACCATGAATCATGTATGTTCCCGTTTCTCTGTGCTGCAGGAGATGATTAGCAACAAGCCGTGCTTCAACCCTTACCAGATGACGGATGACCAGCTGAGGACGGAGCTGACCGAGAGGGGGATGAGGGCAGAGGGGACTCGGGAACAAATGATCAACTCCCTCACCACGCCATCAAACAGTCAGTTCACACAGTATCAAACAGTCTTTAGCTTAATGGTATAATCTCCGTAGATATGTGCGATAAGAAGCGAAGCGATAAGACTGTCCATGGTCCGTCTCCTTAAAGTCATTCCTACTGTTTGGTGGTACATTATAATGTTTACAGTGGACTGTGTTGTTGACAGATATTTCTCTTGATCATGGTTTGTTTTGTCGCTTTTAAGTTATTTGCCAAGTTTATGCAGCCTGTACAACTAATATAGTTTGAGTGTTGGACACTCTATGGTCGTTCAAAGGCCGTCTTAATAGAGCTATTTTAGCGACACAACAGGCTTTACTACGTTTCTCTGTCTACTAAAATTCATTGACACGATATTCATAAACTTCATGTGTCACAGTATGCCTCATGATTATGGAGCAACACTTTGCTGGAGCATTCCTTCTTTATCTATTAACATTTGGTTGCTCCAGTCTACTTATGTCCGTATATTGATATAAGTGTTCGGGCTCTCTGGGACCTCCGGACAGACTAGGTCTTTGTACTTATTTATGTACAATGAGACAAAAAGTAGAATATATGTGTGAACTGGCTGATTAAGTGTAATCCTTCACCGGCCGCGTGGATCGTTGTTCATGCTGTCAAACACTTAATTGCTTGTTCTGGAGTTGCTTCAGTACAGGCTTCGTGATGGAGTTGAAATAATGGAACACGGCTTAAAACAACATTTATTCACTGAGCGTAAGTTTACAACATAGGGAAATGTAACTTTTGTAAATGAATGTAATGATTATTTTGCAGCCTGTCCGCTCATGAAAATCTCGATGCCCAACAACATCTACTGCACATTTGACGACAAATGTCTTGGACTGGAATGCTGTGTACATTTCAACCTCTTCATGTTCAGAAAGACATATAAGATGTTTGCGAGGTTTGACCCATGTGACTTGAAATTTTCTGTCGGTGCTGGGAAGTTCAACACGTCCATTGGAATCAAAGGTGATCTGAAGGATATATATGCAGGTAGGTGCCATTCCTTAAATGGAGTATTCACAGTCTCAAGGAAACCTGAAAAATGGAACTTATTTTGGTAGTCATTTACATTGTTTTACATAAAATTACAAGTGTTTCTGAAAAAAAATATATTGAAGAATATTAACAGATTTCTGTGCTTTGAAATTTATGCATGTACGGTTGATATGAAAGATGACCATGCTTATCCTTACAGAAAGATACCAAGCATTATATACATATACATTGTTGTACATGCGCATGAAGTTTTGAAGGATATAAACATAATTCCAGTTTGGAAATGATAGTTTTTTATTCTTCATTGAAAGCCGGTTTTATTTTACAGGTTTGGAAAAGACTATTCTGACTAATGTGAAACTGGACATACTGGGAGGAATAGAGCTACTCATCAGGTATAAACACAATTCACATCTTGTGAGTAACTAAGACCGTCCGAGAACTTGATATAACACTATCACGAAGTAGATTATTTACTAATAACTCAACACATAAATGTTATCAAACGTTATTTTAAAATGTTTGGATGACGGAATTTATATGAGCGGCCACTGGAAGAAAATACATCCCTTAACAGCTTGGATTCGTTGACATTTGGTTCGAATCCAAGATCTATGTCAGCATCCCCTCCTTCTAAATGAACAAACGAACATCTGTTTAAGCTTTCAGTTTAAGCTTTCCGGGCAATTTGCCATCTGATTACTCTTGTTATTGGAGAGAGAGGATTTATGAACATGTCAGTGTAGCTGTAGACATGATGTCCAGATCTCACATCCTTCAGTGTTGTTTCTTCAGGGTGAAGTTGGAGAAAGATGTCACCGCTGCTCTCATCACAGTGGCCGCCGGCTTCTGTTCCCAGGACGACCACGACAACTGCGTCGCATTCTTCAACATCCTGGACGAGTTTCCAACACCGCTACCAATATGTCACCCAGATGGCTCAATAACCTGGCCAGACGGTAAACATTATAAAAATATATCACCTCGGAGAAACTGTGTCAAATATCTCAATTAACCAACTCATGTATGAACTACTCCAGTTATGGAGCACATATTTCAGATAAGTTATGAAATATATTATCCAGTGTTATGACATACAAGCGATGTATTTCATTTACTATTGGATGCAAGGTCACCGACAGCCTTACCGATGTTATCACCAGTCCGTTGATTTAGGGTAACATTGACGTTAACCTCTGTAAGTTTAATAGACGTTTAGTTTCAGTGCAAGGCTCTAACGCAGCGGATACAAACAAACACTACTGTTCATAATTTACGTCACCTAGTCCGGGACGAGTCGCGGTCTGTAACAGTGTGAGGCTATGTAGACTGTATTAAGTGAAAATTGTATCGTTTGCTGATCTACTCAGATGCCAGTATAACTAATAGCAGCTTCTTCTATTACCAGTTGACTACAGGAGTTTGTTAGATAAGGAATCAATCAGGAGACGAATTCGGGAAAGTGCGAAAACGTTTGCAAAGGATACCATAAAGAAAGGCATAGAAGAACTACTTGGTGTAATCCCGTGTATATCACCCGATGTAAGTATGGCTCAGTTCTATCCCCGTCACAGTGTATTTGTCACGTTAAATATATTCTCTGTGTTCTTATTATATAGCAACTTCTATGTACGATGTGGGCAGGATGGAAACTCTACTTCTTTCTAACAGTGGTACCCGGGCATAAATGCCCAAAAGAGTTGTTCCATACGGCAGACAAATTAGTAAATAACAATGGATGCATTTCCAGGCTCCAGGCAAGACGGATCCCTGTCCCAGACCCGAGGCCCTGACTCGGGATATCCTCAAACAGAAGCTACAACAGCGAGGACTGCAGATCACAGGCACGAGAGACGAACTGGAACAGAGGCTTACGGTTGGACACAGAAGTAAGTGGTTCACTGGAATATGGCGTTTTTGTTATTCGGTGCAAATGGTCTTGCTCTGTGTACCCAATGAACTCCCTTCATGGAATATCACACACACAAACTTGCATACTGTGGATACAGTAGTCAAGAAGCTTGTGGCCAAAACTTATGTAATGCGAAATGTTTTGCGTTCAAGAATTACCGTATATTTTGCTGCCATTGTTTACAGGCCTCATGCCTAAATGCTTTCATTTTTAGTCAAATTTTGTGAATGGTGGGTGCTACCTGCTGGGCAGGACAAGCTTCCCGTTTTCGCGATCACCTTGTGCCATAACTGATTTTCAATGATCCATTCATATATATTTCACATCTAGTTTAAACAAAGTGTATTTGTTTCTGAGAATAGTTAATGCTGGTTATTCTTTTGCACTGACGTCCAATATTTACCTTTTGGAATGGTATATTTTTTATTGTAGATCTCTGATGGGTTGGATTTGACAAAAACTATACATTATTACTCATTTTCTTTATCCACGATTATGAAGTTATAAATACGATGTAATTATGACAACTAGACTTCAATTTCGTCCAAACTGAGGGATATGAAATATGAATATTCACACTATTTAACCGTTACCTGTTCGTAATGAAACCATATTGAACAAAACGATAATAAAATAGTATTCATATGACATCAATCAGGAACATAAATAACATTTCTAAGGATCGTGTTGTAATTCTAGAGATAACATTATGTTATTGCCTTCTCCCAGCTTGCAGACTGATGAACAGGACAGTGACCCTCCCAACAATTAAGAACGACAAGATAAACAAGATCGTGTACATGGAGATAGCCCCGGACTGTCTGCGGTTTGATGCATGTGTTGATATTAGGATTAAGAAGCTGAATTTCAACAAGGCTGTCAACGCTTACATACAACTAGACCCGTGTAAATTCACAATGACCGTCAACTTTGAGGACTGCACTGAGACAGTTATCCTCCTGGCATACGACTGGGGTAGGTATTGGATCAAAGATCAAAGTCTAGTGCTAGATAGCTGAATGCAATATTATCATTAATTGCTATAAAGACACATTGATAACAACTAAATGTCCCTAAATACAGTACTTACCTTTATGAAATTGCTCCTCCATAATGATGATACTCCATACATTCTAGACACAAGCGGCACGTCATGTTAGCTTCATAAAGATTCCTATCCCGTGTAACACCTTGACAGCCACACAGCAGCTCCGTTTATCAAATCCAACCACCGTGTCCAACTGATATTTCTGTCATTGCGTTTACAGGGAAAGAGAAGACCGCAAGATTGAATGATTGGGTCTCCATAAGGTAGGACTTTTAAAACGGTGCCTTTCACGTATGAGATATCTCCTTTCGGATGCTCTACGGAGATTCAGAGGATTGTCTTTACAAGGACACTATCTTCGGGTTTTAGAGAAAATCGATATTTCCTATAATGTGTAAGGTTTAACATATTGAGTGTAATGGCAAATTGTCGATCCTGATGCACAATCACTCAAAACGTTACCTTTTGATTTACAAAAATACCTCGTGAGTCCTAATGATTATATATAACTTATCACAAATCTGCACGATGTTTAACTTTATATTGTAAATAGTAGTTGTGTGATTGTCTTCGCATTTTATCGATCTGTGCTCCTGTTAAAAATATGTTGATTATGTCTGTTCATTTTAAAGTTGCAGCCGTTTTATCACATCAATCTGTAAATACACTTCTTTGGTGTATCTAAGTCAGTATTTGACAGCATGTAATGTACATAAAGTCAGCCAGTCCACACGGCAACACCTGATCGCCATTTACATCAACTATATGATCCTTTATGATGACTTTTTTGAACGATAGTGCAGTTACGATGTCATCCAGTCTAAAGCAGTCCTCATCACCAATGCATTATGTGCACCGTGTTCTAGGTACACCATTGACAGGAGTGAGGCAAGGAAGGTGTTCGTGGTTGACATGGGTTTACAAATCAGTGCTGGAGCGTCGGAACCGATTCTGAATGCCTTGTTGATCGAAAAACTGGATGTACCAATACCTGTTTGTAATGAAAACTTCTCTTTTCCGGGTAAGTGTCGAATACAATGACGACTTAAATTTATTCATAACATTTCACAATATTGAAGTAACCCATTAAAGACTTCAACCCTTAGTTGGGATCTGGGCAGTCCTGCCTCCCGATCGTAAACCGTTGGACGTATGTTGAAAAAGCTCATTTCATAGTTGGATTTTGGTGTATTCCCGAATTATAGTTGGTATACTATGGAAGCATAATTGAGTCTGTATAAAAATGTTTCATAATCTACTAGGGTAATACTTACGTAGAAGTAAAGTGAACATGTAGATATCAGTATCTTCTGCGTATTCTACGCAGACGAAATTACAAGCATGTTCTACGTACACGATAAAAAATGTTTAGGCTGTGGCACGAACACGCTTCCATACTATACAGATATAATATGCTTAGTTTCTCAGTGTCAGCTTCGAATATATATCCATTCCATAATTTTCTGATTTAAGGAAACGGATCTCTGAATAGCCTTGCAGAACAAATGGGAGGAAAGCTAATCAGAGAGGTGGTAGATGTGGTGTTTCGAAAACTTGGACTGGATGTGAGTTTTACGAAGCAAACTTCTTAACAATTAGGTTTCATGTCTTCATCGACCAATAAGCACACAATGTGATAATGAACGATACAGGCGGAATCTCTACATCCTCCATGAAGGCAATATCATTATAGTAGAAATACAAGTACATGTGTATTGTGGATCCAGGAAATTATGTTATAGTCCAAAATGCTGTTTATTTATAATTGTTTTTCTAATTTTAGAAGATTCTGATAGACGGAGGCTGTACAGCATTAACGCCCCAGCCAGGTAGTATAACAGCTGGATATGTCACTTCATCTATGTTTGCATGTGGCGCAATGTATAATGAAACATACACTCTTTAATTCAACATAGCTGAACCACTACAAAAATGACTTGGTTTCCTGAAACCTGGAAACCATCCGTATACTGGGTAATTTTGGAATCCAGTTGGTTTCCATTCACTGAAACTGAGTAACTGAGTTTCCAACTAGATTCCATTCTGGATTCTTTGATTTTTGCATTTCTGTAAATGGAAACCTACAAGAAACTAATGTTAAAGGTTTCTTGTTGGTTTCCATTCCTGGAATTTGCAATTGAAGTTTCATTAAATGGAAACCAACATAAAACCAGAATATGTAGTTTCATGTTGGTTTCCTGTGCACTGTTGTGAACTGAGTAACTTAAAATTTGCAAGTATTTGGCATGAAGTTGACCATCCTGGCATTTCATATGATGGGGAATTTTGAAAATCTAAATAGATGGATGATATTCTACGATGAGTATCAATTTTCACTGTAGTAATGAAAAATCGTAAACGTCAAAAAGTGAAATTTGAGGGAAAAATCGGTTTAATTATGTTTGCTTTAGAATGTGAAAGAGTATAAGCATTTAGGAAGTTTAGTATTATGTAATTCAAACAATTGTCAATCCGGTACATACATTACGGATTTCTCAATAAGTAGAATATCAGGGAATTGTACTATAAATAGAGGTTGTGAGTAATGTTCACCATTAAAAGCATTTAAAGTTAGTATGCTTTGACAGTGAGTTCAAGTACTTGACAAACGATCAGTGTCACGTCATTTGTATGTCGGGGTCTGTGTGTCGGCTTCCTTGTGGTTGTCTCGTCTTAACGGGCACCTATTATCAACATTAAATTGCTGTAGAAGTAATGTGTCGGTAATCCGTGGGCACGCGCGAACTCGTGACATTTTATAAAAGCAATGGTTTTATGTACTGAAGTGGTCATTTTCGTCTTTTATGTCTTGAAATCATAACCAAATTGGGTCAGATAATGCTTTCATACCTGCCACTGTCACATGTCACTTCATCTGTTTGCATGTGGTGCAATGAATAATGAAACATACACTCTTTAATTCAACATAGCTGAACGGTAGCACATGGTTGGTGTAATGCCATAGCTAAAAAGTGCCATAATCTCAATCCCATTATTGTTTAATACACTACAAAAACGTCATGATTTTGAATTCGTCTTGTTCTTGCATTAAACGCTGCTTGCATGACACACCTGAGATACTATTTGACTTAAAAGCTAATCTACAATATGATGATTGGGTATGTGAAGCTGGAAACGTTTCTGTTTGTCTTCAAAACACTTAGACTTTCAAATTTGTTTACCCCCCAGATTGCCCTTGGACACTTCCAAACTACAAGCATCTTCTACCCGCCAGTTTCCAGCACAACGTCAACTGTAAACTGCCGGACAACTGTTTCGGTATAGAATGTTGCGTGGACTTCTCGTTTGACATCCCGCTGTTTGAGAACCCACTCGTTAAACACGTCCCCTTCTTCCTGAAGTTTGAACCGTGTAACTTCAATGTGGAGGTCGGCTTTGGGAGCTACTACCACAAGGAAAGGCTGTTGACATACAACTGGGGTGAGTCATTTGAATGTTTACATACAGCTTGGGTGAGTCATTTACTCGTTGACATACAACTGGGTGAGTCATTTGATTGTTTGCCTACAACTGGAGTAGGTCATATGATTGTTGACATACAACTGAGTTAAGTCATTTGATTGTTGACATACATCGAAGTATCTGGGATAAGTCGTTTGATTGTTGACATACGCCTAAGGTGAGTCAATTTGTTGTTGAATTACACTTGGGTGAGTCATTTGATTGATGACCTACACTAGGGTGAGTCATTTGATTGTTGACATACAACTGGGGTGAGTCAATACGGATTAACATACAACTGGGGGATGTCAATAAGGGTTGACTGACTGACTGAGTTTGGTTTTACGCCGCTTTTAGCAATATTCCAGCAATATCACGGCGGGGGACACCAGAAATGGGCTTAACACATTGTGCCCATGTGGGGAATCGAACCCGGGTCTTCGGCGTGACGAGCCAACGCTTTAACCACTAGGCTACCCCACCGCCCCGGTTGACATACAACTGGGGTGAGTCAATGAGGGTTGACATACAAATGGAGTGAGTCATCTGATTGATGGCATACGGCTGGGGTAGGCTATTTCATTCTTTACATGAGACTCTCTGCTGAATACAATGTCTAAGAGAAGTAATTGTGTGTCATTCTTTCCCGATGAACGTTGTCCGGATTGACTGATTGTCCACTTACAGGCCGTGATGGTGTAGAGTGAATACGACCACAATGTTAAACATTAACTGATTCATTCCGTTACGATAATGTTTCTTAGCAGTTTAATACATTGATAATCACACTTGTATGTGAACATGCGTGTGTGTGCCCGTTTCTGTGTGTCTGTTTCAAAATAATACTTCTGTATGTTTCTCGGTACATGTCTAATATTTTTCCCGGTCTTTATTTCATACAAGGGACTGAAAATCAACTGCACATTGGCAATGACAACCCATCACCAGTAGTCATCAAGTAAGTAATAATATCTCACATTCAGATTATCTCCAGAAATATATTAAATGACACACTCTCGTAATATGACAGTAATAACAACATCTGATTCTGTCGTTGTTATGAAAAAAGCAAATAATGATTAACCTTTTCTTGAAATACTATACTATCATTCATCATGTACGAGTGATTTCTTTCTTACACATGTGTGTGATTTTCAATTCCAAATTATGGATCTGCGAGAACAACCAGTGTGTCCTCTCACACGTTTGTGTACGGTTACAGTTTCCGTACATTTGCCTACACCAGATCCATGATCCAAGTATACTAGTATACACCAGATCCATGATCCAAGTATGCTAAAGCTACCTCACTGACCTGAGTGTCCACACGTGTGTATGCATGGTGACAGTTTCTGTGCATTTTTTGTAATCCAGGTTCACGATCTCCAAGTATCCCAAAGGCTTCCTTGTTGACCTTAGTGTCCACACATGTATCCCTATAGGTGGTGACAGTTTTAGTGTATTTTTCTATTCCAGGTTCAAGATCTCCAAGTATCCCAAAGGCTTCCTTGTTGACCTGAGTGTCCATACAAGTACCCCTATAGATGGTGACAGTTTCTGTGTATGTTTCTATTCCAGGTTCAAGATCTCCAAGTATCCCAAAGGCTTCCTTGTTGACCTGAGTGTCCATACAACTATCCCTATAGATGGTGACCGTTTCTGTGTATTTTTCTATTCCAGGTTCAAGATCTCCAAGTATCCCAAAGGCTTCCTTGTTGACCTGAGTGTCCACACATGTATCCCTATCGATGGTGACAGTTTTAGTGTGTATTTTTCTATTCCAGGTTCAAGATCTCCAAGTATCCCAAAGGCTTCCTTGTTGACCTGAGTGTTCACACCTGTATCCCCATCGATGGTGACCGTTTCTGTGTATTTTTCTATTCCAGGTTCAAGATCTCCAAGTATCCCAAAGGCTTCCTTGTTGACCTGAGTGTCCACGCATGTATCCCTATCGATGGTGACAGTTTTAGTGTGTATTTTTCTATTCCAGGTTCAAGATCTCCAAGTATCCCAAAGGCTTCCTTGTTGACCTGAGTGTCCACACCTGTATCCCCATCGATGGTGACCGTTTCTGTGTATTTTTCTATTCCAGGTTCAAGATCTCCAAGTATCCCAAAGGCTTCCTTGTTGACCTGAGTGTCCACACATGCATCCCTATCGATGGTGACAGTTTTAGTGTGTATTTTTCTATTCCAGGTTCACAATCTCCAAGTATCCCAAAGGCTTCCTTGTTGACCTGAGTGTCCATACAAGTACCCCTATAGATGGTGACAGTTTCTGTGTATGTTTCTATTCCAGGTTCAAGATCTCCAAGTATCCCAAAGGCTTCCTTGTTGACCTGAGTGTCCATACAAGTATCCCTATAGATGGTGACCGTTTCTGTGTATTTTTCTATTCCAGGTTCAAGATCTCCAAGTATCCCAAAGGCTTCCTTGTTGACCTGAGTGTCCACACATGTATCCCTATCGATGGTGACAGTTTTAGTGTGTATTTTTCTATTCCAGGTTCAAGATCTCCAAGTATCCCAAAGGCTTCCTTGTTGACCTGAGTGTCCACACCTGTATCCCCATCGATGGTGACCGTTTCTGTGTATTTTTCTATTCCAGGTTCAAGATCTCCAAGTATCCCAAAGGCTTCCTTGTTGACCTGAGTGTCCACGCATGTATCCCTATCGATGGTGACAGTTTTAGTGTGTATTTTTCTATTCCAGGTTCAAGATCTCCAAGTATCCCAAAGGCTTCCTTGTTGACCTGAGTGTCCACACCTGTATCCCCATCGATGGTGACCGTTTCTGTGTATTTTTCTATTCCAGGTTCAAGATCCCCAAGTATCCCAAAGGCTTCCTTGTTGACCTGAGTGTCCACACATGCATCCCTATCGATGGTGACAGTTTTAGTGTGTATTTTTCTATTCCAGGTTCACAATCTCCAAGTATCCCAAAGGCTTCCTTGTTGACCTGAGTGTCCACACCTGTATCCCTATCGATGGTGACAGTTTCTGTTACCCAGAAGGAGGAATGACGCTGATGAATCAGGAGAAGATACCCGCCTGTGATGCTAATGCTCTGGTGGAGTTCACAAAACAAAGTATGTCCACCTTAGCAAAGAACTGCTCCTATTACATTCTTTTTGTCATCGTGTAAATCCAATGTGTTTTTAACTTTGAAAGAAGAGTAAGAAGAGTTTCTCAATCTTCCATATGGTAAATTATTTTCCCTGTCCATGTTGGTTTTCTTCTGAAATGTTTCGACACCCACTTGTTGAAAAGTAATAAGTGACATTGATTTCGTTCAAATGTAGTTCCCTTTTGGTATACTTTCAGATTTCTCAGTTTCTGATTGGCTACGCGACCTTGACCTTGACATCAACTTGAAGTCCCTCTTTCAAGCGGCTGCCAGGTTATTATTAGATCGGTTTGGCATCTCTGAATTCCTGCTGGATGACAGATGTGATGTTTCTAGAACACCATACAAGCCAAGTGTTTACGGGTGGAGGAATGGTACGAAAGTATAATTTTCCGAACACGACACACGTGCATCGCTCGAAAACAATTTCACCTTTTTGCATTGCATGCGTATAAAATAATATATATATTGTTAGTTTTGGTTCGTTCTATTAATCCACGAGTGTACAATGAATAAATTCGTTGGATGTTTAAATAAATCACCCATGTACTCATTAGGAAAAGAACATTCCAGTCAAAGATGATTCTGTGGACAGCTCTGTTTTTGTATCCATACTGATACTTATAATGAAAAAGTAAAATCTGTCAAAAAGAATAGGAAAAGAATTTCAGTGTCATGTATTTTTCAGAATGCCCGAAGAGTATTGGCAAGCTGCCCAATCTTCCCAGCGGTCTGTACTGCCACCTAGCGGACACGTGCACCAAGATAAACTGTTGTTTCCATGTCCCCTTCCTGGAGATGTCCTTCAACGCCGTCCTCAATGTCGATATGTGCGACTACGTCATTTATGCCGCTATTGAGAACAAAACCAGGACGCTTGGAATGTTAGGGAATGGTATTGACCTCGATGCTGGTACGTGACGAGCTGTCAGCTGAAAATATGCTGTTCTGTGATTGATAGGGATGAAACAGTACAGAGACTAAACCTCTCCAAAACGTAATAAGAGTAGATTGCTGTCTGTGAGATTATAGCTCTGCTTCGTGACGCAAAATACCCGGCCTCAATTCCACAGCGATGCGGTGTATGAAACCATTGTCCGATTCCCCACGTGACAATGGCGTCAATATTTATATGCCTGACAGGAAACACTGATTTTCACAATTTCAATGAATGAGTCTACAACTGTCATGTGACAAGCAGTGACTGTATCGCAGACATGTATTTGAAACGGGCGTTCAATTATACTTTTCTACGTCAATAAAGGCCATATAGATTATGTTTCCTGGGAACGTATGCTCCTGACCTTGTTGGAATCATACAATAGACTTTGCTTGCAGCAGAGATTTCTTGATATTAAGAAATTTGTGTTGTTGCTCCTAGTCAACTTAGTATAGTGACATGAACACAACATGGCCTCGCTTGGAAAGTCAGACTAATGCAGATAATGTTGGTTTTCAACGTGTTATTTAATGTACTTACATTACAAATCAGGTGTGCCATAATAACGTTATTTTAAGTCTAACAGTCACTATATGAGTAACGATCCAGGCAGCTGCAAGTCACTGAATACATGTTCTTACCTTGCGCACGACAGAAATCAACGATTGTGGGTTCGAATCTTGTCGCCATCGTACAGCATGGCTTTCATGAAAGTGACAAACCTGTAAGACCTCGGGCTCTTCTCCTTCATTCAGTTGTTACGTCGTGTTTCGGTTCGAATACTGTTAAATTCAACTCACCTCCTTTGATTCATCTCCAGGTACATCACTGACGCTGGATATCGCGGATGTCTTCCAGATGAAGTAAGTCACTTGTCAGCAGTGCTTGTAACAAATACATCGATAAAGTACTTATATGATGCATACATGTAGACATCATAATAATAAATTATAAAAGTGGTTTGGGTGTGAAGTGTCACCATTTACCATCGATTCAAAATATTATCTCTATTCCAGATTTGGTTTGAAAAAGAAAGACAAGGTTCTACTACTTGACCTTGACATTGAGGTTTGTATCGAGAAGGATTCCTGCCTTGTTTCCACGCCCATTATGAAGGGAACTGAAGTTCCACAACTTGTGTGCGACCTTGATGCCAGCTGGACCCTGAAAAGTAAGCCATGAGACCTAGCTAAAAGAAATAATGTCCCTGTACGAAATGTATGCTCCTCACAAAAAGTTAAGCAACATAACTTTTTAGTCTCATTACATTTTCATTTATTGAAATTTAAAATCATGGAATGATGCAATAGAAAGGTGAAACTTATGTGCACACGATTAACAAAATGAAATGAGATGGTATTGAGCAATACTAGACTCACAAATCATCAAAAGCATGCACCCGTGAAACAGTCGTGCAAAATGTGCTGCATTGATGGAGCAAAATGTTAACATTAAGGTTCAAGTCAGTTTTGGACAGTGAAGCAGTTTCTTGGCATTGACCAAATGAGCCTTTAAAGTTGCTGTTGTGGAATGATCTGCCATTCTCTCTGTAACGCCTGCTCAAGGTCATCCGGAGTTGGAGGTGAACATGGAGACCGTAAACACGACTTCCAGTAATGCTTCAAGCATGTTCAATGGGATTAAGATCAGGTGACCTTGCAGGCCAGGCATATGTGTCATGATGTTGATCTAAACAACATCATTAAAAACTCTTCTCGGGCATTGTCATCCATGGACAGGCATTATCATCCATAAACATGAAGTTAGGACCCGCTTGTTGTGCAAGGGGAATGATTACAGGTGGGTTTACACCGATCAGGGTGCATGTGTGAGGAGTAAAGCACATCCATGCCACACATTTTGCATGTTGTTTCTGAGGGTGGTTGTGTTCGGGTGTTGTTGTCAATGTTATCAGATAAATCAATTTGACAGTCACTAAAGGTTATATATTCTTTGAATTGCTATCCATATTGATAAAGATATTGCACTGAAAATACTTGTTGCTAATTTTTTGTGAGGAGTATAGATGCCACACAGCTACATCATATACTGAACATCAACATACAACATCATATACTGAACATCAACATACAACATCATATACTGAACATCGACATACAACATCATATACTGAACATCGACATACAACATCATATACTGAACATCGACATACATCATATACTGAACATCAACATACAACATCATATACTGAACATCAACATACAACATCATATACTGAACATCGACATACAACATCATATACTGAACATCGACATACAACATCATATACTGAACATCGACATACAACATCATATACTGAACATCGACATACATCATATACTGAACATCAACATACATCATATACTGAACATCAACATACAACATCATATACTGAACATCGACATACAACATCATATACTGAACATCGACATACAACATCATATACTGAACATCGACATACAACATCATATACTGAACATCGACATACAACATCATTTACTGAACATCGACATACAACATCATATACTGAACATCGACATACATCATATACTGAACATCAACATACAACATCATATACTGAACATCAACATACAACATCATATACTGAACATCGACATACTACATCATATACTGAACATCGACATACAACATCATATACTGAACATCGACATACAACATCATATACTGAACATCGACATACAACATCATATACTGAACATCGACATACAACATCATATACTGAACATCAACATACAACATCATATACTGAACATCGACATACAACATCATATACTGAACATCGACATACAACATCATATACTGAACATCGACATACAACATCATATACTGAACATCGACATACAACATCATATACTGAACATCGACATACAACATCATATACTGAACATCGACATACAACATCATATACTGAACGTCAACATACAACATCATATACTGAACATCAACATACAACATCATATACTGAACATCGACATACAACATCATATACTGAACATCGACATACAACATCATAAACTGAACATCAACATACACATCATATACTGAAGTTCAGAATGCTTGCACCTTAGTCATACAGGTAACCTATGTTAGGTTTGGTATTGACTCAGTAACTACCCAGTCCCCTCATTTAGGTTCAAAATTTAGTGAACATATTTATTATGATATGTCAACAAAATACTACCAATTTTCAAAGGCTGAACTATTTGAAGATGGGGTCCAGTGTGCAGGGTTTTGGATTGATTGAATATAGGGGTGGAAGGGGTAGGTGTGTAATTGATGCAGCAGTGGTCCTTCAAAATCTGTTTACCTGCCTACCTCTTTACCTACCACACCCCACACCCCCACACCCCCAAACCCACTTCCCCATCCCCACCCCAACCACCAATCCAAACTCTATCTGTAATGTTCTAACCCTCTAGATTTCAGTATATCGGACTGGGCGAAGGCAAGAAGACAGGATTTGACCAAGGGTCTCGCACGGACAGCTGTGAAACTTCTGTTGGAGCAACTAGGTATCAAAGACAAGATGCTGGATCCACCATGTAACCGGAGCAGTCTCAAGTACCAGCCAGCTGATGCAGGCAACTGGAAGAATGGTCAGTCAGATAGTCAGATAGATCTGACGATGTTTATCATTTCATTTAGGTGAACAGGCAGGCGTAATCAAGTTCCTTTGTCATGACTCTTTTTCACAGTGAGTGTTTTGCCCATAGGGCGAATGCTAGTTTTTTGTTTAAAATGATCAGTGGTTCTGAATTGTAATAGGGACAATAAGTAGGTGGAGGCGGATGGGATTCATAAGAATATTTGGTCAGTACAAATTAAGTAATGTGGTGAATACCAGTCAAATAGTTAATCATTACCCTTCCTACACATAGACTGTATCGCAGATCACCAAAGACGTCTTAACCTAGATTTAAAAATAATCCTTATTCTTATTCCAGATTGTGACTTGAGCGGCAGCGCTATCACCCTCCCATCAATAACTCTTCCGGCCAACTGCCACATCAATGACAAATGTTTGGGTATAGACTGTTGTCTCCACAGCAACGTCCTTGATCTGTCTCTTCACACGGCCTTCAACATTGACCTCTGTAACTACTTCATTGAAGGCTCCATTGAGAAGTTCAGCTTTAAGCATAACATACTCAACTATAACTGGGGTATGTGTTTATGGCATGGTTTACAAAATTCCTCACATAAAGCACAAGGAGAAAGTTTTAGCCTCACCAAAACAATGATAATAGGATACAAAGGTAATAGGCTGTATCTGTCATTTTGTTTTCTTGACCTCAATGTTTATTCGGGTTGCACTCTGCAGTTACAAGTCTTTAACTTTTTTATTCATCTATTTTTAGGAACAAAATCATGACTTCAAATAACAGCGAGCGAATTATAAAACCATGCGTTTGTATACAGATCTTGGCATATCCCATATATTGACAAGCATATTATAACAGATGACATTGTTAGAAAATATGCTAGCTCTCAGTAAATATCAGTCAGGTTGGCAATCGGACCAGAATCCAACAAATTTGGTAAAATTACAAGAAGAGATGGTATGTGTCTTATTTCCTTTCTGATCACATCGAAAGCTGGCGTCTATATTAATATTTTAAAAAGAGTAAAGCTGACAAGTGTTATCAGGAGATTTTAGATTTTGGACAGTCGTAAAAGAAATGAATTCCGCTTTCTGATGCATCTGTGCAAAATCAACATAACATACAAGTCACACGTCTTGTTTCAGGAAAAGAAGAAGTAATTACGTTTGATGGTGTTCCTGTTCTCAAACTGAAGTAAGTTGGACAAAGTTATTGTCGTCGGATACTTTATAATATAACATTTTCTCGGGTTAATTGAATCTATATTTGCTTTTACCATAAACGGTAAACATTTAGTAAATAGTAAATAAATGCTAATTATAGCTACAAGTGCGATAAATTTGACATCATTTAAAGTTTAAAGAATTGTCGATTTTCTCGTTAACTTGTCTAATATTTCCCAGGTTTAAGATTGAGCGGCTTCTGTCCCAGCAAGTGTTTATTGTGGACCTGTCTCTGAGTCTGTGTCTGGAGGGAGATGACTGTGAGCTGGACCTGAAGGTGCTGAATCAGACACGACTTCCGATGCCAGGATGTGCCAAGTTCCAGGGATTCAAGCTTCAAAGTAAGGATAACTGTTGGTGTAAATTTTCAGCACTGAAACATTACGTTAACTCAATTACTTCAAGTTAATTAACTTATGGTAGCTAAATTATATCTTGAACTTGGCTATTGTTTGTTAGCAGTGCACTGTGACTTAAATATCATGATTATAGTATTAAACATTTATGTATGTATGTATGTATGCATGTATGTGTATGTATGTATGTGTGTGTGTACGTATGTATGTATGTATGTATGTATGTATGTATGTATGTATGTATGTATGTATGTATGTATGTATGTATGTATGTATGTATGTATGTATGTATGTATGTATGTATGTATGTATGTATGTATGTATGTATGTATGTATGTTTATTTCCTTTCAGATTTCTCACTGGGGAACTGGCTGAGAGAAAAGGGCGGTGAGATCACAGCTCAGCTGTCAGCAGTCCTGATGGAAGAGCTCGGCATTAAACAGCTCCTGCTGGACACACAGTGTCAGGACTACCTGGAACCTTACAGAGGTGCTGTGAGTGGATGGAACAACGGTAGGTTTTGTTGGTGGCTTCCTGATGGGTTGATATATATTACGTTATGCTAAATATTCTTGCTATTTATATACTTCTTGAAATGGTTTATTCGTGTCTAATTTATATGACCTGATCTCTTGCTGCCATTTACATGCTGGTCGTTCACTCAAATTCATACCATATATGACAGCTAATATCTATGTCCCTATTTGTCTGTTGACAAATGCTGTATGTTGGCACTAAAGCAAGATCGCAAAACGTAGTACAGCTATATCACGGTTGTCTTTTGTAAATAGAATTAATAATGGTACGTTTAACTGGGTTTAAACCTGTCGTAAAGGTTGTATTGTACTTGGCATGGACTGTTGCAAGTTGGGGGAAGATTGAGTAAAATAGTGATTATACTGTCGACATTGTCAACTATAGATCTGTTAATAGACATGGTAAAATGACATTCTACCAGGCTGTAAGTGTTTATTTGTGTAGTTCATAATGTTTATTAAAGGGTTTGGATAACTATTGAGTTGTACACATTCATTGTAACCCCTTTGTTCCAGACTCCGTACAAATGCTGATACCAGATAATGCCTGGTGCCATACCGCATTAGAAGCTTCTTGTGGGGGTATCAGTATAATTAAATCAGGTGACTGAACTAGTCCAGTGTTATGGTATACTGAGGTAATATAGAAATGTTGAACATTTCAGCTTGTCCTGAAAACATTACGATGTCAGTACTGCCTCAGAACGTCTTCTGTCACTTGACTGACTACTGCACCGGGATCACGTGTTGTGTCAAAGTGCCACAGGTCAAACGGAACTTCAATGCCTACCTCTTCCTGGACTCCTGTAACTACAATATGAGAGTCGGCATTGAGAAGTTGGAGTTCAGTCACACACTGTTTAACTACACATGGGGTAAGTTGTACACTGTTTAACTATACATGGCGTAAGTTGTACACTGTAACTACAATATAAGAGTCGGCATTGGCTAGCTGGAGTTCAGTCACAGACTGTTTAACTATACATGGGGTAAGTTGTACACTGTTTAACTATACATGGGAAAGTTGTACACTGTTTTACTATACATGGGTAGGTTGTACACTGTTTTACTATACATGGGGTAAGTTGTACACTGTTTAACTATACATGGGTAGGTTGTACACTGTTTAACTATACATGGGTATGTTCTGCACTGTTTTACTATACATGGGTAAGTTGTACACTGTTTAACTACACATGGGGTAAGTTGTACACTGTTTTACTATACATGGGTAAGTTCTACACTGTTTAACTATACATGGGTAAGTTCCACACTGTTTAACTATACATGGGTAAGTTGTACACTGTTTAACTATACATGGGGTAAGTTCTACACTGTTTAACTATACATGGGTAAGTTCTACACTGTTTAACTATACATGGGTAAGTTGTACACTGTTTAACTATACATGGGGTAAGTTGTACACTGTTTAACTATACATGGGTAAGTTCTACACTGTTTAACTATACATGGGTAAGTTGTACACTGTTTAACTATACATGGGGTAAGTTGTACACTGTTTAACTATACATGGGGTAAGTTGTACACTGTTTTACTATACATGGGTAAGTTCTACACTGTTTAACTATACATGGGTAAGTTGTACACTGTTTAACTATACATGGGGTAAGTTGTACACTGTTTAACTATACATGGGGTAAGTTCTACACTGTTTAACTATACATGGGGTAAGTTGTACACTGTTTTACTATACATGGGTAAGTTGTACACTGTTTAACTATACATGGGGTAAGTTGTACACTGTTTTACTATACATGGGGTAAGTTGTACACTGTTTTACTATGCATGGGTAAGTTGTACACTGTTTTACTATACATGGGGTAAGTTGTACACTGTTTAACTATACATGGGTAAGTTGTGCACTGTTTAACTACACGTGGGGTAAGTTGTACACTGGAAAACATTGGGTAAGGAAAAGATTCGGGTTTATTATTCCGAAAATGCATACAGATACACGTGTCAGTTGTAAAAGTGTGTTCAACTGCTGGTAATCATATACAAATATTTTCCCCTTCTAAGGTGAAACAGAAGTTGTCGATCTTGGAGGACTTGTCCGAATTGAGTAAGTATTTTGATTATTTACAAAAGTATGATTTTCAGTTTTTATCAGGTGGTAGGATACATACCTCAGGCTGACAAGGACGTTCATGTTTAGATCTGAATATACTTTCTATTGCCGTTTTCAAAAAAGATTTACGCATCCTAATATACATAGCATCAGTGCAAAAGAATCCCCAGTATTGACTATTCTCAGAAACAAATTCCTTATAGAGTAAAGGGAAAATACATGAATGGATCACTGAAAGTCAATGATGACACCAGATGTTCACGAAAAGAGTTAGCATGTTCTGCCCTACCGGTAGCACCCACCATTCACAAAATTTCCCCAGAATGGAAGTAATTTAGAGAACGGCGTACCTTTCCAGATATACCATCAGCTCTGGTCAGAAGAAGTTCCTGGTGAACCTGAGCCTGAAGGTGTGTCTGACTGCTGGAGAGGCTTGTCAGTTTACTTTCCCTGTGTTCACAGACATGACCATCCCTAAACCATTCTGTGACTGGGAGGCCACCAAGCAGCTACAAAGTAAGAACAACATTAGTCTCCTTTGTATTCCATATGCAATAGTTACTGGATAGCCCTTGGTTAATCCAAGCGAAGCCCTTCTCAATAACACTGACACGGACGTGCTGGAACGGATTTGACTTTGCTTCAGATTTCTCCCTTAGAGAGTTTGTGACATCGCAAGGTGGTGCACTGACGGACAGACTGGCTGATGCACTTGTGGACAAGCTGATGGAGACTCTTGGTGTATCCGGCTATCTTCTGGACCCGCAGTGTTCCATGAGTGGTCGGGGCACGAATGGCTGGAGCTCAGGTTAGGAGACATAACCGTTTAAGATAAATCATATTTATAGCACACTGACCAACAGTGAACAGATATACAACAAAACGACAAATCCTTTTCATGATCTCAGGGTAGATCTCAGGTGTCTTTATCGTGAACATGTGTTTATGAAACATGATGTCTATTGTTCATGGACACGTGAAGATCCGAGATAGAATTGATCTTCAGTACTCCATGCTTGTCGTAAGAGGCAACAAACGGGATCAGGTGGTCAGGCTCGCTGACTTGTTTCAAACATGTCATCGTATCCCAGTTGCGTAGATTGATGGTCATGATGTTGATCACTACATTCTCTGGTTCAGACTCTATTATTTAGAGGAAGAGTCTAATGCTGTTCTCTCGAAGCAAGAACACGCTCGATTTTGCCTGGGATGTTGTGTAAAGCGTAGGGCTTGTCCGACACAACGAGACAGTTGACTACTGGAAATAGAAGACATTCTTGTTCTCATCCAGTCTCGTGGATAATGTTTTTGTCACTTTGAACCTGTATACGTGAAACAAATGTTATATCTTCTTGGGGGTCAAGTACTAATGTGTTTGTTGAAAAATATTCGGCAGGGAACAGATGTTTGACATTTCATTAGTATGATGAAGGGTTCTCTACTTTTTTGTACATATCATATTTCAGATTGCCCCAGACCGGTTTCACTGCCAACACTACCCGACTCTCTGTCCTGCAGTCTTCCCGACCACTGTACAGGAATAGACTGTTGCCTCAATGTGCCCCTTATCAGTCGAAATGTCCACTTCAAGGTCGACTTGGACATGTGCAAAATGACGCTAACATTGGCCATAGAGAAGCTTGAGTTTAGCAGACTGCTCTTCAACTACCAATGGGGTGGGTGGAAATATCAAGCAATTTAATGAATGTTGTATATTTAGGGGGAAGTGGAACCTGATTCTACGCATTGAACACAAGAACAACAATGTCTTTTTGTTAGGCCCAGTCAATGTGCAAGTGTATATACATTTAAGATTTCTATTTTGCTTTGACCTTCCTCAGGAACGCCAGACAGTTTCAATCTGAAGAGGATATTCCGAGCAGAGTAAGTTACTCAAATGTTGATGCTTTGTTAAGTAAGTTGCTATTACAATGGTTCCTTCTCCGATTTAAACAGACATAAATATAGTTGTGATGGTACTCCGCCATTACTTTTAGTATTTTCAAAGTACATAGCTGCTGTATATGGTGAATTGGAGTCTCCTATTCGAGTCTCGTACGTTTCGAAATACAAGTGTTTCATTTTCAGTTACGTCATCGACAATCTGGAGGGAGAGAAACAGTTCCTTGTAAGTCTCAACATCAGTGCCTGCTTTGAGGCTGGAGGGAGGTGTCTGGTTACCCTACCAGTGTTAAACCAAGCCAGGTTCCCCAACCCTGGATGCGACTGGAACTCAACACTGTCCCTCAAAGGTACGTCCGTGAATAAATAAAACAGTTAATAATTAACAGTTCTAGGGAAACTTTCCATGCGTGATGCATGGAATATATAATCGTATAAACATTAATTGTTTGACCATTCCAGTATAAAAACATACTCAAAATATATCCACAGGAGGCAAGGCCTCCATAAATGATAAACCTAGTTTGATTTCATTAACTCAGCGTGGTAGGGTTACATTGTATATTAACATGATATGATGGTGAAACATGTACACTATCTTATTCCACTTCAATGTGCAAAGGCTTCTCCCTGAAGAACTGGCTGAATGATCATAATCTGAACATCGGACAAGCCTTGACCTCAGTATTCCGGTTCCAACTATCTCTAGCTCTGGGCATCTCTGAGTACCTCCTGGATCCCATGTGCGACAGGCAGAGGGGGATATACAAGCCGGGATGGAATAATGGTAAATGGTTCTAAAAATCATTAATTTTCCAGGAACCATGCAAATTACCATTTCTGTCCAGTTGCTGAAATGAAGGGAAATATCGGTGCAACTAAAAGTAGAAACCTCTGGTTATCTTAAAGTTAGGAAATTGTTTCGGCCCATAATTGGGTTATTATATGACATTTCAGCGTGTCCAAAACCAATGACCCTACCAAGCCTCCCGAGCAGCCTGTCGTGTCATATCCCCGACTACTGCACTGGACTGGACTGCTGTGTGGATGTGGTCAGTCTGGGAATGTCCTTCAACTTCAAGATCCTCCTTGACACACGGAACCTTGTCCTGACTGTCAGTATCGAGAAGCTCACCTTCCAGACATCATTGTTCAACTACAAGTGGGGTAGGCCTAATTACAGCAACCCCATAGCCATGCAGATAATGTGTACTCTACTACATAGACAATCAATTTTTACGTTTTTGTTAAAAGCAGTAGAGTGTTTTTGCAATTGTTTGAATATTGTATGTACACAGTTTCAATGTCATGTATAACGAATAATAACCAATAAATTACTTTTTGATTATTTTGCGAAAATGTCAAAGTTGTGTTTACGCTTTTTCAGGAGAATGGGAAAATTTCAACCTTAATGGCGTCGTTAGGTTAAGGTGAGATGGATTATAATTACTGTATATACGGTACATTTATCATGTTTTAAATGAAGAACCTTTTATACTTCACGTCAAAATGATCATGTATGCCGTGTGATATGATATGAAACTCAGTGTATAAACTTTCACGACGAAAATATTTAAAATTTCCTTCTCAATGACCAATTGTTATATGTACTACTGGCACTTCCTGTAACATATGTTTAGAATGGACTGTCACGAGAGTTGATTAAGTCGGATTCGAAGACTTATACACTTACAGAGCGACTGCATTAAGTATATGCTTAGATATATATATATATATTAGTACTACGACTCATGGTCTCTTAGGGTGGCTATCTGTTCCTACCCTTGACAACGACCAACCACTTTACTCATGCAGAAGAAACAATTAAAGCAGTTCAATATCATGCTGTGATTTATATTCAGTTGTCTCCATCCAGCAAACCTGCATTGTAATGGTTATGTACGTGACCTAACACTATGTCCATCTTACCTCCCCAGTTTCAAGATTGACGACCTTGTACATGCTTGGAAGTACCTGATGAGTCTAAAACTCTCGCTGTGCTTTGAAGCAGACTCTCCCTGTGCTCTCAGCCGTCCTGTCCTCACAGATATCAGCTTCCCCAAACTAGTGTGGAACTGGGATAATCCTTTCTCCGCGATTGACAACGGTGAGTGAGCGAGCGAGTGAGTGTGTGAGTTTTACGCCGCACACAGCAATGTTCCAGCTATATGGCGGCGGTCTGTAAATAATCGAGTCTGGACCAGACAATACGGTGATCAACATCGTGAGCATTGATCTACGCAACGGGGAACCGATGACATGTGTCAACCAAATCAGCGAGCCTGACCACCCGATCCCTTTAGTCGCCTCTTACGACAAGCATGGGTTACTGAAGATCAATTCTAACGGGTGACTGGCAACGGTAAGCCACATACATCGACAACTATACGCTACATGAACATCTGATGTACTTCACGTTTCTGTAATAAGTTATAAAGACATTGCATAAATGTTACATATGACAGTGTCCTTATCAATGATGTTCCTGTGATTCATGGGATTAATATCTTGTCTTTCTAACCATATATTTGCAGGCTTCTCTTTGAAGAACTGGCTTTCTGATTTGAAGCTCCCGTCTGGTAAGAGACTCGCCAGCTTAGATGTGTCGAAACTTTTAGACAGACTTGGGATTGCGGACTACTTGACAGACCCCAAGTGTAACAAGAGCCAACCACCTGGAGCAGTTGGCGGTTGGAAAAAGGGTATGTTGTTTAAACGCTGAACTTTTGCAAAATGTATGACATTAAGGCTTCAAATATGGCATGTGATCATTGTTGCGCTCAACAAACTGATAGCAATATGTCTAATAAAGAAAGTGCGATGGGAAAGGCTTGTGAGTATGGGTCTTCAAATAGAAAAAGCTAAACTATACAACAATAAGAAGAACACAGACTCACAGATTCATACTGTTGTGTGATGTTTTCAGATTGCCCTGCCAGTCTCACCCTGCCAACACTACCAGACTCCGTCACCTGTCATCTGTCGGACCCGTGTGGCTCCATACAGTGTTGTATTGACGTGGACTTTATCGGGAGATCCTTCAACGTCCAGGTCGGAATAGACCCTTGCACCTACACCTTCACCATGGGCATAGAGAAACTGGTCTTTACCAGGATCTTATCCAACTACAAATGGGGTGAGCAGGGTGCTGTTTTTGGGGAGGATCAAAATGTTAACATAGCTCAGAAGTGTGGGTAAAAAGTTTGGTAGAGGATATTCGAGAATCTGGATACAAATGTGAAAGTATTAATCGAATTTGATGGAAGGAACATTGACTATAATGAATCGTTTTAATGCATCTATATATGTATGACGACGAACAATGAAACGTACATGTCCTGTCTTACACAGGTGTTGATTTTTCAGGAACTGTGGAACACTTCAGCTTAAAGAACGTGGTCCGTGTAGAGTAAGCATTTTGTTTTAACATTGGTAATTCACTATATTGTAAAAGAATTGAGCTTTGTCCGAGTTGTAATAGTACGCATCACTGTACTAATCCGAGGCATCCATTCGTCACTGTTTAAGGACACATGTTTTTTTCAGTTTCATGATCGATGACCTGTTCGGGGAAAAGAAGTTCCTGATCAACCTCAACATCAGTGTCTGTTTCGAGGAGGATTCTTGTATGATTTCCTTCCCAGCTCTGAAGAATGTAAAGATTCCCAAGTTGGTCTGTGACTGGGACAGTACAGCTGCTCTTGCAGGTCAGTGATGTGGATGAGGGTTCTATGTGAAAGTAAACCCTCTTAATTCTAAACGTGTTCAGGCTTATGACTATACCGTATCATATTAAGATTGTTTCCCCACACATTGTTGGTGTCGTAAAATGGTCAACTAGATTATATATAGCATTTCCTGTCTTTCATTCAAAAATTCCTTCCCATGTGTATAACAAGTGCTTCTTTATCAGTGCCTACCAGAAACATCGACCCGTGAAGATTCTGGTTAGAATCGGTCTTCAGCAACCCATGTTTGTCATGATAGGCGTCTAACGGACCGGGTGACCAGGCTCGCTGACTTGGTTGATGCTCATAATGTCAGTCACTGGCTTGTCTGATCCAGGCTGAATTATTCACATGTCTGGAACATTGCATATTGCGGCAAACAACGAAAACCAGAAGAATCATATACTGTATGTGTATCAACAAGAAATGTGATGACATTCCTCAACAAATTTCCGATCAGAATATTCATGAAAATACATCTCCATTTTTTCCAGATTTCTCTTTGTCTGGCTTCCTGTCCGAGATGAAGTCTAATGGGTCTGCGAGTCTCACTTCAGTCATCGCAGCCAAACTGTTTGAGAGGCTGGAAATAGCTGGATATCTGAAGACAGCACAGTGTCAAAATACAAGTAGTCCTTATGTACCTACAATCAATGGATGGAACAACGGTAGGACCCGGATTAACATGCGATATGTTGAACCAGCATGAAATTCCAGTCACTGTTTTTATGTCATCAAGATTCTAAATAAACTTATGTAATATTCTGATTAAAGATAATATATAAGTCCACAGCTGAAAGCAATGATGGAGTGATTTTATATATTTAACAACTTTCCATTGTGATGATAGCTGCAACGTTTCACCCAGACCAAATGTAACAGAAGCCTATTATGGTGATGTTTTCAATTCGATGACTTCAGAGTGTCCAGTTGTGGGGCTTGACCAGTACCTCCCTGACCTCCCTGATTCCATGGCATGTCACGTCCCCGACATCTGCACCGCCGTTGACTGCTGCATCTACATCGACTTCCTGTCACGTGCCTTCAACGTCTTCCTGACAGTGGACATGTGCACCTATCAGCTGACGGTGGGCGTTGAAAATCTGGTCTACAAACGGATGTTGTTGGACTATCAGTGGGGTATGTTAGCATATTATTTATGCAGTCTGATTGCCGTTTTATGAAACTTGTAAGTGTGGCTACGTTATGGTGTTCTGATACATTATCCCTTCAGTTTCCTTTCGGTTTGGAGTGATGGTTTAGATTGAACGTTGCTTTCAAAATGCTTTCTTTGACGTTTGTACATTTAAGTGTCTGCTTGCACTATTCTTGAAGAATGAGGTTTTCTTGTTCTTGCCCACTCTGGTACTTTGCGGTATCAACCCACTCATAATCAGACACAGGCTCCAAAAGGTTAGATCGGTTGAGTGATTGTTCCTACAACGTCAAAAAACATATTTTCGTCCAGTGTAAATTATGCATCAAGTATAATCTGACGTTGACGAACATTGGGAGGTTTTACCACGCACACATCACGTGCTGAAACGTCAGTATTGCAAATACATAGTGTAACGTATTTTATTTTTGTTTACAGGCACAGAAGAATATTTATATGTAAAAGGAGTGATTCGAGTTGAGTAAGTATTGACGTGTTATTTAATCTATTAACATAATGATTCAGTCAAATGAGACAAAAACACACAAAAATGTAGATCTACACTTATGTATGCACCACTCGCGTAACGTTTACCTGAAAATATGCATACATAGAACCAATGTTTCAGATACACCATCAACCGACTTATGTCTGAGAAGAAACTGGAGGTGACTGCAGCTGTCAGTGTGTGTCTGAAACAAAACGAGTGTCTGTTCTCCAAAACCTTCCTTGACAAACCCAAGATACCACAACCTCTGTGTGACTGGGAGGCCAGGCTGCAACAGAGAAGTAAGGCTTGACTAGATATGTGTCCTTGTTTAATCCCTATCTCTCATTTCTCATCCTATTGCATAATTAACAAAGAGGATGTTCTTGTTTTTCAGGTAAACACCCACTGCAATAGACAGGCCGACAGAATATATTATAGTCAATACCAGATGGTTAAACAATCATTTTTGGTGGCCTGCCACTCATACTCATGATGAACACGTGTTGCCCTTGCTGACCAGTCGTGTGAATGCAAACCGCCCTGTCGGAGGGGCATGTCATTCACATGGTCACAAGAAAACTATATTCTAACATATGTATTTGAAATTGTATATCTTATTTCAGTTATTTAATGGATATTTTTTAAGTTTAAACAGTCGTACTTTCTACACATAAATCGAAACAAATGGACTTTTCTTCATGTGTTTAACAATATGAAGCAAGTCTGAAAATATACCTTTTTGAAAGTCGAGAAACCTTTCAACAGGAGTTTCTGGTAACAGCACATCAAGTATTCGGAAGGTGTGACTTCATATTCTGTTGATGTCTTAGACAAGTCTCTGGTTATGCTGTAACAATTATGTCATAATTGTTTGACTAAGTCAATGTTTGCCATGCGTGTATATATTTGTCTTCTTCCTGTCATTATGGTATATTGTGTGTGAATTAAAGTCAATTTAAGTTTAGACATCTGGTCCCCATAGATGTATATAAGTGCAGAATAACATGTATAAGTCTTAAGATAAATGTTTAATTTTACTTTTCAAATCTTTGTGGTCTTAGAGAAACAGCATGGTTGACTGCCTCATCATCTAAGAGATAAGGGAAATATAACCAACCTAGCAACCTTGCATCTGAACCAACAGAATGTTATTAAATATTCTAACGGAATAACAAGGAAGACAACATAGCAAGTATGACTGTTTGTTTCAGATTTCTCATTGTCCAACTGGGCATCAGGCAAGGGTCTGTCCTCCACCGTGTCGACTCTCACGGAAACACTCATATCTCAGCTCATGGATGATCTTGGGGTGTCTCAGTACCTCGTCAGCTCGGCCTGTGACCAGTCGGCAAGTCCATATTCCCCTGCTGGGATAAACAACTGGAATAATGGTATATGTATAAACATTTATACCACTATGTTATTGGTGTTGGAGTGAAGTACAATCTGTATGAAGTTATTGCATGTTGTTTTGTACCTGTATATATTTAACTGAAGTATGCCTGTGGTTGAGCATATATTTAAATGAAATCAGGGTTACTGATGAAATCAACAATTACGACATGTTTCCTCTCATGAGCATCATAGGGTCATTCCGCTTTTAAATCTTTTGTAGATTATATACATAAATATTTGCACTGAAAACGCAATGAATTTAAATGAATTTGTCCCCTATGCCCTTTTTGCGCAGAATGGGTGAGTTTAGTTGTACGCTGTGCCTTTGGCAATTTCACGGCGGGTAACACCAGACACGGGCTTTACACATTGTAACCATGTAAGGAAATAAACCCGGGTCATCGATCAAACGCATTAACTATTAAGCTACCTCATCGCCCCATTTTGCACAGAGAAAGAGAAGGGTACTGGTAAATCTACCACACCAGTAAAGAAAATGCATGTTATAAGACACGATTTAAACACTTCGGACTTCTTACATTCATTAGAGTGAGGTCATACCAGTATAGATGGAAGAACAGAAGGTACACGATTAATATTTCTGTGTTTCCAGAATGCAGCAGCCGAGCCGTACCATCCCTACCCGACTCTGTGCGATGTCACCTGACCTTCAACTGTTCCACTGTAGACTGTTGTGTCGATGTTCGACTCATCAAGAGGACAATCCAAGCCAAGTTTGATGTGGATATTTGTAACTTACAGATGACAGTGATCATTGAACGACTATCTTACACTGTTTCACTCCTGGAGTATGTATGGGGTAAATGTCCACTTGTCCAAATGTCCAAAGTCCACTGGAATCCAATGTTAAGAAATGTGTCGAAAGTCACTGAGTTTCAAACATCAAATTCACATTCACTATGAATGGCCACCGTTGTTATAGAGCCTGAGCCTAGATGGTATTCATAATGGTATTGCGACCTTTGTCACGTTGAGGTTTGTCCAACATGAGACTTACGCATCTTAACACCTTAGAGGTACTAACCAGTCGTATGTTAGTCATTCCTGATTCAATGTACTTTCCGGTCTGTTCCAGGCACAGAAGGACATTTCATCCTGGGAGATATGGCACGGCTGGTGTGAGTATCAGATGGCATTTTGTTCATGTGACTGAACCTGCCGTGATGCCTGTAGTTTCTCCTGTCATATCTTTACTTTTTGCACAAATGTATGTTGCAAATCATTAGACCTAAACGTTGGTCTCCGATTTCATTTTATTGTTTAACAAATAGCTATTCATAGAACCTTGGACTATAATCTTTGAATCAATTTTCAGTCGATTTATTGCACACAGCTTTAGAATAGGGATATTATGTCATGAATCTGTTACACTTCTTTAGAGCTTAATAATTATTCTCCTGTACACTGAAAAGAGTATCATACTGAAAATAATAAAGATATTTGATTGCATTGACTCTTACAAATACCATTCATAAACATTCAGAAGAACTTATGGAATGTCGCTGCAGGTACAAACTTGAGCACGTCCCTTCAACGCAGACGTTGGTGATTGATCTAAACATCAAGATGTGTTTTGAAGACAACACGTGTGTGCTTGAAGTCCCAGTCTTCTCGCAATCAGAGCTGGCGTATTCCTCATGTAACCCGAGTCTACCGGTGCCGTTTGATGGTGTGTACTTAATCAAAGGTGTCACACTTACGGAAACAGATTCTGTGGAATACCACATAATCTTTCAAACCAATGCCCGAGGTTCACCAAGATTTTAGACAAACTTAGCACTGGGTTTATACTGGCAGATACAGCATGTTTTGTATATGCATACCGTGCGTGTGTGCGTGAGTGCGAGTGTGTGACCGTATTTCTAGATACACAGGTGTAAATGTAAACATTGTGTTCTCTATGTTACAGGTGTCTCCTTTGATTTCTGGAAGTCTAAAAAATGTGCTCTACAAACATCCGGTAAGCCCAAACAAAGTCTTGAAAAGTATGTATTTAATCATTTTTTTTAATGTTTCTTAAACGTGATCGTGGAATATCAACTAACCAGCAGGCATGTTTGTATTGAATGAATAGTTTTTGCAAATTTTATTATAATGATGTCTTCTGAGTACTGCTTGTATTCATAACCCCAGCTTGTCCGGCATCCCTCCCCACGGCTATCTCGAGCACCTGCCGCCTGACTGACAACTGCATGGGCATCACGTGTTGTGTGGACATCGACCTGAAGTATCTCGGCATCTACTCCATCACTGCCGGCATCACGGTTGACCACTGCAATGACCAGCTTGTGTATCATATAGAGAACAAAGAGTGGACAAAGAAGCTGCAGGTTGTGGAATATGGTGAGTAACTGCGAGGTAACTCGGGTACCTGGGGTAGGTATACTTAAAACAAAATGCATTCATAAAAATATTTTTTCTTCACATTTTCAACCCTGTAAGTCACACCACACCTACAGTCGCTAGGCTGAAGTTATATATTGATGAATGCTGCTCTCATAATTCAGTAAAACATATCTATAGACTTTAGTTTCATTTCAAGCTGCAGAGGCCAAGTGTCCAGGATTCTACTTCTTGTATGTGTTTAGTGTTTTAACCCAGAACCCCCAAAGAAAGGACAATTGCCACCTGGACCACTGCCACCTAGGACAATTGCTACCCAGTTATTTTTACTATAATAGTGAGGACAATTGCCACCCAGAAGTTTTATGTGATTATATTTGAGAAAATGAATGCAGGTTGTGATAAACACACATTTAGATGATGAAAGGTCAGTGTTTTCTTGGTATATATATATATTCTGACTTTGATTAACTTTTCACCTTAAAGTAATTTTCACTTTGATGAAATTTTTACTTTGACGAAATATTGACTTTGATGAAAACATATGATTAAAGTGATAAGAAGATCAAGTGTTTAGAAAAAAAAAATTCATTAGAGCTTGGGTGCTACTGTCTGAAATATAGCATGTTGAGATGAATGTTTTGATAATGTGAGTACACAGACTTTGCTAGAAAAACAGTACAAATCTACAGGTTTCATCCTTTGGTTCAGCATTAAATGAAATTTAGTAGTGATTTTAGTAAATTAAACTGCTGTTTACACACATAAAATTAGTGTTTAGTTGGAAATATAGATAGCCATTTATTGCCATGATTATGAAGGCTATCATTTTTTATTGCATTGAATTTTTCAATATTGGAAATTTCTTTCAAATTAACCAAAACCCTTTGAAGTTTTGGAGCATGTTGTATATTATGTTTGGCAGCTAAGATAATATGATTCAGTATCTGTCAGTGTATAATGTTCCAAACCAAACATGGTATTTTGTTATTTTAATTGTGTTCTCAATATGATTATTCATCCAAACTTCAAATTCATTCCAGAATGTGTGTGTTTCTCTACATTCCCAATAAACACGATAAATACTCTAATTCAGCTCATTACATAAGCAAACAGCAAACTAAATTGTCAACAAGTAGTTCTTTTTTAGTATAGATAATACCAAGTAAAAACTTGACATCTTTCAAACAATTTCTGTAAGTCATAAAAATTCTATTCCAATCAAAAGTAACATTAGCAAAAGATGCTTGCCATTTAAGACACACTTTAGGTAAATCTTCAGTAGAAATCAATGAGTCATACAAAATTATAGAGCCCCTTTGCATGATTTCAATAAATTCAAATGACATTCAGTTATGAGTGAATTAAAAACTGGGATATATCTGGAGTGTATAGTGGTATATTTCTAAGAATCTTAGAAGTCCTGTCATTTTATAAAAAGTATCAATTTCATCACGAGCAGCCTTTAAGCTTTGTTCACTCCCATCAAGAAATAATTCAGTATCATCTACCAATTGGTTTAATTTACACTCACATTATTGTCAATAACAATACCTTTTATGTTCTTATTACTTCTAATCATACAACCAAGTATTTCGGCGACAAAACTATAGAGGTACGGTGACAGAGGATCTCCTTGCCTCAGAGAGTTTACCATGTTAGGTTACACAGAATGTTGTTTCATATGTCATTATATTTATCAAATGAATGATTACCAAATCTAGCTAAAACAATATTCAATACATCTTTTCTAGATACTGTATCGAAAACCTTTTTAAAACCTATGTTGATGAAATCTGGTTATATGGAAGGATATGTTATTATTTGTTATTTCAAACTCAATAAAAGTTGGTAAATTGTCCTAGGTGGCAATTGTCCTAGGTGGCAATTGTTCGGTGGCAACTGTCCTAGGCCCAACCCCAAAATGAGTAAATTTCAATATGTACAATAATGACTAACAGTACGTTTTTGTAGTAATGTCCTTTTGCTGTTCCGCTAGACAAGAACCACACTGTGTTAGTTGGCAACGCCATCACCGTGAGCTACGTTATCAGCAAAACCGCATCCTCCTATGAAGTGTCCTTCCACGTCAAGCTCTGTGTCATGAACGTACACGACCTCATCAACAAGTGCTACTACTACAAACTCCTAGATGAAAAGGTGTTCCAGATGCCGTCTTCTTGTTCACCTGTTGGACGAAGAAGGAAAAGAAGAAGTCCTTTAGACCTGTGAGTGTTGCATAATACTTTGCTGAGGACACAGAGCGATTCATTTTGCCTCTGTTTTCATAACCCATGTATTCTTTAATATGCTAATTGATAAACATAATTTCCCGAAAATAGTTTCGTTTATTTCTCATAACGAATGTTGAAGATGTAACTAGGTTGAATTCCTGTGGCATTCTTCCTTTTCAGAATACATACAGGAGATGCCAAACGGATCCTTAATAATGCTATGAACCAGAACTTTACAAATGAAGAAATCAAGGATCTTTTTGAAAGACTGAAGACTGAAGCAGTAGGATACTATTTTGTAGCGTTTGTTTTTTGCCACTAACATGAATTTTCTTTATGGAGATCTGGCGATGAATTGAGTATGCTCTCAATGATATATGAATGTTATCCACGGCACTGGTGTTTTGAAGATCACTGTCCTCAATTCATCGATGTTTCATATGCCGACATGATTTTGTGCTTTACAACGAATGTGTTTTAAAACCGAAATATCTTCAAATTTGAAAAATACATGCTTTGAATAAGAGCTTTATTGCAATACAAGTTCTCTACCTTCAGAAGAGGGACAACTCACTGATGTTCACCCGCACGGATGATGATGCCACAGCCACCAACACTAAGAGCGCCATCAGAAAGATGGGTATGGCCAACCCAGGAACCATTCTGTACTCTGGGGAGGTCGGCAGAGGGAACGTGGTGCTCGGCATGGAAGGAGGTGAGAGGGTTTAGTGTCACAAAATAAACATAGAATTGTTGAGTTCAGAGTAATTAAGACATATATATTTTGTCTAAATTATTGTTGTTTTTTCTTTGGCAACATCAGAGTAGCACATTGGTAATCTATGCCATGACGATAAACTATATCTTTTGTAGGTGTGAATGCGCTTTGCTAAATCAACATTTCTTTCTCCGATTGGATTGCAGTTCAATGTCTAATTACAGGCCACATGTTTATAGTTGAAAGTATATATTGTCCACTGGAACGTGTAGATGAATGTCCGTTGATAGATTTACGAACTTGTACAAATCTGAAATGGCTTTGCAAGTACCTTTATGCAAAAGGTCAATAGTTAAAGGAATATGTCTAAAAATCAAACGTATCTTTACGTTAACGTTTTTTGCACTTTTTTAAAGAAACAAAAATAAAACCAACGAAAATGATGACATTAAAACCTTGCCAGATGCAGTTTATATATTAGGGCTGTGTCATGAGCAGCATGTTTGTTTTAATGCCTCACTCTCAAAAAGTGACGATATCGGGGGAAATATGTGCATATCCTGCCTGACCGGTGGCACCCGCCACTAACGCTTGAAAGTCAGCTGAAGAACACGGGAACATGTGATATTTACGTCAAAATCGGAACTGCTTAGGATATAATTTCTGTCATTGATATACATTAAATTTTGAAATGTCTTTCACATGTTGTTTATAAAGGTTAAAGCTTTACTTAGACTTTGAACGTTTAAACAACGCTGTAGCAATAATACATCCGAGTCATTCAAAACCATTTAGTTGAATAAATTCCAATGCGTGAAACCTATTACGTCTGTACCCCGAGTGACATGTCCATAATATTGCTGCACGCAGCAGCTATCAGAGTCCCCGACACATCACACGCAGAGCTAGCTGCTTCATTCCTCTAGCTTGGCAAGCAGAGCTTATCGGTGAGCTTGCTGGTTAAGAGTCTCGTGGTTCAGTCCACGTTTCTATTGTTCTTGGTTCACCTAGGCGAGAAGATCATGAAGGTCCTGGGTCAGGTAACCGACATCCTGGGTCGCGGGGACCAGGCGTACACTGTGGGGAAAGGTCTGACTGGGAAAGGACTGGAGCTGCTTGGTGCTAAACTAGCCAACATGAGTATTGGGGAGATCATAGCCATGTTTGATGCCAAGAACATCGACCCTGAACTTGCTCTTCGACTGACGAGACAACTGAGAGATCTGGCTCTTGCCCTGGTAACGTTTTAGTTATGTTGATATTTAGTTATCCTTAATTAATGTTATGTATCACATTCCATGTTCCAGGTGTAAGATAAAAGAATGAAATCATCTTCATATATGTATGGTAGCCCCAACATTATTAGCAGTATTTGTTCAAATTGTTAGTGATTTTGCTTTTAAATAATCGCAACAGTTATAATCATCAATGATTGTTCTTGCATGAACTTCCACTGGTGGCTTTGAGGAATTAATTTGGCTCAGAATATGAAAGGTCAAGGTCATGAAATTGAAAAAGATTACGAAACATTTTTTTGTAAAACATTAGTGATGTCACTGTTTTTGGGGGGCATGGTTACCTTTCTGCGAGCTTAGAACACGCAAGATATGTTTTAAAGGTCAAGGTCAATTTGGTTAAGATCATGTTCAAGACGTACACTTCTTTTTCTCTACTTATATGATCAGATGACATTTATCGTGATACAGATATAGAAATTTTATAAATGTAGACGAGTGCTAAATGTGCCGAGAGAAATATCAATATTTACCATCTAAATACTAGTGCCTGCTGTAGCATATGTTATATTTAGGAATACACATTCTCAATAAAGTACAGATTTTAGCACCATCCCGGATTCGAACCCACACTCTTAGAATTAGGGCCCTAATCGCCAACACAAAAGGCAGCGGTCTCTAACTCGTCCACTGCGACTTCCACTTTCTTACTGTCATTGTGGATTCAGCGTCTGTCGTGCAGTAATATATATCACCGCCGTTATATAACTGAGAAAATTCGTAGTGCGGCATTAGACAACAAGCAAATGATATTCTCCCTGACGTCGGCAGCTCTCCTAATGCCGTTGATATGTATGTCATCTCTCCGATTTCAGTATTCAGATATCATCAATGCCATCATCAACGGCGATGGAACCAACGCATTTAGTTCTTTTGACATTACCCTCCAAGGAGATTTCAGTATACCCAGAGAAACCATCCCTTTCTTCAAATTCGAAAAATTCTTCCTGATTGGAGGAATCGTACCCATGACCTTTGGTGAGTATGGGTTTAGAAAACCCTAAACACGATTGACTCTGGATTGAAAGGAATGTAAGAGTAATGTTCCAAATGTTTCTACATCCAGGCTGTAATTGTTGTCACTTTCACTGTCACTGTCACATGCCATATGTGGTATGCATGCATTTTTTTCCTTTCAAGGAGCAATGGCATCAGCTTTTAGGCCAAAGCATAAGGTCGTCTCAATGAAGACATGATTCCTCAAACGGGTACAATATGTGAAGCTCATGAGCTGAAATATGGCTTAGTCACGACATGGTTGAAATATTGCCGATGTGACTTTAAATCTTAACTCACTCACTCTTGGTCAAGGTACTTTTCCAAGTATACAATAGAACGACATAGAGAGTCAAAGGAAACTTGTCATTGAGGACTGCGTCCCACTGATCCGCTGATGATTGGTTCTAATCCCATATATTTGCTCAGATTATGATCCTAGAATACTTTACCATACCTGTTCATTCAGTGCCTTTTAATGGCATGGAGCTCCTAGGATGGAACTAGGAAGGTATTTGAATGGGTATAAAATTTCATTTATAATGTATGTGCACCTTTCGTTGTAGATACTAACATCGTTATCACGCAAGTGATGATACTGATCCTCACGTTAGTTGCAGGAGAGAAGATGTATGTCTACAGAATGTTGTCTTTCTTTCTGTGGGCTTCCTTTTTTTTCCAAGCTGATAAACTGAGTATTGTTTTCAACCTCACTGACACATTTACGCTTGAGAAATTGTTTTACATTTGTTAGTACCATACCACTCCACTGCATTCCCCTCCACTCCACTCCACTCCACTCCACTCCACTTCACACCACACCACTCCACTCCATACCACTCCACTCCACTCCACTCCGCTCCACACCACACCACACCACACCCATCAACTCCACTCCACTACACTCCACTCCACTCCACTCCACTCCACTCCACTCCACTCCATGATGTATACGCGTATATGGCGATGTATATGGCTTATACCACGTCATCCACTGAATTCAGCCTCTGCAATCTTCAGAGTTTGGAGCCGGAGCTTCTTTTGGAATGGAAATAGTTGCCGGAGCTAAGATCCTTGGTATGACGGTGTTCGGTCAAGTGGTACCCTATGGAAGTGCCCATGTTTACGGAGAACTTGGCATCGGACTTATACTGTATGGCAAGCTGAGATTTGATGGTTACCTCATGAACGTTGCGTTCCCGTCCAGGGCTGAAATAGGGTTCTATAAGTTCCCACTTGATTTAAGGTAAGTATTCTACATAAATTAGTTAACGTGTCTCAAACCAAACACATGCGCATACCACATGGTGATTTATATTATATCATTCTGTACAGCCTAGATACTAAATAGGTTTGTGATTAAGTTGCGTACTGTTTGAGAATGCGTGTTACTTTAGTGTTTGTCAGATTGACCCCAAAGAATTTGAAGGGCATTGTTCCTAACCATGTGGTGCCGCCTTTGGCCAGAAACCTTTATGGAAGTATGCCTCTGCTTATCCAGATAATATGAGCATTGTGCCATGAACATATGTTCTCATGCAACTGCAATGTTATTTCAATGTAGTAACATTTACCTGAATATTACTGGAAAACTGTTGCAATATTAAAATGCCCTCAAGGAATCATGAATCATATGCCTCATTTGCAATCCTCTCTAGTCTGAAGATGGACATAGAGCTGGTTCCTCTGGAGATGACCCTGCAGGGACTAGTTACCCTGGAGGTCAATCTCTTGTTCGACACGATCAAGAAGATATTGTACCAGGCAGTTATCTGGCGATATGCTACTCCAGTGATAAGGAAAAGACTGATAGACACAGGCAAGAAGGAGGAGGACAAGTCTCCACCACAGTTCCTTAACTACGTGGACAATACGGTACGTTTCAGAAAATTTGCAAAGTAAATTACACCTGCTACATTTTTATTTGTTTATGTTACCCATGAAGATCCGGGTTAGAATTGATCTCAGCTATGCTTGTAAAGGGCGGCTGACAGTATCAGGTTATCAAGCTCGCCGACTTGGTTAACAAGTATATTCGATGCTCATGCTGTTGATCACTGGATTGTCAGGACGAGACTCATTTACATCATTTACAGACTGCCGCCATAAAGCAGGAATATTGCTGAGTGAGGTGTTAAACAATAAACAAACATTTGCTTCTGTATTTACAAGCCTTTTCTATCATGATTCATCAGTCCAGCAAAGGGCAGAACATCGTTTCACAAAGCGAACGTAGCCCTACGGCGGTGGTTGTCTATGTTAAATTATATGAGTTACCATAGAACTAACATCGACTTATTAAACGGGTTCCTGGTTTGTCAATTCAGAAATGTAATAGTAGAGAGTCAGAGGAAAAAACTGAAGCACATCCATGTATTTCCATCAGGGAGGTCCTGGCCGAAAGAAGAGAGCAGTGTCCACATCGCGGAGCTGCTTAGTGAGACAACTCCCCAATAGAGACTACACAGAACCGGCTGTAGAGATAGCCATAGCTGCCCAGGATGACCGGAGTCAGGTCCAGATCTTTGTGGATGCTGGCACCAAACCTGGACTCAGTGATGTACTGAGAAAATCCACCCTCGGTGGACCATCAACAATTATCACTCAGGTATGCAATCGACGTAGGAGAATGCCTCTGTCATCATCCCATGCGCATGAATGGTTTCTTTGTTCATTTACGTTCTTTTTACTGAAGAGCACCAAACTACTTTGTAATTGTCGAAAGTGATTAAGCCACAGGAACAAAATCACTTGCCTCAGGCACACTTACGTTGAACAAAAGTAAATCAGACTTTTGGGACAACACCATTCATGTCACATTTTTTTCAATACTTTTATAGTGAATCAACCTTACAGACACACACACACACACACCATCCCCCGCATCCACCCACCCCCGTTTTCTGAGGCAATCACACTGACTAATCACATGGCTATTATCATAAGTCTGTCATCACCATCATAATTCGTATTGCAAATGTTACATAATAGAGTGTGAAAAACCACGCACTTCAAATATGTTGACGACAGATGTCATTGTTGATATTGATGCCTGTACTTCCTTTACAATAATTATTCTATATAGAGATTTGTATGTCTCTTGAAGACTCGCCATTGTTACATTTCTCACAGAGACAAGAATGAGAAATATATAATTTTAAGTTTGTATTGACAGACCACCTCATTGGTCAAGTGGACAGTGTGTCTTTCTACAGTACGGAAGGTCGAGTCCGTTGTAGAGTCATACCAAAAATCGCTTAAGGAGTGTACTACCCCTCGTTACAGCATTGCGGGGTTTTGTTGTAGTTGAAATATTGTGTCAGAACTTGGTGTCCATGTGTAATTGTTTGTATTATTGTAGCTCAGCTGGCGTGTACAGTGTTATAAAACCGGAATAAGTCTGGAAACCACACACGTGCACGCACGTTATCAATTTAGTAGAATCATCTTGATTAATATCTATAGATATTTCAGAACTCTATTTAGAGATGTAATCTAAATTTATGACATTATCCATTTAAGCGATTTTCCAAGAATGGCTACGGTGTCCCCGTTTACTTCACGGTGTACGGAGAGAACAGCGCAGGCGCGAGATCCACCGTGACTTGCGCCATCCCCACCTATGACGTCACGCCCCCTGGTGGCAGATTGACAGCGGACTTTAGTTCAACCAGTAACCCAGCTGAGCTGAGAGGGAACGTGGTGGTGTATGAAGATTCCGATCTGGTTAAATCCTCTGTGGGTGTCGGACTGGGAAGGGGAATCTACGCAGATGAAATAATAGCCTACAACTCGGTCAATCTTAGAGGAAGGCACACAGCAGGCTATGACCGTACGGCAAATATTAGATATCATACGATCGCCAGTAAACCTGATCTAATGTGTATAACAAAACAAGAGCCTTATACCCATAGAAGATGACTAAATAATCAAACACAAAATGAATTGCTAATGAATTGTTATGATTAAACATAGCTAAACAAAGTAAGGGGTAAACATAAAATGTGGAATTGAAGATGAGTGACAAATAATCAAGAATATGGTCAGTTTTTGCAATACTTATATAAGAAAATAATTTTTTATACGTTTTCGAAGTGCATTATCACAACGACCACTCCGTAGTATACAGTTCACTCTACACCAGAAATGGTTGAATGTATGTTCAGGCGGAGGGGTAGCTTAGTGGTTAAAGCGTCCGCTCGTCACGCTGAAAACACGGGTACAATGTGTGGAGCACTTATCTGGTGTTCCCCGCCGTGATATTGCTGGAATATTGCTGCAAGCGGCGTATAACCATACTCCCTCACTCACACTGTTCCTTCACAGGCAGGAAATAAGGCATTTCGTCTTGTTACCAGAGACGGTACCGTATCCAAAAAAGTATACACATTTTCAAACAACATACGATCGTATCTAACAGGTTGGATGTGTGAAAAATGATTGTTGTTACTGCTTACAGCTTCATCTGATCAGTATGGCCATGAAGCGTTAAAACATTTCACGGGTCTGAAGAAAGGTCGGCTGATTGGCCCAGTGTTTGCCGAGTTCTCCAGGATGAACCACGCCGGGTCGTGTGTGAAGGAGTGTATGAAGTTCCCGGAGACCAAATGTTTGAGCGTCAACTATGACTACGGGCCTAGTGGACATTGTGAACTGTTAGAAGGCATTGAAGGACACGACCATAAAATCTTCATTGTAAGTATAGATTAGGCATGTATCTAGGAAAAGACTTGCATGTGTCTGTGCTATTATCATCATGAGTGTATTTTATATTCTTTATACGACAATTGACCCCTATCCATTAATAAAAAGGGAACAAATCAAAACAGGGAATGAATATCTTTTTTGGTCACTGATAAGTCAATTATGTGTCTGCAGTGAAACTGTGTGAAAGTTTTGCCTTCACATCTGAATGCTGCAATCGTGATCACAAAACCTTTGAGGAAGAGCTGTATGACGTTCTTCGAAATCTTCGGAAAGATAGCATGTTCCATTGTACATCAAAAGTTGTTATTAGCAGACACCAAAGGTTGAAGTTTTTGAAATATTGCTCCACGAAAAGGTAAATTGGAAATATCAGTCATCCCTCGTCTTACAGCCTTGGGGGTAGTTTGTTATCACTCTGCGTCATTATACACGGAACTATATCTGATACAGAAGAAACGGTTTCACTCTCACTGATTTTTAGTTTAGTTGGGTAAAGCAATGACATAGAACAGACTGAATATCGATACTCAGGAAGTTTAACTTACACTTGATCAATTACAGTTCATTTGATTTTGCCTAGGCGAACAGAACCTCTGATTATTTTACAAAAAGAAACAGATCGACAGTTTATGGAACACTCTCGTGCACATGGGGATGCCTACTTCTTCCCTATTGTCTTTCCCCCAAATTCTATAGAAGTCCGGTATTTCACGTATTGCATCTCATGAAAGTTTCACAGCTATTGTTCCCCTTACATCACAAGGAATCGGTTTCTGAGGATAGTGAACAATGGATATACTTTTGCACTGACGTTCTATATCAAGCAAACTTTTGTACTGAATCTCTGAAGATGAAGGTATAACTAATTTATATCCATAACTACAATAATTTATTTTGTTTTATGCAATTTCATGTTTTGCACAGTTACTTTTTGCCGTTAATATAAGTGAAACATAATTTTTTTATATAATGTAACATCATTCATTTCCGAGATTGTAATTTTCCATCCATATGTTAGGCCGTGTATCACTATATGACTTGCATACACGGATGTGTATTGTAATCTGTTGGTAAAAGTGGCTTGAACTTGCCCTCCTGAACACTTTTGAATCTCACCCCTTCATATCACAACATGTTGCCAGTTTCGTATGTCAGCAGCTATCTCATGTTGAGCTCTGTAATTATTCTTGTGGGCAAAACTAATACCGGCAATGGTAATCCACGATAACGACCTTTTCTGTAATTTGTGTACCTGTCGTTCAGCTTCTTGAACACAATCCTGACTTGAACCTAATAGACAGGACACGAAACAAGACATAATTCCGAGATAATGCCCCAACTGTATATTTGGCTACCTTGTGCGAGCCGAGACAAAGAAATACCAGGAAAGCATGAGTCTCTAATATATTCTATAGTTAAAATAATGATTCGATATCAAACTATCAGGAATGGTTTTCTCAGCGTATAAGGGGAAGGTCATTTCTTAAGCGAAATATTACCTTGAGTATCTTCAAGTATTTTTTTCAAGAAATATTTTGAAACATGTATGATGTACACTAACCACACATCATTCTTTATCCTTGTAGTCTGATCAGTATTCTCACTATGAGAGGCTTGGAGTTGGTCTTGCCCACGAGTTCATCTACAAGGATCTGACTTTACGTCACGGGGTCATGTACTACTTCAACCTCCACCTTATCAACAACCTCCAGTTTGATTCCATCCTCCATAGCAAGGGGGTCGTGGTTGATTTAACACCTCCTGAACCAGGTAGGATTTCACTTTAACCACAATTTGTTGTATTATTGTGTCCTTGGCCTGGAAACCCGTGAAGATTTGGGTTAGAACTGATCTTCAGTAACCCATGCTTGTCGTAAGTGGTGACGAACGGGATCGGGTGGTCAGGTTCGCTGACTTGGTTGGCACATGTCATCGTATCCCAATTGCTAAGATCGATGTTCATGCTGTTGATCACTTGATTGTCTGGTCCAGACTCGATTATGTACAGATCGCCGCCATATAGCTAGAATATTGCTGAGATTTTTTATATACTGGCGTCAAACTTAACTCCTCACTCATTAAGTGGCGACTAATGAGATCGGTGGATGAGGCTCGCTGACTTGGTTGACACGTGTTACCATATCCCAGGTGTGTAGATTTATGCTCATGCTGTTAATCACTGGTTTTTCTGGTCCAGGCTCAATTACCAACCAACCAACCAACCTTGGCCTGTAAAAAGCTATGATTGTTTTTTTAGGGACATATCTGACTGAGTGACGTTCCTTCCACTTGACTATCACCGTGCATTAAGCATTGCTCATGCGACCCTGTTATACCCTTGCTGTACGTCCATATATGTTCTGTACTTCAAGTTTACTGGGATAATAACACATCTGAATCAGATGTTGTGCTACGGTTTTACAAATTCCCGTCTTTATCTGAACTCATTATTCAGGTCCACTGGCTAATGTGAGTCTCGATGTCCTGGAGGTGACCTCGTGTGAGAGTGTGGTTCCAGATGACAGACCAGACTGGGAAGTCAGGTGTCGAGGTGTCAACAGTCAGTTGAAAAACCACAGGTGAGAGATCTGACCACAAAGCTTATATTTCACTGATATTTCATGACTTCCTGGAGAAAAAGTGAATATCACAGCATTCTCAAATCTCAGGCCACATGGTTATGTAAAGTTGTGTTGACTTAAAATCTTATTCTCAAGGTAACCGTTCCATTTTCAGGATAATTCATGATGGCACTGGATCAAACACCGTTTTCAATGGGGACGAACCCCTTACTGATCTCCTATACACCAGAGCAAACAGATACGTATCAGGTTGGTGAAAGAGGTTATTTGTTTCGAGGTCAGATATATCTGATTAAATTTGGTATTGACTGTAGAATAATTTTAAACTTTCGTTTACTGTCCTAAATGTCTTCTTATGTAAAAAAAGACCTCTTTGTAGACATTACTAAACGTAGTTGGACGTTTTTGGTTGCGATTTTGTACACGTTTGATGTATGGTAATTCATTTTTAACATGTTCATTCTTTATATCATCCTCAAACCATCATTTTTAAACCATCATGACGATTTTCTGTTTACACCTATGTTCCAGCTAACTGGGACGGCATCATGGACAAAGAAACGGGCATACTGGGCTTCTCCTTGACCGCAGGGACACAGATCTGTGAGGAGCTGATTCACCCCCATCATGACCCTCACAGGCACCTGTTTGACGAATCAGAGTGGACCCACACTGGACTCATTTCCCCCATACCGGCTCCATACGACCCTCTCCCTGGTAAAACAGAAACATAAAACTTTTAAACATAAGACCATTCAATAACCTAAATACTGTAAAACAACTTTGTATCGACGTTTGATGTGTCGAACTTGTTGTTGTCTGGAAGCAAAAGCTGGAATGGATTATGTAGAGGCCCCCGCTATACAACTACTGTTCAGGACAGTATGAAACACAATCTTACTTCGTAATGATATATGTTAGGCTTAGATCGGCCACTATGGAAAACTCAGGAACACTCATTCAGTTACATCTTTGTCTTGGTTCAGATGGGAAATACTACATCACACTGAGGGCCTTGAACAAGGTTGACTATGGAGGTCCACTTGTAACAACAATCTGCCACACCACGCCGCTAGGGGTGGACAACTCACCACCACTCCTGTATGAAATCTATAACGTTTCCTACAACGAAGACACCTTCTTCATTAATGCGCAGTACAACGCCAGGTAACATTGTGTTGACGAATATATTTGTATATTTGAAATGTCGTCTGTCTTTAAAATTTGTATTGAACTTAACTCCGATCAAATTAGGACAACCTTCATTTAGATATCTGCTAATGACCATTACTCCTCACAGTGACCCACATTCAGACATCAGAGAAGCAGACTTGTGTCTTGGGCGGACCACACGTGACTGTCATCACATGGACTGGCAGAGGTCCTCCCACAATGATGGCGACATCACCCGTCAGTTCCAGATCCCGGGTGGAACTCCTGTCTGGATTAAAGTCCGGGTAATCAACAATGGTGAGTTATAACTGAGAAGTTTGGAACATTAATGGCGACATCACCCGCCAGATCCAGATCCCGGGTGGAACTCCTGTCTGGATTAAAGTCCGAGTCATCAACAATGGTCAGTTATAACTTAGAAGTTTGGAATATTGATCGCGACATCACCCGCCAGTTCCAGATACCGGGTGTAACTCCTGTCTGGATTAAAGTCCGGGTAATCAACAATGGTGAGTTATAACTTAGAAGTCTGGAACATTGATGGCGACATCGCCCGACGGTTCCAGATACCGGTAGGGACCCCTGTCTGGATTAAAGTCCAGGTAATCAACAATGGTGAGTTATAACTAAGAAGTCTGGAACATGGATGGCGACATCACCCGCCAGTTCCAGATACCGGGTGGGATTCCTGTCTCGATTAAAGTCCGAGTCATCAACAATGGTGAGTTATAACTTAGAAGTCTGGAACATTGATGGCGACATCGCCCGCCAGTTCCAGATGCCGGGTGGAACTCCTGTCTGGATTAAAATCCGGGTAATCAACAATGGTGAGTTATAACTTAGAAGTCTGGAACATTGATGGCGACATCACCCGCCAGTTCCAGATACCGGGTGGGACTCCTGTCTGGATTAAAATCCGGGTAATCAACAATGGTGAGTTATAACTAAGAAGTCTGGAACATTGATGGCGACAACGCCCGACAGTTCCAGATACCGGGTGGGACTCCTGTCTGGATTAAAATCCGGGTAATCAACAATGGTGAGTTATAACTTAGAAGTCTGGAACATTGATGGCGACATCACCCGCCAGTTCCAGATACCGGGTGGGACTCCTGTCTGGATTAAAATCCGGGTAATCAACAATGGTGAGTTATAACTAAGAAGTCTGGAACATTGATGGCGACAACGCCCGACAGTTCCAGATACCGGGTGGGACTCCTGTCTGGATTAAAATCCGGGTAATCAACAATGGTGAGTTATAACTTAGAAGTCTGGAACATTGATGGCGACATCACCCGCCAGTTCCAGATACCGGGTGGAACTCCTGTCTGGATTAAAGTCCGAGTCATCAACTATGGTCAGTAATAGTATCAGGTTTGTAACAATTAGGGCGACATCAATGACTAGGTTCAGATACAATATTAAGCTGCTGTCTGGATTTAATCCATCACCCAGGACTGATACTGTATATGGTGATGATAGAAATAAAACTGAAGATTTGTCTAAAATAAAATATTGCTCTTTGGAACGTTGATTGGCATAAAGGATGTTCGTTTCATTGCAGAAAACAATACTTACTTGCATAAGATATACAAATAACATTCCGCTAGGGATTAAAGTTTGTTTTGAATAACTGTCAGGATGTATAGCTCCAAAAACAATTTGTTTATACATTGTTTAACTCCACAATCAGTAGAGCCCACCAGGTCTCCGACTATGACATCCTCATCGTCTTCTGTCACCTCGTATTCCAAGGATAGGTTGCTGACGATAAGTATCATCTTGAGACCTCACGGGTTATGAACACATGGATTATTTTGCATATTACACAATGTATCAGCTATTGGTTTTGTGTTTCAGTTGATTTGATGAAAGTGGGCGTGTCCGACCATCCGATCATAGTGGACACATCTCCTCCTGAACCAGGCATTGTGTATGACGGACCCTTCTTCAGACATGACCTCAACTTTACCAAGGATGCTGATAAGGTAGATATGTATCTATTTCACATGAAGCGTGTTGTGTAAATAGTTGATAGCAATCTTTACGGATTCAATTAACTGGATATACATCCTCCAATGACCTTTAAAGTTCCACTAATGTCCATATCTTTACCCAAACGACATATATTCCATCTATAATGAGTTTTGATATCTATGTGCCAGATCTGTATCAGCTAGTTTGGAGTCTCTGTCCCCGAGTCTGGTATTCCGTCTCTAATGAAAACTGACCTGTATATTCCAGATCTGTACCAACTACATGTAGTTTGGGTTCTATAAGCTTGAGTTTGGTTTTCCGCCTACAAAGAGACCTGATCTGTATATTCCATATTCCAGTGCGAACTGGTTTGGGTTCTCTGTCCCCGAGTCTGGTATTTAGAACTCATCTTTGTGTTACAGATCTGCGCAAACTGGTTTGGGTTCTATGATCCTGAGTCGGGTATTTCACACTACGAGATGTCGGTTCTTGATGACACAAACACAACAATCTCCGAGCCGGTCAGTCTTGACCATAAGACGCACGAGACCTGTGTCCAGCTTAGCTCTAACCAGAGGCTCGAACACGGCAAGGCCTACAGATTCTACACCACAGCGTTCAATGCTGGCCACAAACAGCTGAACGTCTCAGCAATGTCAGATGGAGGTAATGATGTGTGGCAAATGTAATTATATGGATGCTTACATGGAGAGTGGGAGAGTGTAAAGGTTGCATCATGAAAATACACAGGTTTCATTTGACAACGTGTTACGTTCATAGTTCACTAGGCAGGAAAATATTATTGGGGTGGATAACTGGTCATAGACGACAATGATCAGGAGTTCTCTCATGTTCATATCAGTGTTCATCGCTGATAGAATTAGCCCTAAATATCCAGATATGTCATAAATGTATATGGTTTTACGCCGCTCTAAGCAATATTCCAGCAATATCACGGCAGGGGACACCAGAAATGGGCTTCACACATTGTACCCTTGTGGGGAATCGAACCTTTACCTTTGGCGTGACGAGCGGACGCTTTAACCACTAGGCTACCCCACCGCCCCATGGTCACTAAGTGTGACAAGGATGACTCTGAGTGAGTAAGGTTCTCACATGACAAGAATTGGGTACATACCTGGATTGCCCAGCTGGGGTTCGAATCATAAGTTTAAGTAGGCCCACATTAAGGATCTCTATATTATTAGCACCATAAACTTCATCACAGAGATACATATCTAAAACATGGGTACCAGGGCTACCACCACCACTCCCTACCCCCTTGTCCATACAAATGCCCATTCAACTAACACCCTGTGACATCACTGGAATACTGACCCTTTTCCAGTGATCGTGGATCTGACTGCCCCTGTGCCGGGTGACGTTGTTGACGGTATACGGCACAGCTTTGTCGACGTTGAGTTCAGTACCCACGTTGCCACAGTTGGAACCCAGTGGAGGAACCATAGTGACCCATAAGAGAGTTTGCTGTACAGATACTAAGAGCAAAGTAAGTCGGAGGGATCATTTCACTGAGGAAGCAGATGCAATAGTAAATGATACACTAACTCAAGCAATGCATTTTTAACTGCCACGTATGCATGTATACAGGATAAACACTGAATTACATTATTTCAAATCGGGGCAGAATTAAAAGAGTGATGGGGTAGGCATTCATACAAGCAGCGTACCTGTAAGAGTGGAAAATCAATATTTGCGAAATTATGGGATTATGATTATGAATACAACGCGAATTCTGTCAAAGTCAAGTCAGAGATGATTATTGTACTTAAGGCCTCCGGCCCATATACAAGTAATACAAGTATGCATATAGCACATGTTACAGACATTTTGCAAAACAAATTACAGTTCAGATAAGCGGTTGCTTCTACGGATAACAGCATGTTTTACATAAAGTGATTGATTGCGTATTAAATTTTTCATTTTTGGAGGGTAGAATGGAAATAAAGGCAGTTGAATGATATTTTAATAGATAAATATTTGGGATACATTGTTATCTTAATCAGCATAATGTTGCCATACAAAATCAAAGTGAATTTCATCTTCTTCAGCCGAGTTACATAATGGACATATTCTTTAACTTCTCTCTATGGAAAATGTGAATTCCAGAGGGCTGTCGTCAGAATTTGAGATATTAAGAAACTGGAACACTCTGGGCAAAGACGTCAGACAGATCGAGTGGCACAACTTCCACCTGAACCATCAGGACGTTGTCAAGACGAAACTGAAGACCTTCAACAACGCCCTGGGTACTGTAGAACAGACAACAGATGGGTTTGTGGTGGATCTCACTCCGCCCAGGATGGTGTTCCTAGGTGATGGACGTGAACAGAACAAAGACACGGACTTCCAGGTGAGGCATTGGCGTGATACCACCTGTGATGACAAAGCGTGGGTGATGCATACATTCAACACATTTCTGTCTTCTAGGTGTCACGTCTTTGATTATGTTTGACACCAATGGTACAATGTATGTGTTGAATTTGTACAGACCAAAGATGCGGAGAACCAGGTGAACCGTAATATAACGTACATGCATGAAACAAACATTCAAAGTTTTAAATGCCCCATGTAAGTTGGTGTTGAAGATGTTTTCATCCTTCATTATGTTTGAGAACTGTGGTATGATCTGGATCTACAACTGACACGAACAGATCAAAGATACGGGGATCCAGGTTGATGATAAGCCCAGTGCCTTGGATGTCATGTGTTGTCTCTATTGTCTCTAAAATCCCGTTATAGTCGCAGTTGTCGCCGAAGTTCCTGAATGACTATTTTAGGATCAGTGACATTTTTAACGATGATAAATAGAAACTGTAGAAATGTTTCGTAATTTCATTGTCATTTTTTAGACCACCCGGTGTCATTCATTCAGTGTTAATTGTCGTCTCATATAGTTTGAAACAAGAGCATGATGCACCTAAAGCTTTATCTTCTATAAACTCAATGTATCTCCTTTAGATTTGTGATATCTACTTGCAGACATCCAGCACTACTGTTGAAGCCAACTTTCAGTTTCAAGACCTCGAGTCTGGGTTGGATCATTACAAATACCAGGTGTATGAGCTTTACCATGGGTCAAAACATCAGATATACCCAGGTTAGTAATATTTTTGATGAACAGGACACGATCTTTTTTTATGGATTATACTCAACAGCCTTGCAAAGGATGCCACATGCTCAGAATATGTTTATCAATATTTACATCACGATGGCATTCCAGACCTTATGGAAGCAAATGATTTCGCTGGGACAATAGTTAAGTATTAGATCATTATATGTAATGTTTAGACTGGAGATAAATCCAGTTTGACCCCAAGGCACGAACGGAGGACCAGGGAATCCTGGCGCTGCTAAAGAAAGCAAATCTCTATGAGTCAAGGTACATGAGGGCTGGACTATTTTAAAAGATATCTTTATTCACATGAAACGTTGAGTCGTACATGTACACCTGTACACCACAGAATGATGTGTTACTATATATTACCTAACGGGAACAGATTCAGAAGGTTGGGACACCTCCAGCGACCCCAGCATCACCAGCCTCAGTCAGTCGGGCTTGAGTCTCCGGCCGGGCGCACAGTACAGTGTGAGAGTCGGGGCCGTCAACAGAGCCGGGGCCGTAGCCACCTACGACACAAACGGCGTCCTTGTTGATAATACTCCACCTCGGGTAAAACATACATATATACTGTATAGTTTCTTTTCTAAAAATTATAGAAGACGCCGATTACAGTGCTTTACCCAATTTGAACGTGTTTTTAGTACATTTACATATGAGTGAAATCGAGTATTATGCAGAAAGATTAAACTGATTAAATGAACACAGTCCAGACTTTTAAATGGATGAGTGGGATCATGTGAAAAATACACTGCCGTCGTCCATAATGACCTCATTCACTTGGCTCTTACCACAAGTACTGGGTCCCGATCCACAAACCTTTCGCAGTGTTACGACCTGTCGTAACTCTATAGTTTATCATAGGCTTACGAATCTGTGGTAGTTCTGGATCGACTAAGTGAGTGAGTTTGGTTTTACGCCACTTTCAGCAATATCCCAGCAATAACACAGCGGGAAACACCAGAAATTGGCTTCACACATTGTATCCATGTGGGGAATCGAACCCGGGTCTTCGGCGTGACGAGCGAACGCTTTAACCACTAGACTACCCCACCGTCCCCGGCTGTTACGAAAATATGTCTGTTCCTTATCTGTATCACCGAACATTTCAGAAGAGTTTCACCATCCATTCTTGTTCGTTACAGATGAAATGGGTCTACGTTGGCATTTTCTCTGGCAGTGAAGAAGAGTTGATTGACGGTCACGTTATCCAATCTGATCCAAGCGGTATCAAGGCCACCTGGTTTGCTATGGACCATGACAGTGGCATCAAGTCGTACATGGTCGCAGTTGGAACCACTAAAGGTTTGTATTCTCAGGATATTAATTTCATTTCTACTAAAGTCAATATCAAAGATTCTTAACTGAACCAGAGATATTCCATAAAAGACAGGGGCGGTGGGGTAGCCTAATGGTTAAGCGTTCGCTCGTCACGCCAAAGACCCAGGTTCAAATCCCCACATGAGTACAATGTGTGAAGCCCATTTATGGTGATCGCCGCTGTGATATTGCTGGAATAATACTAAAAGTGTCGTAAAACCAAACTCATTCACTCAGGAAAAAACAAAACACCCGCTGTGTAGTTTATATATACTGTGCTAGGGGAGTAGGAGGTCTGTGGTTTGAATCCCCAGTCACGTCATACCAAAATAGGTTAAGTTGGTATTTGTTGTTACCCTACACGGACTGGAGTCGGTACCCATGTGTGGAATAGAACCCAGGTCTTCGGTGTGACGTGCGAACGCTTTAACCACTGGGTTACCCCACCGTCCCCCGTTGCATGGGGTCATTGCACTATGAAACCAGACCTGTACTTGCACACGCACGTGTTTGCACGTCGCTCTACAAGTGTACTGTGATGTAATCACATATTTGATTGGAAACATTAAACTATTTTTCAGGTGGAACTGATATCCTAAACTGGAAGGACTTTGGTTCTGACAGAGACAAATACATGGACGGGTTGACCTTGAATGTGACCGACCCTGACACGATGACCCCTGTTTACTATGTGTCTGTAAAGGCGAGCAATGGAGCTGATCTGACCGGTGACGTCATAACGTCAAACCCCATCCGGGTCGTTGACCAGGACAAAGCGGGTATGTATCGTCATTTGCGTATGTTTGTTATCAGCATCATTGTCGTCGTGAAAGTCATCGGCTTCACCATCGATCAGTCAAAAACTAACACATATCTTTATGACATCTTTTGCATCATATCAGATATGAACACTGAATAAATCTTTGTACAAAAGGTATTGTCATCGACGGCGCCGACTCCACCGAGAGAATTGACTTCATGGACATCGGTAACGACACGGACTACCAGAAAGACACGGGAGTTGTGACCGTACAGTTTGCCGGGTTTGAGAGCCACGAGCACGGTGTGACGTACTATGACTGGGCGGTAGGGACGACACCTGGTGGCGAGGAGGTGCAACCGTTCATCATGGCGGGTCTTATGCACGAAGAAGCAGAGACCAAGGTTCCTGGAAATGGTGGGTTGAACATTTCAGCTCACACATTCTCATTTTTAATTTATTTTCCAAACATTGAAAATTCTTCCTTACTGACATTCTTCGACGCCTCAAAAACATTTTAGCATCGGCATGATAACAGCTGATAGGAAACATAATATTTATTATCCAAAACTGTGTTCCACTGGAGATATTGCTTGGGTGAGATCAATCGAAATCGCCCAGCCGATATCGTTTTGACAGTAGCTTTTGTATAATACCCTGAGAATGCTATGACGTCATGAACTTAATGATGTCACAATGCTAAGACATCGCTGCACTGCAAGTCTAATGGCAGTGACGTATTCAAATATGTACATTTTACACTGAAAATTCTTGAAGAGTGATTTTTGATTATATCTGAATCTCACCCCTGTGTCTTCTGATATCAAATATATCAACACTCGTTGTGAAAAGTAAAAATATCCTCGGCAAGACAGGGATATTTGTAACTTTATCAACTCGTGTTGATATAATTGATATCATTAGATACATGGGTGATATTCTCTATATGTACAGCATGTGATTTTCGACTTTTATTCAAGAATTACATTTTACATATTACGACATATTGTCCAGGTATCGCCAGCATGGGTTTTGGTCAGACTGTCCTCCCGCTGTCACCCGGCACGACATACTACACCACAGTTCGCGGCATCACCAACGGTGGCAACATCCTGGAATCCACGTCAGATGGATTTACTGTTGATATCACTCCTCCTGACATCCACATGGAAAGGTAAACATCAATGTCTACAAATCATAATTTGGTTTACTGTGTATTTCTCTTGTCGATAGTAAAAACAAGCACCTGAAACATCACGTCCGTTAAAAAAGCAATGTTTATCATTATTTGCAGAGATGCTTCTTAGAACCATAAGAACAAGGTCCTCACATATGATTAACCTTTCACTAACAGAAAAAAACACAGCAATGTGGTCTCAGAAGCTATGTATTTCAACTAAGCATTGTTCATGTTGCCCTCGCTGCTGTAGTGAGAACAGACAATGCAATGTGGTCACCTCAGGTGCTAATCATTGGTCAGGTTTCGCTCACCACTCGAATCAGCCAGGAAAAGTGGTCCTTCCATCGCTATGTATTTCAACTAAGCTTTATTCTTGTTTCAACTCAGCTATGGCACTGAGAGCAACCAGAGCAGACTGACCTCCACCACGACAGTGTACCAGGCTGAGGTGGACTCCATCTCCTCTTCCTGGAAGGTTGCAGACAATGAGAGTCCAGTCAAGAAGATGTACTACTCTGTGGGGACTTACCCCCACGGGGAGGATGTCCAGCCCAGGACTGAGGTGGACATCCTGCTGACCGGCGAGGGGGCGCTACCCACTGGCATCCAACCTACAACTGATGGTGAGAACTGACAGGGTTCAGAAAATTATTAGTACATAATCAATATCTGGGAGGGTAAAGGCTGTTTATCATTTTAGGAAAAGATAAAACGTATTGATCGTATGATGTTACTGCTAACGCAGTATGAATTAATATTTTCGGTCTCACACAATTGCACGAGAAACTGCAAACAATGAAACAATCCTCACATCAATTAAGATTCCAATGCCTCCTTGTTTCGAAAAAACGTTGATCAATAACAAAAGCAACTCGTGCCCAGTTTATGTCAAACGTTGTGTTTCGTGTTTATCTGTACAGTGCAGAGCAGACGTGAATTCGATATATGTGAATAATTGTACCAAATAAATGTTTCAGGAAAACCCAATATTCTGACTCTGACAGCTGAAAATGAACTCGGATTGTCCTCAAGCATGATCTCCCCCTATCTTGTGGTTGACATCTCATCTCCAACAAAGGGAACACTGACATGTCCAAGCTTTATTCAGGTATGGGGTACAAGTCAATCCATTGTGAGAGATCCGGATCAGATCCTATACCACATGTTTTCTTACTTTCTTAGGTCATTCTCCTTTCTTGGTGTGTTCCCATTGGATCTCAATGCTCTAAAAAGATCTTGAAAAGGCTGGACACTCTTGGAGAGGTTGAGTTGGAACTCGGCTGGTGTGACCTACCCCTTGCCATGAAACCCTCCTTATAAAGGGATCAGACAGTCAAACTCATGTTTGATCATCGTCCATGCTTTGGGTCACAGTTTGCCTAGACTCCATTTACAGGCCGAGTGCATTTGTTAAGATTGGCTCACTCACACCAATCGTCATTTCCCTAAGAACAATGCACATGTTACGCAGTTTCATTATTCACAATGGGTTGGACTTGATTTGACAGTCTTTACATTGAACGTGTATATTGTGTTAATTAATTAGGATATATATAATGTCTTAGTGAGGAGTTAATGTTTCACTGTCTCTGTGATATGGTTCCATATCCTCTCCAGCTGAGATTGTACCAAGTAGTTTCATATTGTTTGGATATATGTTCACAGCCGAGGTCTGCAGTGGAGTGCACATGGACAGGGTTCTACGACGCAGAGAGTCAGGTTGTAGAGTTTGAGTTTGCTGTTGGCTCCCATGAGGGGCTGGAGGACATCATCACTCCTGTCAAGCTGCCGGGACATGCCGCAAAATATGTGGTTTCAGGTAGAAAATATAAGTTTATCTATGTGTAAAACACGGTATTAAATGATAATCTTGAAATTATGGGTACCATAATGGGTACCATTCGCGGTTAATGTTGGACACTATGTAAAAGGATGGTCTTACATACGAGTTGTAAGGTAATCTCATTGGACACTCAGCGTCTGGTAATTTATTAATGACGTTTTCATCCTAAGGCTTAGCTGATAAGGTGACCCACGGCCAGAGATACTATGTCAAGGTCAAGGCCATCAACCAAGTAGGAATGACGTCATCAAGCATCTCCAATGCAATCAACGTGGACACCACACCACCAGCGCCGGGCACTGTGGTGGAGTTGAAGTCTGCCTACATCATCAACGTCACCGACGAGATCATCACCGAGAAACTGAACACCTACAAGTGTGACACAGAGGAAGGTGTGTACCACCATTGTGTCTTTGCTGAGTTTTCTAAGTTATATACATTGTGGCATGACGGACCAGCATGATTGGGAATAGGTTTTACCAATACTGGTATAGGCAGAGGTTAGTTTCCGTATTCCACTGTATTTAAAGAATTAACATACAATGTATGTAACATGTTAAAATAATTAAATTGTATGACAATGAAAAACAGAATGATCATAAAGGACTTGCCTTAGCTGATAAAATCACGGCAGTCGTTTTCCGACCATCGTTCATTTCCTGAACGATTCTTTTTCAACTGAAAGGAGGTTGATCACCTGTTTTAAAACAATAACCTCGTCATATGAACATATTAAATAGTGGATGTAAACTGGTTAGATTCCATTCAGTATCTTCTAGTTTTTTGTTAATACATTGACTTTGTTCTGTAGCCGAAGAGTATGCATTCTATTCACATCATCAGTAATGCCATGTGTTACAAGTGTACATCCTGTACAACTGTATATCCACAGACTGCCTAGCTATAGACGCTGTGTGCCAGGAGTCTCTGTCTGCTGTCAACGTGGCCTGGCAGACCTTCAACGATGAAGAAACAGAGATTGTCAAGTAAGTAAAGAAATGCGTGATTTGGACTTTCACGGTATTTTAGATATTCAGTGTACTAAAATATAAGCATGGGGCTTTTACTGCTGAAAACTGTTTGCCGTGTGGCAGGGTAACTGAAGATGTAGCACTTTCTGTATCTCAAGTCTGTATCAAAGTACATGAGCAATCTCTTCTCGGACGTCTAAATGTTTCTTCTGATTTCAATGTTTTGGCTTCTTCAGGTACGAGATAGCTGTTGGCACTTCACCTGGAGGGGGACAACTGAGGGGGTTCTTTGAGACTGATGAAGTCACAAAGAGATACCTGTCGGTCACAGGCTTGATCCTGAAGGGGGTGAGACAGGTGAGAAAACCCTTGGATTAGGATTAAAATTCTTGGATTGTTGTACAATAACTAACATATAATAATGGACTTGTACATACAATACTGAACGTTTTGCATTTCTATTTATTTTCCTTATACATCATAACGATCTTAACTGATCTGATCCTTGTATCGGCGAATGAGTGTATATCTAATTGCCGAAAATTCATATTGAAATGTGCGTGTACCATTAAATGAAAGTAACACTTCCGTCAATAGTTGAGTTGTCTACCTTTGCTTCACAAACCGCTTCTAAAGTGCCACGTTATGTCAGCTATTATTAGGATTCATGGGATTACAGTTGAAACTACAAATGAATATATTTTGGACTTAAAAGTGCAACATAGAGGAATTTCACATGAATTTCAAATAACAGATATTTGTGACGGTGAAAGCTACCAATGGAGCTGGTCTCAGCACAATATCGACGTCTAACGGTATCTACATGTCCTACCTCAGTCAAGGCTTGGAACCACTCACTCATGTTGGAATCTGGGATGGTGAAAGCCATGATGGTGATCTGTGAGTACTGATTGTGAACATAGTACAAAGTTCCATGCATTAGCATCTGGACCAAGATTCCAAAATGTCAAGGTTAATTGAAAAATCGCCCATTGTCATGAAATGTCATACAAAAAGAGTATTTGACCTTGTATCTCTCTTCAGTGATTTCCAGACAAGTCTGTCCCGTATGGGAGCCAAGTGGGACGTGTCAGGTGACCCGTGTCCGGTGGTCAAGTACGAGTGGGCAATACAAAGGGCTGACGGGCTGAGGGTGCAGGAATACTTCGACACAGAAGGTGGGAGTTATAACATCAGCTGACATTAATCAGATGTGTTCTGGAGGCCTTGTGTATTAATATATTCAATCGATGACGAGACGGAAATTAGTCTGCAATGTGACCGAACTTTGTTAATGAGAAGTTATATCAGTGTGGTTTGGTGCAGAATTGTGGACATTTATGTTTGGTTTAAACTTGGTTTAGTAGGATCTCATCAATTGTCTTGCATTTCCAGGAAGAACTCATGGCGTCAACGACCAACTGGCCATGCAAAACATGGAACGCTACTATCAGTACCTACGTGTGACCAACGCCATGGACTACACCTACACCATCAGATCGAACGGCATCACCATCGAGGATGACCCCCTGGTGCCTGGACAGGTCAGTGATGGCGATGTCATTGGATTTGACCTTGAGTTCCTCCGAACTAGAAGTAAAGTCAGCGGCAACTGGGACAAGTTTGGTAGCGATGGCAACGCTGACGAGGTATCAGCTGGAATAAAAGCAGGTGAGACAAAAAGTTGGTAATATGTATGTCGTAAAAGGTGACTAGTTGGAGAGTCGGTCTGCCCTGTATTAAGGACGCCAAAGAGGCCACTGAAAAGGGAACGTCAAAAGAATAATATATTTGCAAAAGTACAGATTCAGGTTATAACAGAAAAGTTGTACGACACAAATGCAACAAGAAATTATTTTAATGTCTTTTCGTAATCAACGATGTTTTCGCCATTCCAGATAATGTTCCTGAAGAGGAGAAAGAGAAATCTTCCAACCAAGAAGTCGCTTTCTATGAAGTTGCCCTTGGAACCGACCGCCGTTTCCCCAAAACACGTGACAACGTCGTGCCTTTTGTCAACGTTGGCCTTAACAAAACTGTGACCTTCTACGACCTTGACCTCACCCCAGTCACGGCAATATATTACTTCACGGTCAGGGCACATAGCCGTTCCGGGTCCAAGGCGGACGTAACTTCCAATGGCTTCTCTGTTGGCTTTGATGGAGGCGTCTCTGGTGAGACCTTTGCTTTTTCGGCATTTGTTGACCCATGTGTAGTAATATGTCTTCAAACTCAGACATAACGAAAGAAATAGAGCACTTGTATAGGTTCCTTCTTGCTTACACTGTGTAAGATATTGATCAGAAAGATCACATACCCCAAGACAAAATGTTAGTTGTTTTCGGACACCATACAGTCAAACAACATTGTGACGAGGTCGAAGAGCCCTACTAATATTCTACGAGTCAACCGTGAGTTCGACACACCAGAGTCCACACAACGATGTATGAGCGTATCAGAGTCGACACAACGGTGTATGAGTGTATCAGAGTCCACACAACGGTGTATGAGTGTATCAGAGTCCACACAACGGTGTATGAGTGTATCAGAGTCCACACAACGGTGTATGGGTGTATCAGAGTCCACACAACGGTGTATGAGTGTATCAGAGTCCACACAACGGTGTATAGGTGTATCAGAGTCCACACATCGGTGTATGAGTGTGTATGAGTGTATCAGAGTCCACACAACGGTGTATGGGTGTATCAGAGTCCACACAACGGTGTATGAGTGTATCAGAGTCCACACATCAGTGTATGAGTGTATCAGAGTCCACACAACAGTGTATGTATGAGTGTATCAGAGTCCACACACATCAGTGTATGAGTGTATCAGAGTCCACACAACAGTGTATGGGTGTATCAGAGTCCACACAACGGTGTATGAGTGTATCAGAGTCCACACATCAGTGTATGAGTGTATCAGAGTCCACACATCAGTGTATGAGTGTATCAGAGTCCACACAACAGTGTATGGGTGTATCAGAGTCCACACAACGGTGTATGAGTGTATCAGAGTCCACACATCAGTGTATGAGTGTATCAGAGTCCACACAACAGTGTATGGGTGTATCAGAGTCCACACAACGGTGTATGAGTGTATCAGAGTCCACACATCAGTGTATGAGTGTATCAGAGTCCACACATCAGTGTATGAGTGTATCAGAGTCCACACAACAGTGTATGGGTGTATCAGAGTCCACACAACGGTGTATGAGTGTATCAGAGTCCACACAACGGCGTATGAGTGTATCTTCTTCCTTCTTGCTAGTCTGTATAAAATATTGATCAGGACGTTTTCAAAGATCACATACCCCCAAGCAAAACCTGAGCTATTTTCGGACACCTTACAGTCAAACAACATTGTGTCGAGGTCGAAGGGTCCTAGTCCTACTAATATTCTACGATACAACCGTAAGTTCGAGACATCAGACTCCACACAACGGTGTATGAGTGTATATGGGCTATTGTTCTCCAGTTTGTTGCTGCTATATAAAGTTTATACAATATCGATACATGACTTTACGTTTCAGTGGGTATCATCGACATGAAAGAATTTGTCAACACTGACACCTATGTAGATGTACCTTGGGATGGGTTCGAATCCAAGATCGGCATGATGATGTACTACGTCGGTATCTCAAGCAAAACAGACGCGAACAACTACACATGTGGACAGTTTGTGAGTAGAGATTACATTCACAAATCAGTACTATGCATCTAGTATCCACTTTGTGACTAATGGCAGATTTCAGATTCGTCAATAGACGCTGATGTTTTGTTATATGTTTCAGACTGAAAGAGGCTCCATCAGTGACGACGATCGACGAGACATCTTCAACGTTGTGGACCTCCAAAATGTGGGGAAGGACACTTTCATGAAGTTTGAAAATCTGTCTCTGGACCACAATGGAATCTACTATGCTTGGGTCATTGGTAAGTTGAGGAAAAAGGGAAATGCATGACATTTAGACACATTTAACACCTTTCACCGTCACCATCCTCTCCAAGCTTCTAACTAGAGAGAATCTGATAACAACCTTTTATGGCAATACCCGTATATGGCAACAAACCTTATGTGGCAATATCCCGTGTGTGGCAACAAACCTTATTCGGCAATACCCGTATATGGCAACAACCCTTATTCGGCAATATCCCGTGTGTGGCAACAAACCTTTCATGGCAATACCCGTATATGGCAACGAACCTTATGTGGCAATATCCCGTGTGTGGCAACAAACCTTATTTGGATACATCCCTAGTGTGGCAACAACCCTTATGTGGCAATATCCTGTATGTGGCAACAACCCTTGTGTGGCAGTATGTGGCAAAAGACGTTATGTGACAATATCCCGTATGTGGCAATATTCCGTATGTGACAACATCCTTTAAGTTGCAGTACTCCTACTCCTTTGTGTAGCAAATTCCTCATTTCATGATAAAACCCTTATATGACACCATACCCTTGTGCTGCATATCCCTTATGTGGCAGCATCCCTTTTGTGTCCATACCATTGAAAAAGCGAGCGTTCATTTTGCTGGTGCTTCATATCCCAGGTGCTGACAAGGCCGGAGAGTGCAACGTGACAAGTCACATGTTCCACGTGGACGTAACACCTCCAGTCAAAGGCAAGATCAGAACAGGGCCCTATTATGACATGGTAGGTGACGGGGGAAACATTATAATCCTCCTGCCAAGTCCACGCCTCCTAATAAAACAGTGCCGTATTCTGTCGGAACAATGTCTTGCTATAAAGGCATACGAGTCTACCAATGAGCAGTTTGTGTTGATTTATTGTCCATTATTTTTAGTGATGGGTTGATATTAGGATTGCTATATGTTCATATATTATTATGATTATTTATATAGCGCACATATCCACCCACTAGTGTATGCTCAAGGCGCTGGTATTTTCACAAGCTCAACTCCCGGGGATCACAATACTCTTGCTGCCACAAGGCGCACCGAGTTATTTAGGCTTTTCCATCCTAACGATGTACCCATTCACAGCTGGGTGGACTGGGACACACATAGTCACAGTACTTTGTCCAAGGTTACTGCACGTTCGTTGCTGTACCCGCAACTAGGCGTTTGCAAGTATTCATGTGACCACATATGGTCATCTACCAACGGATTCGTGGGTTCTTTTAAGTGCACATTTACAACTGTTACTGCTTCATGTCGACAAAATTTCATAACCGCTGTTACCAAATAAGGTTGACTCCACGAAGTTGAAACGTATCTGAGTATTTTAAACATGGCAACATACTGACACATACCTTGGACCGGTTCGTCTGGCATGTATGTGTATGCGTTTACAGTTATACTGGAAAATGTGATCGTTTTTTTTCATATATAAAAGTTTCGATTAGAATTATACTTTCAAAAGAAGAAAAAAGTCTCAAAATTTAAAGAGACTTCATAGTTTACTTTGTTTCGTGAATAATAACCACCCTTTCAAAATGACAAGAGTGCACTAGTGTTTGGAATGATAATAGAGCTTTCCTATCAATGGTTAAGGAAATGGGTTTACTATCCTGCGTGAAACAGAAAAGTTATTGACGGGTCTTCATCAAGAATCACGAAACTACAATGGGTGTCTAATTTACTGTTCCGCTTGTCAGAAACTGAGTTACTCGGCCAACAGGGAGAGTCTTCAGACCTACTGGACAGGCTTCAGTGATGAGGACTCGGGCATCCGATGCTACCACGCAGCCCTGCTGAAGAGAGCCTCCTGTGACGAAGACTCGGAGGAAGAAACTGTCGTAGAATCCATAGAGATTGATGTCAACTACACGTCCTATAGATTCATGGACATTAGTATGCAGGTCGGTATTTAGAACGTACTAGGCTGAACGGAAATATATCATGCGTTGTAGGTACCTTGACTTATAGCAAAGGCTATGGTAACATACCAAAGTTACTGCGACGTTTCTTTCCCAGGGCAATGCTCCTTACTTTGTGCGTCTTGTGGTGGAGAACTTTGCTGGACTCAAGTCGACATTAGACTCTCCACCAGTCGTGTATGACAACTCCATTCCGTCCCCGGGCATCGTCATCGACGGACACGACTTCACCAACGACATCAGCTGGAGCGGCTCTGCCACCACCGTTACAGGTAATCCATTCATTTAGGTTTTGTTGAGATAAATTGTTGCATTCTACCTGCATACCACGATAAAGTGAAAACAACAAGTGTTATGTAATAACGTTGAACGGACATGGTGAAAACGTTACATCCATATTTAAAACATTGTACCGTGTGGTATTTTTAGGTTCAAGGATAGCCTAATGCAATGATTGTAATTGATAGACTTTGTAGTCAATAAGTCTCCAGGTTCTGAGCAGTCCGAAGAAGAGGAAATCCACTGTATCTTAGTGTATCATACTTGGGCCATATTTACTATTATTATCAACTCCGTTAAATATATTTTATTATTTAATAAATATATATGTGAAATGAAAGTCAGTTGAATTCATTGTGTAAAATGGCTAGTTGCGCTAATGTTGGCTGTAGCATAAAACCATTAATTCGCATGTGTAATCAAAGCATGTCATGAATTGAGATATGGTTGGAATTCGAAGTTGTATGTACATATCTTCTCTGTAGGCACCTTCCTGCACCACCCTGTGCCCGACGTGTCTCCATGTCCTGTCAGACAAATCAGATTTGATGACTCGGAGTGGATGTACCTGGAGTCTGACCGTAACCATGACAGCAACAACCGCAGCTTGACCTTGACCTACAGATCAGCCAACGTCCACCCGGAGTCTGGCAAAGTGGACATCAAACTGGCAAGAGATACCAAGACTGACTCCATGTATTCTGGAACCTACTTCAGAGATGCTGACCTTCTTAATGGCGGGGAGTATAAGGTATTAAAGAATACACTGTTAGATAGATCCTGTTACCAAGACTACGCGTGATTCCTACCAATGTATCTCTTAAATTACTACGTACAGTGGGAAACCGCCTAAGTAAAGACCTCTTAACTAAACAGACATGATAAGTAAACACTTTTCCTTGGTCCCGGCAAATTTCTTCATTAATTATCACTATTAGAGTCCTGTTAACTAAACTTGGATAAGTAAACAATACCGCTTAACTAAACGTCTTCTCACGGTCCCTGGAAGTAAATTACTTAACAAAAGAGACTGGATAACTAAATTAGCGATCACCACATAATCCGACATGAGGGGCAAGTGTCAGTCTCCAGTTAAACAAACATCCTACTTACAGCTCACTGGGGTCATGCAGTTGACAATACACTGACAACTGGAGGCCAGACCTGATAAGTTGTTCATTGTTACATATGCATACATATACATGTATATGGTTGTCATTTGCAGATTTTTTATAGGTTTGGATAAGTAAAATACCTGATAAGTAAACAATTTTGGCGAGTCCCTTGGAATTTTACTTATCAGGTTTCCACTGTATGTCTATCCCACTTACTACTCGTGTTGCAGCTATTTATAAGAGCTGCAGCAGGTGATGGTCAAGCGGTCACCAGTGTCCTGTTCTGGGACGGCCCAGATGACTACATCCTGGACTACGACTACACACCATCACCGGACTGGACCGTGTCTATCTGTGCCTGTTGCAGGGTGGAACCTGTGAATGCAGTATGTATAAGTGCTTTCATTAAGCTATTTCCTTTCATTTATGTTATTGGTTTTACAATTATGATAAGTGTATCAAGTCTAACGGTACATCCGGATCGCGAAGAAATCACTGACTCGTTATCCAAATTGCAATGTGGCTAGCACGATGCTTCAGGGCCTCACTCACTCACCGAGCCATCCTGCAGCTCGATTGGGCAATATGATTCTTATAATTAGAAAGTAATGCGAAAAGGACCATTTGTGTCCCGACAGTCTGTAAGAAACCTATTATTGGGTTTGAATCCAAGATCCTACATGACTGTGACTCTAGCTTTATCACCACCATACCTGTACTGGCTGGTCTCACTACACGTTCTTCCCACATGACGTGAACAAGATATGGTACATCTGAAATATTCTTCAAAGCTGCGTTCAACCGAACTTGCTCACCTATGATTTCAGATGCCAGTTTTAATACTATATCTCTTACAGTCCTGCACCTGCAACTGTGAATCCTACCTACAAGCAGAGAGGTACTACAAGAACATCAGCAAGAGGTCTGTGGATCAGGATGATCCTGGCTACGAGGTGAAGAAGCTGACGGAGGATGAAAAGAAGAAGCTGCAGGAGACAGGCTCCATCACCGGCAAGACTGAAATCGGGAATCCTAATCTTCACCCCAGGAAATCCTGTGGAGTACAGTTATTTGCAGGTTCGTGGAAATTGCTTTCGTCATCATTATGAAAAATGTTGCTGCTGTAGATATGGTCAGCAAAATAACCGTGAAGGTGAAGGTCGATTGCCAGTACGACCATACATTTAATTTATCATGATACATAGTGTTTCCTTTTTGTCTGGTGATATGACGATAGTTGAAGGTATCATGTGATACAGTATCGGCCATAGAATTATTCATACTATTCTTCCATATTGTGCAGGTGCAGCACCCAAGTTGGTTTCATGGTGCAGTTACGGGGATAACCTCAACGAGCCTGTAGAAGCAGTGAGAGACCTCCTACTAGACCCTTCCAGAGATTACCATCAGTACATGGTCAAGTTCACGACACAGAGGGACGAAGCAAGGGGATCAGAGGTGATTTTCAAAGGAACGTGAAACACGTTCAGGTTATGATAGTATGAGGAAACGTTTTCAGGTATCTCTGTTGCATTCTAGTTGTTAGCATTTGAATTCAGCAACTAATGTACGACGTCGGAAAAATATATCTGAGTGCGAACAGGGTGTAGTTCTACGAAGCGATCTTAGTACTAAGGTGACATAACATAGACTCACGAAAGAGTTACAGTTGTATCGTCCGGCGGCACCTAGGCAATCAACTGACCGAAAGAACAGACTATCCCCTGACATTATAGTGCATTTACTGATATTGCTGAAACTAACAAGAGATATGTCCATTTTGAATTACCGCTGTTGTCTACAAATGCAGATTCCGCTGATTATAAGGCTACTTTGACCTAATGAGAGACATACGCAAGATTATTTACCATCCTATCATGTGATAAACAGGTTATAGAATAATTTAATATCGCAGGTTACCTGGTGCATGTCAGTCTTCATGGACGACGATCTGATGACGGAGCAGTGTGGAATACCACGTCTCTCTCCCAACACCAGACTCTTCCTGGGAGTCTGGAATCACAAGAACTATATTCCTGAAACTGAACGAGATTCGGAAGGGCATCTAAAGGTTTGGAGTGCTACGGCTTCATTCCGTGACCTAGTGATGCCAGCCGAAAAGGAGAAGCTGTGTCGCTATGGCAACCCTTTCCAAGGAGGTAACAACGCCATCGTTCGGTATGAGGCTGGAATCGGGTCAGCTTCCGGTGTCTCTGATGTCGTGCCGTACCAGCAGGTGAGATGTGGCGCATGTTGACGCAGATACCTAACGTCCATTTGACGACACGTTGCGCGTAATGATACAATCTTACGAAGAAAACAGAAATATCTATTGAAATAATGCAAATGATATTGAACACAGCGTTAAAGAGACTTTGTTGTATCTCAGACCTGCATTTGGTACGTATGCATGTGACCTAAACAATGTATTCCATGTGACTCCCTACGTCAGCTCACTGTAACGTGTGCTGTATCCCTGTCTACCAGCTCTATGTCTATGACTACCTGTTACGTTAACCCTGCTTACTGTGACGTGTTCTACGTGTTGCTATGACTATACATCGTGTATCACCTCCAAGACTCTCCGTGACGTTAGATCAGCTTGCTGTGAAGTGTTCTATATGTTGCTAGGTACATACACCTTGTATCCCCTGTATGGCGCCCTGTGACGTTACACCACCTTACTGTGACGTGTTCTACGTGTTGCTAGGTACATACACCATGTATTCCCCGTCTGACGCCATGTGACGTTACGTCAGCTTACTATGACGTGCTCTATGTGCTGCTAGGTAAATAAATAGTGTATCCCCTTTATGACCCCCTGTGACGTTACGTCAGTTTACTGTGACGTGTTCTACGTGTTGCTAGGTACATACACCGTGTATCCCCTGTCTGTCACCCTGTGAGGTTACGTCAGTTTACAGTGACGTGTTTTATGTGTTGATAGGTACATACACCGCGTATCCCGTGTCTGACGCCCTGTGACGTTACGTCAGCTAACCCTGACGTGTTCTATGTGTTGCTAGGTCCATACACCGTGTATCCTCTGTCTGACGCCCTGTGACGTTACGTCAGCTAACCGTGATGTGTTCTGTGTGTTGCTAGGTACATACACCGTGTATTCCCTGCCTGACTCCCTGTGACATGTACACTTGTGACGCATCATGTGACAGCTCATCAACAGACCAGGTCAAGATCACCCTCAACGACCTTAACCTTACACAAACAACAGTTGTGGAGGGAGAAGTAGTTCCGGTATTGTACTACCTCACAGGTGAGAGAACGACACTTGTTACGGGGGATAGAGAAATCGTCCGTGTATGTATTGCACTGCCTCTCATGTGTTGGGTGGCAACGGTCCCCGTATTGTTCTGTCTGATAGAAGGATGAATATTTACAAAATAACAGCTTTGTTGTAACTAGATATTGCTGTTTCCTTCAACAAGAAACATTGCCGACGTTTGTACTTCTTTGGATGATAATTTATAGACAGCAAAAAAGCAACAATTACAAAGGCCAACAGGGTTCATTTTACCAATGGACATGTGACCATTGGATATAGACGATATGTAATAGCAGAACAGAACCCTTCTCTAGGTTAGGTCCATGTATTGTATCAATATTAAAAACGGTAGACCTAAACAATGAAACAAAAACATTCAGTATACATCGTAACATCATGGATGGCCTGTCACAGATGAAACTTGGACATTTTAATCCCATATTAAACATGTGTCTGAAAGTATCAGTTTTTATGCATGTTATCTCTGTGTGTAATAAATAGAGTAAAAGTATTTTAGATAAGCACAATGCATGAAAGTGCAATATAAACATTCACATAGAAAAAAACCTCTTTTACATACAAAGTCAACTGTACCAATTATATATAGCACTTGCACTAACCCAGTGAGAATGAACAGCTCGTATATAATAGTTTTACACAAAATAATCCAACTAATAACAAACAATAACTAACGTAAAAATAAAGGGAAACTATATACAGAGTTCAGGTACATAAACCCACCCCAAACTCCCTTCTCTACATCTGGGTACAACCGAAAGGGCTTCCTCGCCTCGAACGATGCGACTACAATACAATGAGTAAAGTCAAAAGTGCATGCACACACACTGTGACGTTAATCATGACGAATTGCATATTTTTCTAAAATAATTATTGTATTTTAGGGCTAATCTAAACACTCCCGCAAAAACTTGGTTTTGAAACTAAGAAGTTGGGAAAAAGGCAAACAGTAGAGACAGTTCGCGGGAACACCAGAATAGCATGAGCAAGGGAGATAACTGCTTAGAGGGACTGGCAAATATAATAACAGTTCAACTGAAAATTGTCGGTAATTAGTTGATCGCATCCCACAAAGGACATTTTATGCCACTGAGCAAAACCATTGAGCAAAGAGATGTTTCAAAATTACAATTCTACTCTATGGACATTGATGACAGTACATTTAAACAATGAAACACGTTCTATAATGGATAGTACCTCATACTAATTACAATTTTTAAACAGATAAACAGACAAATATACTGTTCTTAGAACATGATAATGAAAGAATACCCCCACCAGCACATTGATCTGATTTCACCAGCATGATGTGTTCCAGTGAAAGCTGTCCTCGGGTCTGGAACAGAGGCCGTATCGTCATCTGACGGCTTCAACATCGACACGTCACCACCACTGTTTGACACCGACGTCATGCTGTACATCGACGTCACTCAGGGCAACTTCACCCCTGTGACGTACCAGGGATCCAACGACACTATTAAGGCAATATGGAAGTGCAACGACAACGAGAGCGAAATTGTGGTAATGTATCTGAAATTATATTCACAGGTGAAATCTTTTGGTTAATATACTACCCATCAAAAGTTGACTCACGAGTGTAAATGTGGCCACTTACTTCAGGCAACTGTTCTAAACTTGATTTTGCAAAATATTCCATTCAGTTTAAAGGTACTGTTTACACATGAACTAATGTATTGTAAAACAAATTCGTAACGTTGAAAAGATTATTGTCATGAATTCAGTAAATGATGAAAATCAGTGAAAATTGGCGTATTCTTAACAAATCTTTAACCACAAACGCAGCTGTTCACATGAACGATATTTGCACATGCTTTTTTAGCAAATTGATGCATGATCCTCGTACAATTCATCTGCATAAGGTTTGCAATTGGTTCCCCCAAGTTAGAGGAGAAATTCATCTTCGAAGTAACCATATATATATATGCATAACATATAGTGAGTGCTTCAGGTAAACTTTTGATGGGTAGTATACGTTAATGAGAAAGGTTTGCGTTTCCTGTATCTGGGCTGCTGGGAATCATTTTGTGCATATCCATAAAAGTTTTTTCCACGTTCTTGTTCCCAAAGTAATGACAGTGATGTATGGAAACAGGTCCTTTGTCCATATAGGATCAATGGCCTGGAACAGTCTCCCACAGAGCCTCAGAGACTTTCAAACCGTTAAATAAAATCTAAAACCACACATGTTCAAGATAGCCTTTCAACTGCAGCTCTTTGCATTAATTGTATTTTATATGCTTTGAGTATGCTTTTTTAAGCTTAAACATGGATATATGCACGTTACAAATATGCTATCATTATTGTTGTTTGGTATGTACGTGAATGGTGCAGTGGAATGGCCCCTAGGTTGAAGCGCAAGAACCCGGATTCGATGCCGTTCCGTGTTTGCCCAGCGCCGTGATATCGCTGGAATATTACCAAAATTCAGCAGAAAAATACACACATTATCCATATGAGCTGGGTAAATATTTCAGAACTACGAGTGGGCGATAGGCACAGCGCCAGGGGGAGAGGAGTTGCAGACATTTGTATCCACTAGTGAGTATCCTGGATCTGTGAACTCCGGACTTGGAGGCCTCCTGGAGCACAACAAGACGTACTACGTGACCGTCAGATGTACCAACGGGGGTGGGCTGGTCACAACATACGCTGATCCCAGAGGTGTGTACCCTTATATATCAGACGTTGGTGTATTGGCATACATGTATTTCTAAAAGTACGTACCTACTTTTCAAACACTAAATTATTACTGCAGGTTACTTCTTAAATACATCAAAGGGTAAAGTGATTTTCTACAGGCGCTCCTTAAACACTATGTTTGCTATTTAAAACTTTTGACATGTATCAATTGGATACAAAGGGAATGTATTTGAAAAAATTGTCAGAGGAGAATCTGATTCCAATCTTAATGAATAATTAAATGAGTGGCATGTGTGACTTAGGTGTGACCGTTCTGCTTGAGCCTCCCATTGTCGATGACGTCAACACGACCATAGTGGGTGCTGAATCTCTTGGAGATACAGTGGTGCCGCCAAACTCCATGAAAACAACAGACAAAAACACCGTGGGCGCTACGTGGACGGTCTCTGAAGATGAAAGTATCAGGCGATATGGTAATCGAAGAAACGAAAATACCATGTCTTATGAACGAGCATTGTCATTCAACTTAGATTTTACAAAGTTGTTATATGCCAGTTCATGAGGCAAACCACCACAAAGTAGTGCTCGCGTTTTAATACAATTAATATTAAATAATTTACACACCCGTGCGTTTCCATGCGTACTGGGGTCACGAGGTGCAATTACATACTAGCATATGTATCCTTGTCAGGGATCGTAAAATGGCCATTAAGGCGACCGGTGGTAAGGGGCTCACCAGATGAAGGAATAGGACCCTTCAAGGGCGGAAGTGATGTCATTGAGATAACATTTACCATATTATGTGGGCTAATAAGAAGGGAAAGTGTTGTCTACCATATGTAATATAAATTTGTAACAAATAATTGTTATGATATTATTGACCTTGATTAAAGAGGAATTGATAATTAAACACCTGAATTGTTAATAAACTGGTAGTGATTCAATGCAAGTACTGATTTCTAAAAGATGTGTTTGGACGTCATCGTCACCTGTAAACAATGCTTATATCATTCGTTGATCTTACCTTTACATGGGCTCAAATAGATGCTCTCCGTAAGGCTCATCCTGTTTTCCCACTCACATAGTTGGAATATTGTTAAATTCGGAAACTTTCAGTACATACCCACTCATCTACTACAGGGCAATACTTACCACAAACTATTTTGCAAAACGGATAAGGCATGTTGGTTCTATCTTCAGATTTCTGTGTTGGGAGTTCCGAGACCAGCATCAGTGACATCTTCCCCTGCACCTGGGTCGGCTACAACACGTCTGGGACGGTTACAGTAGAAGATGGATACCTCAAACTAAACGGCCACAACATCTACATGCTGAGTCAGTACAAGCCCGACTACAACGCCTCCGTCCACGGTACCACAGACAGGTCAGCTTTCACGATGGCTCCAGGCACAGAGATGTTCATCTTCATGAGGATGTGTAATGAGGCTCAACTGTGCACCACCAAGTTGCTGGGCTCTACCATAGTGGAGACAGACAAGTCCACGATGGCGACGTCGTCAAATGGTTCTGCCGTTACTGTAGGTGTTGGTGGTGGTGCCAGAAGAAAAAGGGATCTTTCAGGCGTAACTGTATCAACACCAGATGGTTAGTGTACAAAATAACAGGATATTGTCATCTTTGCTTCATAACGTTCAGAGCGATGTAGAACTGTTCTCACGGACTCTCTGTTTCTCGTACATAGGAATATTGGTGGAAGAGGTCAACGTTTACTGGTGTTTCTTGTAGGGACCGACAAAATTAAGTCACATATGTGCCTGGTGTGCTTGATCTGCTTTGTCGTTTTGCATATTTTCAGTCCACAACGATATCTCTGTATTATTGCTTACTGAATCAACACACAATGATGTACGGTGTGTGTTTCACCATCTTATATGTTTCTTCTTCCTTGTCTGTGATCCAGGACTACAGCCCGGCCAGAGCATTGTGGTCACTCAGCTCACAAAGCTGGATCTAGAGACGGAATACAAGTCTGACGCCTCGGTGGAGTTCGTCCCATACATCACTGACCCATCTACGTCAACCACAGAAGATGCCTTCACGGACAGAATCCTCAGAAAGAGGCTCAACTACCAGGAAACCGACCTCTCGTTCTCTCTGACCAGCATTGGTAATCTTCCCATGCCAAGACCGGTGAAAGTGACCTTCACCTATGATCCCACGGTGACCAATACAACGTTGATGCTGCTTCACTGGAACACTGGTAATGTTCTACATGTTCTGTCATGAAATAGTTAGTCTACAGGTTTTGTCCAGAACAGACGATGCCATCCATTCCTTGTGTCATTCACTCAATCATTACCATTATCTTAAACTTGTGTCATGGATGATCCAGTGCTTGCATTCCAATCTGCAGAGGTGTGGCCCTCAGTGGTAAAAGAATCTGCTGTTTGTGAATATAACTCTCTTCTTTGTCATTCATTAAGATGCCAGTTTGTAGTGGTAATATTCACTTACAATCGGTCGCTTTGTGGTCTTACTGGATCCAGGACCCGTTTAATCTCGGATTCATCCTGAGTATGCCCTATGCTTACAACAAGTAAATGTTCCTTCGACATTAACTGGTATAACTGCATTTATTTATAAACAATAAATGGACCTGTACATGCTTGTTCAGAAATAAAGCAAGTGAAAATTGTTTTTACGGAGAGTTCAATTTTGGACGAAGCATGAGCGCGAATCCGGTGGAGATCGCCACTGCTTAATGATGTCTGTATGATACAGATGCCAGACAGTGGCAACAGAGCAACAAGACCTGTCAACATGAAACAGACACGGAGGTCAGAGACCCGGCGACCTCTCAGGTCACGGTCAAGGTGAGTGGTATACAGTACTTTAACATGTATCATAATGAACCCTGATATTTTCTTAAATGAAAACATTTCTTTGGGGATCTGACGTTATTTTGCTGTATTTTCACTATTAACAAGTACTGACGTTGTACAGGTTGATCATGTCCGGCACATGCAACCGTTCTGTCTTCACAATGTTTAATTTTTGCATATCAGTCAGTATTTATTGGGATTGTGTCTGATGTGTTGTGTTTAGGTGTGTAACACAAGGTCAACACAAGGCAGCAGTTCCAGACGTCGGCGTTCTGTGTCAGACACGTACTTCAGACACCCAACCCAGTTCCTGCTGACTTCAGCTCTGACACAGATACCTAACTCACCCCCTCAGCTCACCAGCAGGACGTCTCTTGTCATGCAGGAAGACCAAGGTATGTGTCTCTTAGATGGTGTCTCTTGTCATGCAGGAAGACCATGATATCTGTATCTTAGTTTGTGTCTCTTGTCATGCAGGAAGACCACTGTATGTGTCTCTTAGTTTACGTCTCTTGTCATGCAGGAAGACCAGGGTATCTGTCTTTTAGTTCGTGTCTCTTGTCATACAGGAAGACCAGGGTATGTGTCTCTTAGTTTGTGTCTCTTGTCATGCAGGAAGACCAAGGTATGTGTATCTTAGTTTGTGTCTCTTGTCATGCAGGAAGACTAGAGTATCTGTCTCTTAGTTTGTGTCTCTTGTCATACAGGAAGACCAGGGTATGTGTCTCTTAGTTTACGTCTCTTGTCATGCAGGAAGACTAGAGTATCTGTCTCTTAGTTCGTGTCTCTTGTCATACAGGAAGACCAGGGTATGTGTCTCTTAGTTTGTGTCTCTTGTCATGCAGGAAGACCATGTCATCTGTATCTTAATTTGTGTCTCCTGTCATGCAGGAAGACTAGAGTATCTGTCTCTTAGTTTGTGTCTCCTGTCATGCAGGAAGACCAGGGTATGTGTCTCTTAGACTATGTCTCTGTCATGCAGGGAGACCGGGGTATGTGTTTCTAAGCTTGTGTCTCTTGTCACGGAGGAGGACAAGGGAATATGTCTGTTAGTTTGTAATACATTAAGACCAGCTTATATGTTTCCCAGCTTGTGTCTCTTGTCATGCAGGGAGACCGGGGTATGTGTTTCTAAGCTTGTGTCTCTTGTCACGGAGGAGGACAAGGGAATATGTCTGTTAGTTTGTAATACATTAAGACCAGCTTATATGTTTCCTAGCTTGTGTCTCCTGTCGTGCAGGGAGACCAGAGCATATGTCTGACAGTAGTAGTTTGTAATACAGGAAAACCTAGGTATGTGTCTCTTAGCTTGTGAAAAAGGAAGATCAGGGTATGTGTCGTTCAGGTTTTATTACAAGAATACAGGGATATGAAGCTTGTTAATTCTCTAGAACTAAGTTCCTTCTCTATAAGCAAGGGTGGACTAATGATGCAAGGCACCGGGTCCAGCTGTAAATAGGGATGCGAACTTTACTACACGGACTCGATGAACTTAAATTGTAGTATAAGCCCCTTGCGTGATCTGTGACTTGCCAGCATCACACATGTGCTATTTGGTTCCATGTCGGGAATTGGTCAGCTTGTGATCACACAGGCATCGCAATGACACGTGCCTTTGCGCGGATCCTGTGATAGTGGGTTCGAATCCCAGAATCTTACTTATTATAAGTGGTACACATGTCAGACAGGATTCACTAAGTAACTGCCTCATCAAGGTATCAGCCATGATATGCACGTAGCCCTGATGTTCACGTACAGTGGGATGCACGTTACTGGAGGTGGGGTGAGGTGAAATTGGGTTTTAACGTCGTGCTGGAGAATATTTCGCTCATATGACGACGTGCATGCGTGTGTATGTGTATGTGCGGCTGCTTGTCTTAGCCCAGACTGAAGCTGGTTTTATAGTGCTAGCCCACTGAGATGCCATGTCGCAGTGAAGCATGAATACCCCACTCAGACACATTATACTGCCTCCGAGCCGACCAGTCCTTGTTGTACCCATTAATGCCGAGCGCCAGACAGGGACCAACAAGTACCATATTTTAACGTATTTTGGTATGACGCGGTCGGGGATCGAACCCACGACCTTCCGCTCTCCGGGCGGACGCTCTAACCACTACACCACGGAGGCGGTCACGTAACTGGAACTTTATAGAGGCGTTAAACTCTTACCGGATCACAAGAATATGAGCATCCTCCGTTAATCTTCCAGGTACTATGATATACCAGATGACATCCACAGACGCTAATGGAGACGTGGTCAAGTACAAGATGCGTGACGACTTCGTTGTGGGTGATCTGGAACTGACTCTATCAGAGGATGGATTGTGAGTTGCCGCATAATGAATACTTACAGTTGTACAACATGTTGTGTGGTGTAAGGGACGTTGCTGTGGGAGGAAATTGTTCATGTGACATATTTGGAAACAGATATATTATGCTTCACATTTAAGTACAGGTCTGTCAGTATAACCCACTGGCCTAACATAACATGTAATCCCATAGACATAGACATGAATTTATTTTACTAACATGTACTTCTGGTCAACATAGTGTCTACTGTTAACTTGGTACATGCTTATCAAAAGATACGCTGTGTGCGTTATAGGGTGCATATAATCCCATACACTTAGACACGAATGTGTTTCACTAACATCTACTTCAGGTCAACAGAATGGCTACTGTTAACTTTGGACATGCAAACCCTTTTCGCATATACCAGGTGTCATCACTGATTCTGAGCGATCAATCCATGTATAATTTCATCGCTATTTTGTCTTTCATGCCCAGTGGAATCTTGTTCGTCGGATAATAGACACTTGTTATTCTCTGACATATTTTCAGAATGACTTACACTCCAGCTTCCAACTACCATGGAACAATTGATGTACCCGTAATTCTGTATGAGGTGCCCCAAGCTGAGATACCACCGGCTGAAACGGCAGTAAACATCAGCATCATCGTCACCCCCGTCAACGACGCCCCCAGCGCCTTCGTCTTCAGTGATGGCGTCAGCTTCCTCCATGCAGATCCTGCACATCCGGTTCAGGTAGGCCGCATTTCAACACGTTGCTTCAGCGACGTTAATACACAGCCTATTTTCCTACCATGATCACGTCAAGGAGGTGATCGCACACCCTAGTTACACGCTAGTTAGCATTGGGTTCTCTCGTCAAATTCCAGTCCCGGTATGGGTATAGTGTGTGAAGCCCATAGCTGAAGTCCCTTGTCGTGATATATGGAATATTGAGAAAAATTTACATTTCTCATCGTCTTTACCTTATGACAAGCTGTCTTAGTCAAAAGGAGCAGCAACTAGGAAAGTAGACTCACGCGTGAAATACTCACATTGTCAAAGAGGTGTTTCAGAAAAGATAATTCCGAGCAGGTTTGTATTTGACGTGCATTAAGAACCGTTTGTTTCACATGCTGGTATCAACATTCACAGTTCGGCATAGGTTCAACGTAACGATATTGGTCTGTGAAATGTTAAACTCAAAGGGATGTAGGGTGTTTGAATGGCTTTCTAGAGATGTCATATGGTCGGTTTCTAAAACCAAAGATGTATCTGACAAAGGCGCTGTGACATATCTCATGGCAATATTGGGTTTTAGGCATAATCGTGGAACGTTTGGTTCACGACAGTGTCTATGCTTTTTCAGATTCTTTTGGAACAGGCACGCGTCAATGACAGCAGCCCCACGACGTACATGTGGGAGTTTGGTGCATACGACGTTGACGTTGACGACAACATGACCATCTATTACACACTGCCGACTAGCGGGAACCTCGACGTCAGTGACGTGAAGACCAAGGATCCCTGTTCATACAACACGGTCAGTTCAGAGTCAAATTACATTCGAGAATGTTTGATAAGACCTTTGTAATTTAGGTACACGTAGACATATGATACAGACAAAAAAAGAGATTGACCCTAATTGGATGTGTTATGTGACCACTTCCGTGGTGTAGGGCGTCTGTCCGTACACGCGCATGTCTGCGGTTCGATCCCAGGCAACTCTACACGCAATTCTACGATGTATTTTAGCACTACAAAATGAGTTTTTGGAAAGGTTCCTATTCTATGGTTAATGGTAATGTACTGATGCTATGAAAATTATGGGTGTTGCGATACATTTTTCCATGTGCATAGATGTAACAGATTTCAAGTAAACTCATGACTTTCAGAGCGGCATCCCCTGTGACAAGCTCAACCTCCCCCACCATTCCGACTCCCTCAACTGGGTCTACAGAACCTTCCAGTACCAACCTGACCCTGGTTACTATGGTTACGATGAGGTTCGGGTATACGCCCAGGACCAGGCAGGGGCATACTCTGACGTCATCACGGTCAAACCAACTGTGATGGAGAGGCCATGCAAGAATGGAGGAACATGCAGAAGTAAGCCATGCCATGTCTTTGTCCGCCAGCGATTCGGAACTGAAGTAGCTGGTAGCCCAATGGTTAAAGCATTGACTCGTGACACAAACGACCTTGGTTAGAATCCTGGACTGTGTTGCTGCAAAGGGATTTGAAACAGGGGCTCATTCACTATTTTTTCATTTCAATATTTTTTTTCATGATAATCATCTTCACGTTTCTGATTTTAATACACGTTTTGTTCTTGGCTTGATTACCAACGTGACTAATGTATGACAGATATATATTCAGAAAAAAGTAACAAATGAGCACAAATTTAAAATGGATCGACGTCAATAACTCCCTACGGCGGCGGAGAAGCCTAGTGGTTAAGGCGTTCTCTAGTCACGCCGAAGACCCGGAAATTGCTTTCCCCATTGGCAAATGAGTGAAACCCATTTCTGGTGTCCCCCGCCATGGTATTGCTGGGATATTGTTAAAAGCGGTGTAAAACCAAACTCACTCACTCACCCCATACAACTAGCGCTATGGATCACATTATGAAGATCTCCTTATCCTGCAATGTCTACAACGTGAATCGTTCATTCACTTCATACATCCTCACATAATTCCAGGCAAAGATGAAAGCCTGTACAACTGCACCAACTACCGCCGTGCTGAAGGTTTTGACCTTTACTACGAGTGTGCGTGCGCACCTGGCTGGACCGGCATGCACTGCGAGGATGACGTCAACGAGTGTGGCAGTTCCCCATGTTCCTGGCCGTACGTCTGCTACAACGATGTCAACAGATACTACTGTGCATGTGCAAAAGAAAATCCGAACTGTGATGGGTGGCAGGCATGGATGATCGTGCTGGTGGTGTTGGCGGTGATCTTGTTAAGCGTCTTATCCGTGCTGGCTTGGTATCTGTGCATGCTCAAACGAGGGTAGGTATCTCGCATGTGCGCATGGGTACGTCAGTCAAATATCGTGTTGAATATGAAAACATCCACACTCCAATTTATACATAACGATTGACCCTGTTTCAGATTGTTGCAAATACATATTTTATCCGTGGTTACGAGCTCAGGAGAAGTGGAAAAAGAAAAATGTTATATTGAACCTGTGAAATTCTTTTTTCTTTATTTGTTGATAGCAGTTCCCCTATACTTATTCAGTTTTCTTTGCAAACACCTGAACTTCGACTTTACAGAGGGATTTGAATAACAATGAACTGCATTACAAATTATCGACCAAACATTTCACAAATGGTAGTTATGGAGAGTTCGAATTTCAGCATTAGAGATCCATATTGAAGGGGAAGTTACTCTTTCAGAGGAACGTTTAGGACTACATGTACGTTTGTTGTCACCCAATCGCAAAAGATATTTTACATAAAGTGGACACACAGTAATAAAAACATGTCTCAAGTACACCTCATTTCTGTTCCAACTTGTTGGCTGTCAGTTGGCCTCCTCTTTTCTTTCCATTCATTATACCTTTTCTCACCATACAGATAATTAATATGTATTTTTGACTTTGTATGTGTTACTGTAAACGTATCCACCAGCTGTGTCATGAACCAAGTAGCTCTTGTATAACAAGGAGAACATTTGCCGGAAACCAAGGTATTGTTGCATGATTATACCGTGGTAAAATGTATGGGCAAGCAAGTGCAAGAACATTTGACTAGGTGATATCCAGGAGGGTATGACATGAAAATGCGGTACATTTGCTTGCTTTTCGTAGTTGATCAGGTAATGGTCGTTAGTTGGCATGGTAACGGTTTACGTTTTGTTACATGTATTGAGTTTATTACGCCAATGGCAGTTTTGGTGACCTTTCTTTACATGTAATTAGTTTATAATGCCATTGAAACATTTGATTATCTATTCTTGCATGTATTCAGTTTATTGTGTTATTGGAGGTTTGGTCACCTTTTCTTGCATGGCTTCGAAATATTAAAAAGATGCCTTAGAATTTCACCACTTTACAAACCTTAACGGAACAACTTTCTAGCAAGGTTTCCGTAAATGATGATGACAATGTGTCTGCTGGGCGTTTGTTTGGGACACAGTATCTCCAGCACCTTTGTTGAAGTATTTGGAAAATTTGAGAAAATTATATAATATACTTTGCAACCAACCTCAACGATCTTCAGTCAAACCGTATCATACTAAGATTGCATTTTGAAAACATTGTGAACAGCATGAGTAAGTCTGAATGGTGGAAGGGGTCACATGACATATGTCTGCCGGAACAGTTACGATTCTTAATACAACATGTTATTCCGTCTGCATCTATCTTCCCAAACAATTCGACCAGGTATTATTCAATCCTAACAAAACTCAAAATAAACACCATCAAATGTAAACGAATTAACATTGACACATTTTAATTTTCAACTTGTATGTATCAGTTTCTAATGTTAACACTGGATATTGGGTTTTTTCTTATATGAATGTCTGAAATAATACGCTTTTCTTTCTGTTTGAAAAACCAACGTGACCGTGGACATTTTGAGTATGAGCTGTAACACTGCACCGACAAGCCAGCGAAGTCCCATTTTAGTGAAGGCGATCACTAACTCGCCCTTCAAGAGTACTTTCATCTTATTTTCCAGACGATTTCACTGGTCCTTGACATTATGTAAGATCCTGCACATCCGAACGGAAGGATCCAGAACACCTTTTGTCAATGCAGGCTTCAGGGATGTAAGTATTGTCAGATGTACACAGTGATTTAATTGTGGGCTTCACACCAAGGTATCAATATTCCAGTAAGAATTCATCGGGAGCAAAAACAAAATGGGCGTCGAGTACATGTCCATGCATGGAACTGAGCGTGGGCTTCAAGTAACCGTCACATAGTTGAACTATGCTGCTGTCCCACGTGGACATGGTAAGAGAGAGTCAGCAGTCATTGTTGTGGTTGGGCAATTAATTGTCTGGCAGTGGTAATTATTTCTACAATTTCCGTATATTCTGTACCAAACTTCCGATTCCCCTGATGTAAAGTAAGTGGAATATATAATTGTACACCCCACCCTGATCTCATGCATAGACTCTTATCCACTGCCTTGACTATTCATTGCTCGATTATTATTCAGCCAGCTCCTAATCTGAGACAAGTTACCTGTTTTATCTGATATCAGTTATAATTAAGGAAGAATATTGTTTTTCCCCTTTTTTGTCATAAAAGAAGCCATTATTTCTTCCAGGACTTTAGTGAAAATGGGAAAAGCCAAAAGGTAAGTGCCAATGTCACATCAACGTTCACAACATAATTTGAATTTTAATTGTAATGGTAAGTCAGGACACCGTAATTCTTTAATTAACTACACGTTCCTATAGTCCTTACCTCATAACGCAACTTTCTAACAGTACACAAGTTTAGTTTAACTTTTAGATATTCGAATATATAAATGAACGTCGCCATTTCTACAGGGAGCGAAGTTACTTAGACATTGCATTGTACCTATGTACTATTTCAAATCGATGTCGCCATTTGAGGAAGGAGCGATGCAAACTTAGACCTGGAATTGTAGATATGTGTTCTTCGGATATATTATCACGTAATTAATTTCCAATCGAATTGTTCACAGTCCCGTGAGCAGTCTGGAGCGTCCGGCGTGTTCATTTCCAGTAGCCGACCAGATGACCCCACAACCCCGATGAGGTCTGACCGATCGCCCCGATCTGTGCCCGATCTTCACGAACACCAAGCCGTAAGTAATTACAATGTGGTTTTTTTAATATACAAACTTAATGATTTTAGAGATTTACAACTTGAGCGTTACTTTACACAGTTCGGTACAAAAGTGAGTCCATGTCTTACAGCTTGCGAGACAATAGTTGGTATGGAAAGACCAGTTACAACAAGGGGGGATGAACCAAGAATTGAAACACCCGATTTCTAGACCTATAGACTATACGGACATTGGTTTTCAGTATAACCTCGACTGTTCTTTTCTCCAGGCGAAAAACCTGAACGGTGGTCCACGTTTCGGGGAGGCAAACGTCCGCTTTGACCCCTTTCGACATCAGTCGACTCGTCCAGGCTTCACCACGGGCCGGCCACTTACACCAGTGGAAGATTACGAAGAAAGACCAGGCAGTTCATCTTCGCTTATCAGGGGCAAATCACCGGTCAGAAGAAAGTCACGTCGAATCGCCCCTGGGCCCGATCGAGAACCAGAGCCAGACTATGATCAATGAAGAACTCTATAATTTTTTACTCTGTAGATACTGTCTCCCTGAACATGCTCCAATGAATTTTGTAACGTACTTCCTTTGTCTATCATAAGTGTCGTGCAAATGGTTGATTTAAAATAGAGGTTAAGTAACAAAATGTTGATAAAATCGGTAAAATTAAAATTATATGAGATCAAAAATTCTGATTTGAAGGGCTTTAATAGATGGAAACTGCCGATAGGATGTCATCTATAAATGATATATGAATGTTGGCCGTGTGTTTCCATTGATTAAATCTCACACATTAATCTGCTTTTACAAAAATGTTCGAATTAGCGTCAAAGTACAAGCACGTGTGGAGCGGAGAATGGGAACTTGAACATGGATTAGTTAATGTTTAACATAACTGTACGTTTAGTAAACCTGCTAACACTGTTTCTCAAAAATAAACGTTCTTCTGCAAATGACAAGTTGTTTTCGTCAGTATATTACATCTCGACCTCGGTGGACAACATCCCAACACCCCCAAAACAAACTTAATCCCATGATACCCCTCTCTCCCTCTCTCTCTCTCTCTCTCTCTCTCTCTCTCTCTCTCTCTCTCTCTCTCTCTCTCTCTCTCTCTCTCTCACACACACACACACCAGGTGTATAGAGTTGAAGGGGTTCCCATTGATGGTATTAAATACACCGTTTGTAACGGATCTATTGTGATATGAGTCATTCCAGCAATACCACGGTTGGGGACACTAGAAATAGTCTTCACACATTGTACCCATGTGAGGAATCGAACCCGGATCTTCGGCGTTTTGAGAGAACGCTTTAAACACTAGGCTACCCCACCACCCCCAAACGCAGGAGATGATCACGGCAGTGGTGATAAGGCTGAATATCTTTCGTAATTGTGACGATAAACCGCTATGCAATAGACATGTTTGATGGTGGCTACAATGATACAAACAAGACACGGCTTTCCGATGATGTCGTGTTTGATTCGGGTGTCACATGTTGTCAAACTCGAGTTTGAGAGTGTGAACATTCCAACAACTCACAACAACAACAAATTAAATACAAAGATGTGTTCTTAAGTAACTTTTATTATCTTCATGCAAAAGTAACAATAAAGACTAGGGAATATACAAATTAAATAAGGAATACATCTGATGGAATGATAACGACCATGAATTGCGACAAGTGTCAGTAAGGCGAGGTGATGTTCGGTATGGATTCAGAGCTTGTTTCGGAATAGTATACCTTAATGTAGACCTTTGATAGAGTACGTTTAATAGTTGTAATCAATGGTAATACGATGACTCTCAAGCAACGCTTGTGATTATTTTTACATGGTGCACAATCATCATAAGATTCTTCTACCAATATGATCTTAGTATCATTTTAAAATGCGATATTATGTCTAAATATTGTACCAACGATGTTCGCACCTGCGTACAGAGTCAATGGTATATGGCTTTTGCATAAAGAATGAACGATGAAACGGGTATCCTGGAAACATACAGTGAACCACGTTTATAACGAACACGCGTATGACGAACTAACGGATGTAACGAACTGCATTTTTTGCCCCAGCCATTTATACTTGATATTACAACCTGAATTTAAGGGTCCATTTTTGTTCGTGGTAGTTTACTGTATAAAGGATTGCGCTGAGCGCCAAACTGTAACATTTTCCCGAAAACATGCTTTTGAGATATTACATTTTACTTTTGAAATAACTCCACACTCACGAAAAGCCAAAGCGCAAAAACAATTGTCGTAAGAGGTGACTACGGGATGGGGTGGTCAGGCTCGCTAACTTGGTTGACACATGTCGTATCCCAATTGTGTAGATCGATGTTCATGCTATTGATCACTGGATTGTCTGGTCCAGACTCGATTATTTACAGACCGCTGCCATATAGCTGGAATATTGCTGAGTGCGGCATAAAACTAAACTCACTCACTCACTTGCAAAAACAACCATCTTCAGCTGTGCTGACAAGAAATTGGACAAGCAGTCCGTGAGGTGAGCAGAGGTGAGCAACTAGCATGTTAGAACTACTATTGTTTAGAACAATAGCGTGAGATCTCTAGACATATCTATGCCGCTGAAGGAATGTGACGTTGTATTCTAAGTCGCCCGACGTTGTCACAGATACCCATCGTATACCAGGATATATCTTGATAACGTTCTTGCAAAACGATGTGCAAATCTGTATTCTACCTACATATGCGTATTTTATAAGCGTAAGAGGGTAACGTGCAGAGTTGTGTCCCTTGGGCACTCATGAAAACTACGATTGTGGGTTCAAATCCCAGTGATTCTAGGTTAGTCACCAGCACATTTTGTTTGTTTCTCCCCTATTAAGCTTGGGAGCACTGTTAAAAGTGGCGTTAACCCAATTCACTCATTCGGTTAATTTAATAATAAGTTTACAGCGATGCACATGTCTATCCTTCTATTTCAAGCTTGTGTTTACCATTCACCTGTCATGTATCCCATCCTCGGCATGCTAGGGGCGTTTACGTCATCATTGTGTAATATATTGAAATGAACGTCCATGAAATACTGTTTACAGGTCGGGGTATGTGCTCAGATTATGATGGGCTGTAGCATAGATTAATATAATCACTTTCATCAAAATGTCTTAAATTGTCTCGCAGTACAAAGTCGGCGAACCGTTTCAAAGGCCACATACCATCATGGATATGCCCATGACAAAAGGCAACCTCACGAGTGACGTCTTTACCACCATGAAGCACCCGGATGTAATGTTAAGATGTATCCTTCCGAGAATATAGTTCCAGCACCAATCTGGATGCGTAACGCGGCCATGTTCCTCCGCCAGAGCCAAAAACAACAGTTAGTGGTACCAAGGTCGCGTCATGACCAGATAAGAGATGAAATTTGGTATTGGTGACACCGTTTGCAGCATCTTGCATTTGTTCCACCATTTCAGTTAGAAGCGGATGTAAAGCTAAACTTGCATATTTCTGATACCTTTCATCTGTAATGAGATACTTGGTATAATTTGTGACATGTCCCCAAAGTTCCGATACCATTCTTGGTTTAATGCACTGACCATGTTTGTTACAAGGCAAAGGGAGGGAGTTACATGTGTGGGAGAGAAATACATCCATCATTGCCCACATCCTGGGAAGGCGGCTCACTGGCATGTCATACATATTCGCCACGGCGTTCACTAAAGTGTCATATCCTGTACTGTTCCTCACAGCGGAGGTAGCCAGCGCGTCCGCTTGCTTCTTAAGACTCCTCAGCACTGGACACGAGCTGCGAGTGTTTGTTCGGGACAGAAGAACAGATTTGAAACTCGTTTCATATGCATATCTGTCAGATTGAATCGTGGTAGAAAGGCGTAAAGGAACGCAATGGCGCTCTGGTATGTTCGAGAATATTCCGTGCTACGAGGTAACACTTGCTCTGCACGAAAGCTGTGTCCGAAAAGGCGCCATTTGTGTACGTAACGTTCATGCATCAAGTACCCAAGATTCAGCATTTGTTTCGCGCCGACCGCACTGAGTTGTGAGGCGTCACAAACCTTCCGGCCAGGGTAGAGGGCCCAGCTCATGAAGCCACGGTCCTCCCGTTGATGACCCTCCCAGCCCCGCATCGTTGTGACGTAGGCGGCGAGTCGGGCGTCTTTCACCACCTCCTTGGGGTCAAACTGACAGCTGAGACGGGGGCTAGTATGACGGTTGAAGGTGTACATTGGAGATCGGTCGCCGTGTCGAGTGATTACATGGACAGAAACAAGGTTATATCCGTGTGGAGCTATTCCTGCAAAAATAGATTTTGATATAATAATTATACAATTCAGTGGTATTTACGCTTTACCACGTGTGATTAGGCGTTCCTTTCAGGATCTGGAGAAATGTTATAAGGCGACTTGATATAGGGTTTAAGGTTGTGTGATAAAGTATTGCATTAATAAGAGGCACGCGCCCATCTGTTTCTATGGCTAATTCTGTCTTTTCATTGCTAGTCTCCGTCGCAGTTAAACATGGACAAGGACAGTACTGTGTACTGGTCCTTGTTGTATCCCATAATGCCGAGCGTCAGGCAGGGAAGTAAGTTCTTTCAACGTCTTTTGATGTCTCAGCCGGGGATCAAGCACCGACCTTCCGCTTTTAGTGCATGGACTTTATCTACCGTACCCCAGGTGGTCATAAGTTATATTTGATAGCACAGAGCGATGATACGTTGAGGAATCGAGTCGGTCATTCTGCTTAACGAACTCTTTATGTTTAACACTCTCATACCCGTGAAGCTACGGGTGACTAACGGGATCGAGTATCGCTGACCTGGTATCCCAATTACTGAGATCGATGTTCATGATGTTCGTCACTGGATTGTCTGGTCCAGAGTTGACTATTTACAGACCGCCGCCATATAGCTCGAATATTGGTGAGAGCGGCTTTAAACAACAAACAAACAAACAGACAAACACACAAACCCGATGCTTCATGGATGCAGCCGAGTAAAGTGTATGCATTATTTAACTCTGGATTTGACTGAACCAGTTATCATGTATCTGAACTTTATGTAAAAACGACAAACTTGCCTTCCTGTGATGCCGCCAAGATACCGTCACGGTTACAGTAGTCCGATATAGGGGGCGCCTCTGACCTGACAATAGAGATCTTGTCGACCATTTGCGGGACAACGAGGTCTTTTTGTTTTGATTTTACATGTTTGACTTCTTGAACGATACCCACATGTACAGGCATTGCTGTGGCACCCAATTTATCATTATGGTCCGCCAAATGATACGGTGGGTTAACTCGGAGTTCCTGCAGCTTCATGATGGTCTTAGAACCGATATTGATAGGCTCTCTCATATCCGCCTCCTCGGCCAGAAACGAGTCTGAAAAGATTTACAGTAAATATATCAGTTTCCAATTGAGGATTTCTGGATGATTCAGTGAAGGTTTTGCCACATTCATTAACCTTCGACTGACAACTGAACTGGGTCCCGATCCACAAAGCCTTCGTAACGTTAAGACATGTCGTAACTCTATAGTTTACCATAGGTTTACGAATGTCAAAGCTCTACGAACGTTTTGTGGATCGGCACCCAGGATCTTCTCATGGTAAGATAAAGCTCTGGGCCCCGATCCACGAAGCGTTCGCAGCACTACGGCATTCGTAAACCTATGACAAACTATATAGTTACGAAGGGTCGTAACGTTACGAACTCTTTGTGGATCGGGGTCCAGATTAACATTTGCAAACATAGTTAAAATTGTAGAGCAGTTCCGTTTTTCCCTGATATGGAAATAGTTTTTTATGATACGGATATCCCATGGTCTTCGAAATATGGGTGTATTGAAAGGCTGAAGTGAGGTGTAATTCTTAGTGTAAAAGTGTTGTGACGTCAGAATGTAACCATTATATTATTGATGCTAGATTGGTAGAAGTGTTTAAGCTAAACTTATATCAACGATTA